ATTAGATCATTCTGCTTTGCTAAATATATATTTGATTAAGGTTTTTTTTTTTTGTTATTTTTCTCTTTTCTTTGTAAAGCTTTCACTCATATCAAATAAAAATTTTGTTTATTTACCAAAAACAAGAATACCAATTATACTAATTTTTTGAAACTTTTTGTAATTTCTGTAATTTTCTAAAATTTTATATATAAAGCATAATAATTCATCCAATTATACCAAAAAATAATCATCATGCTCATTTAATCCAAAATTCAGAGATTACAAGATTACAAAACTTAGAATGTTAAATAAATGACCTACTAAATTTTTCTTTAATTTCTAAAATTTTAAATAACATGATAATATATCAACTATTCACAAAAATAGCTAATTAATTCCAAAAATTAAATTTTAAGAACACGTCTACTCCTTAGGTTTATTTATCATCCCACTGAACTTTGAAGAGCTTTTCAAACTCTTAAGTGAGGGAGTGGATTCTTAAATCTTTTTTTTGGCAATATAAAAAATATATAAATTTTCTTGAACTTCAAAAATTTTGAAATATTTGATCATCATATTATACACAAAAATAGATATCGTATAATCTCGTACTTTCCCTCACTCTCCATGCATCAAAGTCGACGAGGTTCTTCTTTTTCAACCTTTAACTACGTTATTTAAAAAAAACAATCTTGATCCCAAACTTTAAATGTTCATAACTCTATTTTTTATGTTCTTTATATGTCCTGAAAACTCTCGAGACAAGGATTTTAACCGCACAAGATTTGCTAAAAACAAATATGTAAAATGTAGTATATAAGTAAAGTTATGAATTTTCAAACTAAGGTTTGATTTTTCTCATACTACACAGATCCAATAAATCTCATATTTTTCAGATATGATCTAGCATGTATAGAGATTAACATATCCAAAAATTATGGCTTGCATTGATTGTTTCCTTTAGGTGTAATTATTAAGTTTGTAAACATATATTTTCATGGGATATGCATGAAAAAATGACCTTACTATATTTTTCATGCTATGAACTACATAATATACATTCTAAGAGCAAGAAAACAATATACTATGGCTCTGATAACAATGTAGGATTGCGGAAATATAAATACATAAAATAAGCTATATTGATTAGCACAAAATATTGTATTTTCCAAGTGCATTTTCATCTTTTTGTGCTAGTTTTTGTGGTTAATATGAGTGGAAATGCATCGTTTGTGCTATTTATGGAATTTCAGTATGTTTGCAAATAAAAGGTGATAAATGATGTTTGATAAGCCTTCTCATAGTGATTAAGATAAATGAAGATGAAGGGATGACTTGACGATAGCTCAAGAGGTGAAGTAACCCAGAAATCAGCAAGACAAGGGAAAACCTACCGGTAGGCCATACTGGTAGGTTTTAGCTACTGGACTTGCACCTACCGCCAAACCTACCAATAGGTTTTTCCACTAGAGTGAAACCTACCAGTAGATTTCCATCGACCTACCAATAGGTTTTGTTGAAACAGCTCACATTCGGCATCTCAAGTCTTGTAACGTTGGGGTCCCACCAAGCACTTTCCCACTTGTCCCTGACACTCCTTATACACTGGACATCCCTTCCTCAACCTACATTAGACTTTTGGAGCTTTGGGAATTAATGAGGAGAGAGGAGAGAGAAGATGTTGGGTGTGCCCTTTCAGCCTTTATTGATGGAGATCACATCACATAGCTAAGGGATGGCTCCATGGACGTTTTTGGCAAACTCTTACACCATTATGGATCATTATGCAATATACATTGTAATATAAAGAGAGAGAGAGTCCAAGGTAGAAGATGAATAGTGCTAGAGAGAAGTTAATATTTTTGCATTTTCTTCCATACATTATCTTTGAATCTCTTGTAAGAACTTTGTAAGCTTCATTTAATGTCTTTAAAGCTATTCACTGCAAGTTCATTTCAAGTTTAATCTCTTATTTTAGCTTTCACCATTAATGCTTTCAAGTTCTTCATTCCAAGCTTTAAGATGGGTATTAAATGCATTTCCCTATAGTATACGTTTTCATGCATTAACTTAGTGTCAATCTTCATTTCTTTATAATGTCTTCTCATCACATTGTTGTCTTTACCTTAAGTATGAGTAGTTAATCTTTTTAATTGGCTAATTTAAGGGAGACCTCCTCTTGAGTATGTCATTTCAACTCATTTTCTTTTCTCCTCTTAGAGTACGATGATTCAGTTTGACTGGGTTGAGTGTGGATGGGATTGTGAGTTTTTGATATGTCGTAGACTTGTCATGGGTTATGTTTAGATCCTCACTTCTACCTTGTCCCTCATTTTCCACAAATCAATCGTACATCTAAGCTATATTGGAGGAAGGTTTCGAGTTGACTTGACATTCCCATTGGAGTGAACTCTTCAGATTAGTCAACCCTTGTTTTCCATTTTATTTTCATCACAACACAATCGCAAACCAAACTTCAAACAACAAAAGATTTTTACACTTTACCCTTTTACTCAAAATCACCTTCAACACGATTCACCTCCTTCCCTGAGGAGACAACCTTGGAATACTCTTCCAAGTAAAACACGACACAAAAAAGACTCCTTGAGCTTGAGGTGCACTTTTGTGCACACAACATTTCCTTTATTTCATTCTACCACTATTCTATTGCCCTTTCTTTTGACATCATTCCAAGAAAGAGTGACACTCCCCTCCATACATACATTATACACATTGAGGAATGATGCGCGGAGATTAGGATATACAATGGAAACCATCAAGCATATACCTAGTTACGATTCAAACACAATGAATTAGCAAATTTGAATATTGTTTTACTTTTCTTCCGAATCTCCTTGATAATCACGAACACCTTTGAACATGAATAGTTCGATTCGCGGTAAGTTAGGCTACAAGAGCCAAACCCAGATTTCCACCATTCTAGAGTCTCACACATGTCATGATATGGAGAGAGAATGATGAATATTAATTGCAGTAATTTTATGTGTCTCATGTGTTGGCAGAGTCCCACTATATATCGAGAGATATATAACACATGGGAGAATAAGGTGAAAATATTTTAGGAACCAAACTCATTATTTTCTAGGCTTTACCAAGTTCAAGTTAATCCAAACATTAACCCACCCTTATCTATTCGGATTATGCCTTCCCATGGGCACCGATTCGACTCCATATCCAAATGTTCAATTCCTTATCTGTTACCAACCCTCTCAACAACCAATAAGAAGTGATGTATGCAATACTGTGAGGAAGTTTTTCCCTGGGAAGATTATGCTAAAAGACTTGAACAAGATAAATACAGTCCTAATCCCTAAAGAATTAGCCCCAGAAATAATGGCACAATTTCAACCAATATTCTTCTATAATTTCATCTATAAAATCATTTTCAAGGTTCTATCGAACAAATTGAAGCTGCTATTGAATCAATTGATTTTCCCTCAACAAGCCGCCTTTGTTCCTAATCGCCAGATCTAAGATAGTATTTTCTTAGCAAATGAAATTTTCAACCGCTTGAAGCAAAGGAAAAAGGGAAAGCAATGCAAGATGGCCATAAAGTTGGATATCAACAAAGCCTACAATAGCGTAAAATGGAATTTTTTGGAAGTTACCATGTTAAAAATGGGGTTTAGTGCAAGATGGATTTATGTGATAATGCAATGTGTGACCATTGTGGAATTTGATGTTAAAGCACATGGGAAAACTCGATGCTATGTGAACCCACAAAGAGGTTTGAGACAAAGGGACCCAATATCCCCTTATCTCTTCCTTTTGGTGGCAAATACTTTTTTCAAAAATGATCACAAGAGCAACAGAGGAAGGAAAGATTTCGAGCATTAGAATTAAAAGAAACTGTCCTACTCTAACACATTTATTTTTTGTTAATGATTCAATTCTTTTTATGAAAGCAGAGGCTAGAGAATGGGAGAATTTGATGGGATTGATCAACACATATTGTAAAGCTTCTGGCCAATTGATAAATTCAAACAAGTCGGGTATCATGTTTACAAAAAACACTCCGATTGAGAAGAAGGAAGAAATAACACAATTGATGGGCATGACCACACCTTCCCACAATGCCACCTAACCTAGAAATGCCTGCTTTTTAAGGAAAATAAAAAACTAACAATCTTCAATTACATTTGGGAGAGGATTATAAAGAAGATTCAAAGATGGAATAACATTTTCCTGTCCCAATCAGAGAAAGAAGTACTCCTAAAATCTGTGGTCCTAAAATCTGTGGTCAAAGCTATACCAACGTATGCAATGCCTTGTATGGCTGTCCCAAAAAAATTATATGATAAGATAAACTCTTTAATCAAACAGTTTTGATGGGGAGGTAATGTAGAGAGAATGAAGATATGCTAATCACAGAGTGGAAAAAAGATTGGGTGAAACGGTGTGATGTAATTATCTACTAATAAGTAAACAAGTTAGCAAGTAAATCCCACAAAAATTCATAATCATCATGTCATATAATATATAGTCACCTCCATGATAGAAAATGAGCCCCATTTTATTTATTTTATAATTTTTTTTATTGAATGGTTATACCACATCAACATGACTAACATGGTTTAACCGTTACAACCAATATTTACTCCACAAAGTAACATGTTTTAGTGAATATGAGGCACCTAAGATTTTTCGATCCACACAAGTAATTTAAAATAACCAATGAGTTTGACCCAATGGGTAAGAACTCAAATTTCTTCGTTTAATATTTGGGTTCGAGTCTCCATAATTGCGACAGTTCGTTAAGGGTTAAAATTACTCTTTAGCGTCCAGCGTACACGAAGAGACCTTAGCTTCAACCCGACGTAGATGAGATGGGATCCCCTACAGAAAGCTATGTATGGTACTGAAAGACAATACTCTCTGACGCGGATATATAAAGTGATCTATCTGTATATCCATTTTAAAGAATAAAAATAATTTTTATACTAAATCACCAAAAAAATTAACGAAAAGGAGCAAATATGGGTCAAACAGTCCGTTTGCCCGGACAATAATCCAAGAAGACGGACGGGACGGAACCAACCATTAGAATTCTGCAATTTGAGAAAGTCTTCACCTTTCACGCATCAACCAACGATAGGAATCATCATACTGTTGCAGATGAGACTCTTAGACCGACTGTGATCTATCTTCACAGCCAGACAGAGAGCAACCATTCACCCTTCAACCATCACGACTTATCTCTTCTTCGAATTCTCAGTCAAACCAATCAAGGCAATCTAGAGACCCCCATGTACGTTAGATGAAAAATCTGCTGCAAAACTCCGCCCGCCGGGCTTTTCTTCTTGATTTCGATCATACCCAAACCTATTTTTGCTCACAAATTTCTGGGTTTGCTTCCAAATTCTACAATTTCAATATGCCAAGAACCGACTAACTTAGCCTCTGTTCTTTCACATATCAGTCAAACCCAGAAACCAATTTGGGATTCATATACAAGCAAGGTTCTGATTTGGTCGTTTCTGATTGAGTTGTCTTTTTATCAGAGTTTGATTTGGGTTAAATTTGTTTCTGTTGGAGAAATGAATTTCAGGAGCATGGAGGAGTTTTGGCTATTCTACATGAACCAACACTCAAAACCAGCAACAAGGCGTTGGCACTTTGTGGGGACACTTTGCAGTATTTTGTGTCTGATCTATTCTGTGCTCTTTAACTGGTGGTTTTTGATATTTGTGCCTTTGTTTGGTTATTGCTTAGCCTGGTACAGCCATTTCTTCGTCGAAAGGAATGCTCCTGAGGCGTTTGGTCACCCTTTCTGGTCTCTTTTGTGTGATTTCAGGATGTTTGGATTGATGCTTACTGGTCAAATGGACAGAGAAATCAAGAGGCTTGGCAAGAGGCCTGTCTTACAGGTCTACTGATTCTTCTTGGAGAATCATTTTTATTTTTACTGTCATTTTTGTGCAAATTATTTTCTTTCTATTCAAACTTCTATAGTTTATTTCTTTGATTTCGAAATACAATAGTTGATGCTTTCATTTCCTTTGATTTGTAATAAAGCTTTTTTTTTTCTTATATATGCGCCAAGCTGTAGTTATAAATGAAGTTGAAATCTTTAGATACAAATTGTTGAGGGATTGAGTTCAGTTTCTTTGCTGTTTTTTTTTCCCATAATAATTAGGCTGAGTTATTCAATTTGAAAGCAACTCTTTTGCAGTCTTTCTCAGCTTCTAGAACCTGTAGATGTTTGCATTGGAATGGTAATTCGGGATGTCTGGTGTGTTAAATTTATGATTCTGTTGACAGCTTGGGAGCCGTGGGAAAGAGATTTTGAAATTGGTCTCAACATTTTGTGCTGGATGGATACAACAGATTCATATCCTTCCCGTGGTACTTAGAGCTGATCACTCAGATAACTTGAGGCTGGAATCATAAATTCAGTTTTTTCAGAAGGAATCATAAATTAAGTTCCCCTGGCTGTGTCTCAACTTGGTTCACCCTTAGATATTTGGTTGAACTCCTCCACTTCATCCCTCCCTTAGTAGTTGAATTACATTACGGATATACTGTGTAATACTCAGCTGAGTTCAGCTCGAATAATGCCATATCCTACTTCCAGACCCCTAAGCTCTAATATATACCTAGGGTTGGATGATGGATGATTATATTTATTGATATTTTCTTGGGTGCCAAGGTTTGTTTTACCCCAGTTCTCAATTGGAGGCAGTCCTTTTGACCAAGCCTGAGACTGGCAATGCCAAAAATGAAATAACCATACACACTTTTGCAGAAACGAATTTGCTTTTAGTGGTAGAGACTGGTTTTGTGGGGCACATGACCATCCAGTAAAACTCCGGTGCATATTACCTGGCTGTACAAGAGTATATATTTCACTGGAAAATTTGTAGGGTAAGAAGGCAGAAGAGTTGCTTTTCTTTGTTAGAAACCAACAAAATAGTTTCATCATCAGCTGTATAGAACTACTATAGGCTCAATTTTATTTTTTTTGGGTCAGTACTATAGGCTTAGTATCAATATATAGGAATACAAGACATTTCATGGGGGGTGAGTTCTCTTAGGAATGCTGGTTGGATTTTATAGAAGAGATTTAATTCTTTACGGACTACACGTAAAGCCCTTATTTAGAGGTATCCAACCAATAGCTAACACATCAGCCAAACTGCGACCAAATGAATAAAGTCACACTAAATTCAAGAAAACTCATAGCACAATATTCTATCCCTTTAGCAATTTGCATCGCCTCCTTCAGTGTGTGGGTTACAGTCATCTTCTCCTTTTATTCATGGATGCCACTGAAATTCTATCCAACTCCAAAACTCAGGTCAGCACTTAGTTAGCAGTCAAACCTCATGACCCACCCACCATCGGCACCGCTCACCATTCAACCCACTATTGGCACCCTTCACCCATAGATATCTCACCTCCTACTGGCCCACAACACTTATTGCACCATCACCTATCATCCCACCCAAAAGAGAGAACCAGATGGGGGAGAGAGAGGATGGGGGTCGGTCTGTGTGCGTGTGAAAGTAGACAAGAAAAGGGGAAGAAAAGGATGGAAATTTTGCTTAGGTAAGGTTCTGATGACGTACTTACCAGTAAGATTGCTGTAGTTGCCTTTTTAATTTTGATGTCTGTAGACAAAGTTGTGTTGTTTCTCCAAAATTGTCTAGGGTGATATCAGGAGTACATAAACAAAGAAGAATGACACCATTGATGTGTCTGCAGTAACTGGGAGAGATTTTACAAGTTTACCTAATTTGTACAATGCACTTGAGTTTTGCACTTCTGTTATTATTTTAAAAGAAAAGATTTTATAGCTATCCCTTTCTGGTCTGTTAACCCGGTTGTTGATCCTAAACGTGTTGCTAAAAACTCAGATGTGGTGAGATGCTCCATTGTGTAATACCATATCCTGACATTTCATTCAACAAATCTATCGAGGATGCACATAGACTGGTCTTTGCTACATGTCTCGAGATTCTCAAATACTGCAGCTCATAAATTGGCGAAGTGGGGGTTAAGAGTGAACTTCCCAGGCACTCTTACTGCTGAAAACCTCCCTTTACCTGGCTAAGGCTCGCATTCGACAGGACATCTCATCAGCCCAGCCTGTGCCACTACTTATTAGTTTATGTTATTTCTATTTTATGTTTTTCTTTCATATGTCTTTAGGTTTAATTTCCTTTTCCTTGTATCTCCTTCTCAACCAGCAAAAAAAATCTATCGATCTACAGTTGCCTTCTAAGTTTTTGCTTTTTTATCTGTAAGAACTGACGACATCAACATTACACAATGGAAAAGGACCAAACCATGGAAAATAAGGAGTTCTTAGTGTCATGAAAGACAATCTTCTTCTAATCTATCCCAGACTCACAATAAAAGAGAACATAGTGTGTGGGTGTGTGAGAGAGACAGAGAGAGATTTGTTCAAGCCACCATCTTATTAAAAGACACCCCCCCCCCCCAAAAAAAAAAAAAAAAGGTCTGTAAATACCTATTTCTTCAAAAATAAAGAAAAAGAAAAAAGCCAGTGCTGTCCTCGGAAGATGCTTCACAAAGAATCAAAAGCGAAATTGCATCAGACAGGACAGGGATGATGGTGATCAACAAATAATTCTGAACCCAAAATGTTACAAATTAACTTTCTATCCTAAAAAATCTAACTCAAACTTGTTTCAGGCAACAAATCTTTGAATATACCACGGTATATGCTGATGTGAGATCGTTTCAAACACAGTCAACAGTGTCTTTCACCAGCAACCCAATTTCAGGCCCTTGGATGTTTCAGGTGCTGAGCCATCGGGGCAACGAAAACTGTCTGCATTATAAGAACTCTGGCAAATGTGGATCACAAGTCGGTGTTTCTTGAAAATGACGGCAATGGCCTGGCCTCTTGTGGACGAAGGATGACAAGCACGCCAAACATCCCAAGCATTGGAAGGACGATAAGCCACTTCAACAATTTGTAGTAATGCATATGGAATGTAAGCGAGAAATCATCTGAGAAATAGAGTCCGTTCTTGTCAACCATTTCCACCAAGACGGTCCCTGTGGTCCTTACCCCCACGGTTGGAAGCTTAATCCGATGTTTTCCTGCACTCTCAAAGATCTGGTTTTGCTTAATCATTCTCTCCCCTTGGTAATTACCAGGCACTAACAAGGTTGTCTGCATTTTTTTACCGTATGTAAAAAACAATCAGGATTAGCTTGAAATACTTAATTTGTAGGCTAGGTGCTAAAATAAGAAACTTGGAGCAGCAAATGCCACCTTACCGTGACATTATAAGGTCCTTGAGACCCAGATGGAAACCTATGTTTGTCTATAATCTCTATCTCAACCCAGAAACTCTTGCCTTCTTCATCACGGAAAGCTCTTGATGCAGGTGTTACATAGACCCCTTCACGTTTGAAACGGTTTGCCACATTGTTTCTTCCCTGATTAGATGATCTCCATGCCTAAAAATGCATAATTGGGAACAAATATTAGTAACTCAGAGGGCATAAGTAGACCGATATTGAAAAACTCAGCGCAAAAGTCACTAAGTCAGAACAGATCCGGATTCAGACTTATCCTGCCTTGAGGGGATGATGTGGAGCAGGAGTTGAGAAACAGAAGACATTGCCATTCATGGTTGTCACAATAAGATCAAGATCATCTCCGCCATCTACATTGTCTGCTAATACCATGCTATATCTGTCATGAGAATTTTTATTGTTTTAGCTTTATTTAAAAAAAGAAATATGTGAGGAGTTATTCCCTCAAAGGGATTTGAGGAGTATCTTACGAAGTTTCGCCAATATCCACGACATCAGCACATGATGTAGGTCCATCTATAAGATACAAATAACCATCAAATGATGTCGTAACAATAGTGAGTCCCTTCTTTTTCTCCCCTCGTTTGCTCAAATCAACAAGAAGAACTTGATTCATCACTCTGCCGTGAGTTCTGTAAGGATATGGACGTACAAGTGATCCATCCTTGCCACTGAGAACATGTATATTCCCTGATAGTGTTGGAACAACAACATCAGTATGGCCATCCCCATCCACATCACCGATACTGGGACCCTGAAGAAAACAAATAAAAGGTGTATATGGTATACAGAAACAAATTAATAACCCGAAATCACATTATATACTGACAAAACTTACAATAATATGGAAACAAGACACAGCACCATACCTGTGGAACAAGACTCTTAACATGAGCTTCCCAAATTTCTTTTCCTTGTGCAGTCCATGCAGCAACATTTCCATGTGTATCAGTAGTCACTAACTCAATTTTGCCATCGTCATTGATATCAGCTGCAACTACGGCTCCTTGAATTTCAGCCATTTCAAGAGGAAACTTCTCCCTCACCTTGCCTGCATGAAAATTTTTAGCTTAGAAATTGCTAAAAAGAATACAAACATGAAACGAGAACATAGCAGAATCATAGGATTTTCAAAGCATGGCTGCTTTTTGGAAGACCTTCAACAATGCAGAAATGGGAACAGATGCACTTAACAACTTGTTTAGATCACCCACATCCACAAATTTCTTGTAGGTCATTCCTATTTACAAGTACAGCAACCTCTAACCTCAGGATTTGTGAAGGGGATATACTGAATGATCGTGTAGGTCCTGTTTATACAAATGTATCCTTAGTCCATCAAACACAGTACTTAAACTCGTGCCTTTTCTTTTTTCCCTTCTCAAGGATAGCATGCACCAATGCTTAAACTCACGAATTGGACTAAATGAATAACTGAAGTCATAAATAAAAACTAGTGTTTTGGGGAAATAAAACTATTTTTTAGCAGAAGGTCAACTTATGAGAGAAGGGACGCTGAAGTGTTTGGAACCCAAGCTGCAGGGTGTAGAAAGCAAACCAGCCAATGGCCTGAGTAATTTGATAGTCATCCATGAATCCATCAGTCATGGTAAACTGCAATGAGATACTTTCTGAAATATCGACCCGCCAAATGTGGCCTCTAAAACTTTTAGGCTCCATATGTTTAACAAAAACAGGAAAGTAATGGGCAAGGTGTAATTATGGTTGTAATCAAGGAAAAGAACATTATTGCAGGAAATTTACAAAATCTAATTAAACATCTGGAGTGGAAATATGGTATCATGCTGGGAACAAGATCTTTAAGAAAGAAAATGTGAACAGATAAACCTAGACAGTAATATTAGCATAAATATGAATAAGCAGTAATCGATATAAAAACTACAAGCAGTCTCAGTTTATTACCCTTGTGATCCAAAACATAAAATAAGCCATAAGAAGTTCCAACAAGAATGTCCAAATTCCCATCGCCATCCAAATCAACAACTGTTGGAGAAGAATATATGTAAGCGCGAAAGTTCCCAGTATCCGTACTTAAATCCAGCTGTGCAGTCCACTTAACTTGCTTTGTGTCGAGATTGAAAACAACAATACCACCAGCAACATATTTTCCAATCTCAATACCACCAAGTTCCTTTGAATGCTCTGGATTGTCGTAATACCTGTCCATTTACAATTAGTGAGCTGCTTTACCACGCAGTCCACTTCCACTTTTTGCAACATCACAGAAAGAAATGTAATATAAAAAGGAACATAGGCTTCCATTATAACCTCATTATAGCACAAATAGAAAAAGATACTTTGAGTCTAGTGCTTGAAATATACAACGCACAACGAGCCCTTTAGCATAATAACCTAATTGGCTGAAGCTTCATATTTACTAAAATTCAACCTCGAAGGTAAACCCTAGGCAGTTTAAGCCATTGATGACCTTGACCACCACAATGCCCACTAAAATGCAATCCCATGTTACATTGGGAGGGCTTTGGTTGGCCATCAAGTCATCTGATCAGTCGGTGGCCAAACTCAATTAAGCCTGGCCTTCTGTGCAGTATCATTGTTGTACATAATTTCACATCGGAAGTTAGAATGTGAGTGGGACAAGTGGCAGGTATTCCTTAAGCCATGTAATGGGCTATAAAGAAACATGTTAATGGCCAAGAAACTGAAGGTAAGAATAAAGGAAAAGAGCACAGAAAGTTGGCCACATTAGTCTGAAGACACACACCAAAAAAAGCCAAATGACTCTGAGGACCAAACATGGTCCAAGTTAAGACAACTCTAAGGGCAAGGAAACGAACAAACTGAACTCATGTTGGGATTTGAAAATCAGAAAGGACAATTTCCGGTTTAGCCAAAAGAAGACAAAAAACCCTGAAAAAATCCATGTAGCCGCTTTTAGTACATTGAGAGTGCATTGTATAAAGGTGAGAAAAAGTGACAACTTGTTAAACATTTGAGAGGAGATTTAACTTAGCCCTCATGCGCTACAACTACAGCTGTTTGACTGTCCTATTGAGGCTGTCCCCTAAACTTACCAAATGAGCAAAAATCTTAGCCAAAAGCCTTTACATAGGACTTCATCTAATCATTCCATTCAGTTTCTCCACTCAAGTTATGTCAAGTTGGGTGGAAACCATGAGTTCTTTGTGTAGATAGTAGAGGGAACCATGAACATTGGGAAGACTAAATTTGAAGTTTCAAACTTAAAAAATAGTGGTAAAACAAGAAAAAGAAGGGCTTCAAAAGGAAGGTTTAAACACGAGCTGAGTATTTGGTTTTCTTCTAGGTTATTTGGTTTTTTTGGTTGTGGTCAGGCTCAAGGAGAGAAAGAGTAAATAAACTAGGGATTTCTGTAAGTTATAGCCATACCTCTCAACAACCGAGTTGAGCTTCGCTTGGGTTGGTTTCAACCCATCAAAGTTGCATCCTACATACAAATGTAAAGACAATAATCCCCAACCTACTTGGGTCCAAGTGTTCAACACAACACATAACTGAATTTCTTCCAAGTTTCCCTCAACAAATTTTAAACTAATTGTAAGATTTAGCATTTTATTGACCCAGAAGCTTATCACAAGTTGTTCTATGGTAGTATCATATTCTGTAAAACAAGTTACAGGAAATGTCAGTTCAATGAACACTGTCATAGGAAGCAAAAAAATAACAACGAATGACAATCAGAAACAAATACTTTTCATGCAAAGCCACTTCCAGGACATGCCTGGGAACTTTAAAACAACCAATAGCCTGACCCTCTTATCCCACGGGGCTAAACAATGAGCAGCAACACAATAGGTTATCGTAGTGCATCTAATTTACAGGTAACAGCACAGCAAGATGTCAGCATCTCCGAAAAACCAACCAATGCTCAAGATCAAACAAAAATTCCAGCTGTCTTAATTACTAGTACTTTGAACAAACAAAACAAAACAAAACAAACAATACAAGAAGGACACTCACTCATGATCAAAGAAGTAAGACACAGCAACAACCATCTCTGCTACCCCATCATTATCAATGTCTGCTATGATCTGGAAAACATGAGGAAACATACGTTCCAATTTAACATATTGAACAAGCATCTAGCAAGAAAGATTCATACGCTATTAGACCCATTGCTGTGCACTTTAACAAGCATCTACCTAGAAAGATTCATAAGCTAGTTAACTTACAGGGGTGCACAAAATGTGTGAGTCAATATTCACGTAATCCTCCAATTTCTCATGCTGTGCTTCAGTCCACCCCTCATCTCCCCACATAGATTCATCAACATAATCATCATAATCATAATTATACTCATCAGCCAGCTCATCACCATCACGGAATAACTCAAAAGATGCAGCAGCATCTGCTTCCAGATCACCATCATTTTCCACAGTTGCAGCATGAGACTCCTCATTATTGTTAGCAGTGGATCCAGAACCACCCCCCTCCAACCCTTTTGAGGCATTAACTTCAAGAAGCCTTCTTCCAGTGTTTGTTCCATTGCCTGATTTGCTGGAGTCCTCTGACTGAGAGCCCATAGAAGTGTTATCCATCTTCTCTGGTAGCTTAATTCCTGCTTCTAACTTACTATCATTCTTTTTCCCCTGATTCTCTACATTGGATGCATTTGCTGTGTCAAGGTGAACTTCTGCTGGCACAGACTGTGAAGTGTTTGATGGGTTGGGATGAACTTCTGTTGTTGTAGAATGCAATGTGTTTGCGCCACTTGTACTTCCATTACTGTCTACAAGCATGTATAGAATGATGCAGAACAGAAATCAAAGAATAGAAATTTATAAAACTGCAGTAAAGAATGCTTATAAGGACACATCCAAAATGGTAAAGCTCTTGCAACTTCTAACACTCAATCTAATCTAGCACTCAACATGAAAATAAAGGAAGGATAGGCGAAGAAGGGTGGAGAAAAAGAGAATATTGTCCAAAACTACAAGAAAACATCAATTACTCAACAGATAAACAATTAACTCAACCAAAAGCTACAAACAGTCTTGCAATTGCTAATGACTTGTAACAACGTCACTAAGAGGTAAATAGCAAGATTCTAGTTGAGAAAATATCAACGAAAATATCAAGATGCCTATCAGCAAGACCAAAGATATGTGACATTAACAATATATTATTCAAAATATTATGTGCAACTAAGAAACCCACTACTTAATCTAATGATTTATAGAAATGTCAAAGGGTTAGTTGGTCATTAAAAAATAGAAATGCTTGGTCTATGCTGTTGGAATTGAAAATCAAAAGGCCAGAAGTTGGTCAAAGTCTTCAACATTTCTACATATAATTTTAGGCAAATGAACTCAGTGATGTCCTATAGATTATAGTGAGTCTACTCGTTATCACTAAGAAATGGAAGATTTACAAATTTCCTTGCAGACAGATGCCAAAATAACCTACGAGGTATTGAGTTCATAATTGCCTCCTGAACGATTAAATCATCCTGAACATCTGGATGAGTACGATCCACTGGGTCCGGATGCAAACCCACATACCAGTCCTTCTTAACTTTCAACCGAGGAACCTCAAGCTTATCTGACATCATGTAGCCTGAAACCCTACAGAAGGATCAATAGAACCACAATATGGTTAGTACATGATTGGAGCACAATTACAATCACTCTGCAAGTAGAAAAAAGCCATAAAAATGAATGGTTAACAATTACCTGAAGAAAAGCACCTCACCATTGTAGGTAGCTAATGCTATTTCTCTCACACCATCCTTGTCAATGTCATATAGTAAAGGACTGGCATGAACAGTTGACTGATGAAAAGCAGGCCACCCTGACATTTATTTACACAGAATAATTAATAGTTCAGTGCAGAAAGAATCTTTGGCATTTCAAACAGTTCTGAATTTGCCTCAAATAAGAAGGGGATAAACTCCTTGACTTAAGAACATTAAAACTTGCTTACACAAAAAAAAAAAAGAACAATGACTCTGTTTCAATCAAAAAGAATGAGGTTTTTGCTAGGTCAAGAACTAATTCAAACTACTAATTAAATGGTGAGATTTCTTCATGTCAACTACATGTAATGCACCTTTTAAACAACTTAACAATGGTTTTAAGACATGAAAACCTGTGATTCCTCCTTTGCTTCCAGGCAATTATTCTTGGTAGATAACTAGGAGTGTGTTCAAGGTATGGAGCTTAGCATAGTGAATTAGGCATCTAATTTTATGTACACAACACCATATTTTGAGCAAGCCAAGCCACAAGTTATACCTGGCATTTTATCACCATCAGAACCTTCTAGAACTTCCAGATAATGAAGGAACGAGGGGACTACTATATCAAGCTTTCCATCACTGATATACAACACACAAATTTGATAGTCAGATTGTAATTGAATACCAAAAAGATAACCAAAAAACAGAAGGAAACTTATAGTCAAACACCTCAGGAAATAAAGTGGGGCTGATCTGACACTAATTTGTTCATTTTGAAGAATAATACTTTTGAAAAACCCTGTTGTAAGTGGCAACCTAGTCGATGGACATAATATTATGCGTAGATTGGGAGAGCATTGTCATTTCTCTTTAGTCAATCTGAAATCTATATTTTGTCAAAATTCTTGTCAATTTGTTCCATTTAAGCAAGATGGCACTGGTTAATGGCTTGTTTCTGCTATTCACAAATTTTCCACAAAAAAAATTTCTTCTTACCAAATTAAGAAAAAGCGAAAGCATTGCGCCAATAAACTAAAACTAAAGCTAATTACACAAAGAAAATCGAGGGATGCTTTTCTTCATACCTGTTAATATCAGCAATCAAGGGGGTTGCATAGATGCTAGAACTAACTTCTGTCTGCCATCTGAGCTCCAAATGCTGAGGACATTGTGTATTCAGCAACTCGTCCTCATCCCTTCACACATACGAAAACCAAAAAGGTGTAAAATTTAATCATCCCATCCCTTCTCACACCCCAAAAACCTAAAAAGAATGAAATTCTGAATGCAGATGTGAGCAACCAAAAGCAGCAAATTATAAAGATCAAGGTGAGAGATAAAAAAGTAAAAAAATATATATATAATTACAAGTGGGGATAACCGAGGGCATCGTCGGAGGCTTCTCGTTCTCGAAACTTATTCTTCTTTGTTTCCTCAGAAACGCCATGACTGAAACTCAATGATACGCAAACATAGAGCAGCAAACAGACCCCTAAAACCCTAATCCTCATGTAGATCTTCTAGTTTGACTCAGAAAGCACTACAAAAAGAAAATCCAATCCAAATTCTATGAATTGGTGGATCAGTACGCCTGGTTTGAGAAGAATGTTGTTTCTGTGTGATTGATTATGAGGTCGGAGAAGAAAAACCCTTGACAGGGGTTCTAGTGATCTGTGACTGTGAGCGACGACCGATGGAAGCAAGTTTCGAGCTGAATTGGAGTTACGGCCACCTACGGGTCCTGCTACTGTTCATGTAATTGTTATTAAGTACCATATATATATATATATATATATATATTTAGTGAATTTCTAACCTATATATCAATCGATACATAAACGAATTATATTTATTTTATTAATTTTATATATACTTAATTTATGAGATTCACTCGTTTACGAAATATATAATTTAAAAACGCTAAAAAAAATCTTTAATTTAGTATGATATTAACAAATCATGTTATATATTGATACCCTAGTTACTAGTTATATACTAAAATGTTAGGGGTCGGTGTGATTAAAAAACAAATCTTAAAGGATTTAAAAGATTAAATGATAAATCTTAAAAAATTTTAGTATAATTTTTTTCCTATTATAATTTTTTTTTCATTTTTGTGTTATATGAATTGTATATAATCGATAAATGAATTATATTGTGTATTTTTAATTGACTTCATATATACCCGATTTGTGAGGTCCACTCGTATACAAAATAGGTGACTTAAAGAAACTTAAATTCTCTAATTTTAATTCTTAAACTTCCACAAAAATAATTAAACAAATAACTTTTACACAAAATGAAAATTATAATATTTAAAAAATAATTTTTTAATATTATAATTAGACCGTTCACTTCAAAGTGCCAGATTTTTTGTTGCCATGAAAAAAAAGAAGAAATCACGCCGCTATTAACACAGGAATTGGAAGCGGAACGAAGGGTATTATTCACGAATATTGATATGTATGTTCTATAAAAAATAAAAAATATTTTATTTGTAATTAAGTATTTTCAATTCACTGGATCTTATCTCTTTTGAAAAGGAGTCAATAAAAAAATAAAGATATATACCAACTTAAATAAAAAATTTTAATTTTATACTCTTACTTATTGTGAGTCGTTCTTAAATACTTTAACTATTCAAACTTCAAATCAAAAAGTTACAATCGGTCAAATGATAAAATTAAAGTACTTAACTATATTAAATTTTTTTTTGTTCAATCACAAATTGCTATACATATAATTTTATTATTTTTAAAAATTAGTTATTGCATGTATTTGAAGGCATAAAGTAATGAAAAATTATAAACAATAAATATATTTGTATTTATATCTAAAATTAAATTACAAATATAGAAGAGAGATAAATAAATTTAAGTATCGGTTGTAATGGGGGTGAGAGATGGTAGGCAACACTGGTGGTGGTAGGAGATAATGATGGTTGTAGTGGGTGAAAATGACTGTGGTGGTGGCGATAGCGGCGACAATAGTGGTGGTGGTAGAGATAGGGTGAGACGATTTTAAACATTATTTTTTTAAAGTACTTATGAGAAATAATTCATAGAAATACTTTTAAAAAATTACTTCAAACACACCTTTAAAGTTGTATTTTTTTTATTAAATTTAGAATGTTAATATTAGTCGTTAGACTAACTTTAAAGTAAAATTTAAAGCGATTTGAACCATAAAAAGCAAAAGTCATTTTGTTTATTTTTTGAAATTTGAATTGTAAGTTATTTTATTTTATAGACTAGTTATTGTCTGTACTTGAAGGCACAAAGTAATAAAAAATAGTAAACAATAAATATATTTGTATTTATATCTAAAATTAAATCACAAATATAAATAAGAGATAAAATAATTTAAACATCGGTTTGTAGTGGGGGTGAGAGATGGTTGGCGGTAGTGGTGGTGGAAGGAGATAGTAATAGTTGTGGTGGTGGCGACAGTGAGGGTGGTGGTGGTGGCGACGGCGGCGATGACGATAGATAGTTATCTTTTAAAATTTGAATTATAAATTAGTTTATTATATAGATAGATAATTAATACAAAAATCTCATCTACACTTCCAACTCATTTTTTAACATAATACCAAAAAATTATTTTCCAATTTAATGATCATATCCTCCTCTGCTCTAACCATGTGTCATTTAAATTCGTTACCCGCTTAGTATCACTTACAAACTAGACATTGGACTTTAGACTCAGAAGCTGCTAGTTCAGTATCTGATCCTCCACAGGGACATCAACGCTTTAGTCTCCAGACTCTATGGGTGTAACTTGGAGAGGTCAATTTGAATTCAACTCGAACTCACCCCGAAAAAATAAGAATTTGGTTGAAATTTTTAATACTTGGGTTAACCCTGAACTTAAAAATATCGTAGTATCCGAATTGAGACTTCGGGTTATCGGGTTTAACCCGAATATATAAATCAGACTCAACTTAAATATTAAATTAGACTAAACTCAAATATATTTAAAAATAAATGTATAAATCAATAGCATGACTTAGGACTAGAGTTCACATTTCACAATTTCTTCAACTTTCACTCGACTACGCCTCCCTCACTCAGACCCCTCATTCTCTCAAACTCTTCACTCAACCTCTCTCACTCCCTCACTCGGCTCACTCACTCTCTCACCCAACCTCTCTCATTGACGCCATCAACGATTGACTGACAACCCTCATCTACCTTCATCGACGAACTCTACCACTCTAACTCTCACAACAAAGATCTTCGACTCTCTCAGATTTGCGCCTTTCTCAACGAAGACCATCACTGGTATATGAGTTTTGATTTCATTTTCATTTTCAATTTTTTTTCAAGTGAAATGAGACCGAATGAACCTAATCAGAAATCAACTCGAATCTGCCTGAATTCACCTTGGACAATACTCGAATTAAATACCTCTGGTTAAGATCGAATTAAGTTAAAGTTAAGGTCAAAGATTACATGCTTAAAGTTAGCCCCTGAACCCGTCCGAGTTGCACCTTACTAGACTCTTTAAGTTCTAAAACAATAACAGAACTCAAAAACATCAGAACTACTTTGATGATAGAGCAACGATGCTTAGCTGATCTTTTCAGTTGATCGGTCACACTAGGACTGAGACACGACCTGGACTTCCTCGGGGGCATGCGTTAAGGTTTCACCCTAACTAATATTCACAGAGAAGAAATGCAAAGCCATTACTGGAACTTAAAATTACCGTGTTGAGAAGACATTTGCACAACTAACCAATTACTATGTAAAAGAAGAAAAAACTAATAACACTAAATACACATGATGATCCTATTGCTAATTCCTTCAATCTGGAAAACAATCAGAAGGAAGGATGTCTCAGGTCCTGATGATGTCAAGGAATATTAAAGTGCACCAACTGGATCATAAAATATAACCCACCAGTATAGCACACATTACAAACAGGGGTAGTTGAATGGCTAAGTTTGTCATTTGATAATTCAATCAGGTTCAACACTTCTCGTACCTCTAGGAACTATTTGGTAAAAGGACATAGAAGGCTTGGCAAGATGAATTTGAAAAAACTAGTCCAAAGGACCCCCAAACTCCAATTTTCCCGATTGAAAATTCAATCTTAAGTTCACATACTCGACCCGTAATTGGCCCAAATATTAAAACCATGATCATGATTTTCGTCAAACATAAGGGAGGATGGGTTTGGAAATATGGGTTAAAGGGTTTAAAATAAAAAGATACTTATACACCTTAACTTGGGTAAAAATTGAATTGATTAAGGGTAAAATAATCATTTATAGGATAAATAGTTATTAATAATTATGATATATCTATAAATCCTATATGTGTATTTATTTTATATCAAACATCGGTATGAATCGGATTCAATGTTAAATCTCATATTTGTAAAGAGAAATTTAGATTTGGAAGAATTTGGGGAAGCCAATCCAAATCTTTCCAAAAAATCCATCCAAACAAGCCCTTAAGGGCCAGCCACCATTATTTCTCCGCTCGAACTACGGTTAGTATCCGAGTTGGTGGGAGTAGTCGGCATAAACCTGAACACCCTATAGCAAAAAAAAAAAAATTACAAGCCTTTAATTTACACAATTATGTCAATGACCCTTTCGCCGATGTTCCCACGCAAGTAGCCAACTTCAAAATGACTGGCAACTGCTTTGGCACTCAAGCAGCAAAGACTACACCAACGCTGGTTGTGTCCTACGTAGGATGTCTTCATTCACCAATAAATCCATCCATTACCGACGGCGTGCCGAATTAGACTGATGCTGGGGTTTGCTATCATTCCGTATTCGATCAGCATACATGGGCAGGCGAATAATCTCATGATTCTCAGTCAACAAGATGTCCTCTGTGATATTGTCTCTTATACTTCGCATAACCTGTTTTTAATTCAGCAAGCACCATCGTTTAGTCCAATAAAGGGCTAAATGGTTAAAAAAAAAAACTAAAATAAATGATGATTGAGAACAGTATAAACCTTCTTATACGTGTTGAAGTCATTAGGGGTTCCTTTATCTGTCCTGATCCGCATACAGATCCATACCTGTTCCTCGGAATCCCAAGAACACTCAATAATTTTCCCAGAGTATGTTGATGGATCAGAATCATCTGCCACATTTGCAAAAATTAAATGAAGGGAATGCATGATAAACAATAATTATAAAGACAGAATCAAATAAGAAACACAGTAATCATAATATGGTGGATGCTACATGACAAACCGGTGCAGAAAAAGTTTTGAAAAAAAAAAAAACCAGTTGCAAGGTTTTAAAAACAGAGCCAAAGAAATCTATCTCCGACGTACCTCACACAAACTCACATCCAGCTAAATCACGTGTTAACTGCAAATGTAGCAATTGAAAATCTGGAAGTCTGATTGGCCAAAAAGTTGTAGATAAATTTCTACCAAAAGCATGCATGGAGTGAAGCCAGGAATAACATGATCAATTTTTAACTAAAAGCCATGATGAAGCAAGATTCTGAATTAATGCTTGTAATGTCTTCAAGATAAGTGAGAGAGCACCTTGCACCTAAGCTTCCAGCCAAAAAATAAATTCTCAAACAATATAAAATGGAAAGTTGAATAATGACAACAGGAGGTTTTAATAGAAATAAAACAACTAATCAATTTTTGCCAAATTGATTTAAGAATCACGAATTTTCAACTAAATGAATCCACCTAGTAATTCCAGAAGAATCAGAGACAAGGCAGCTGGGGCAAAGTCCGGGTTTCTTCCCCTACAATGGACTTGGTGTTCAGCTTAGACCTTGAAAGATTATAGGGCTCGATTTTTAAATGTAGTTAGGACCTGGGCTTTAGGGCTCGAAAAAGGGGCTGAATTGGCTTGATTTCACAAGGTGTTTGGTTGCAGAATTTTGAAGGACAGGGTGAAGTGTGAATGGAAAGGCCAAAGGCCAGGGTAAATGCATGAGTTATTAGGGTTTAATAGACAGGTCTTCTTAGGTGTGTTGGGGCTAGGCTTGAACCTATAATGATGGGGAAGGTTTAGATTTTGTGGAATCAGGATTTAGGGTAGAAAAGTTATGGCCTCCAGATCGGATAGTAGGCAGAAAATTATACAGAAAACAAAAACAGAAAGATATTCTAAGAATTTCATCTATGATAACCCCTCAAGGTAAGGTAGCATAAAGCATTAGCAAAAGCTTCAAAAACAAGTTACCAAACTGAATACTCCTAATACTACTAGAAAAATGACACGCTAATTGGGAAATTGATTAGACTCTGGCCTCTAATAGGCACATCTAGAACCCCAAATAAAACCCATATAATTTGAGCCATCCAATTACCCATGGTCTATGAACACAATCATGTACAGCAATTATGATAAAGACTAGAATACCCTTACTAATAAAATACCAAGTCAATATAAACACAATAATTCGCCAGCTATCGTAACTACCAAAAAATACAACATAAATTTGAATCTAAACTTCATGACACATTGCTTCAAGACATCATACATGCCAAATTCCATAATTGCCCTGCCTATTGCAGATATTCCGCATCATAGAAGAACCACAAGTCTTTGTTGTTGCCTTTGTAGGATTTTTATGTTTGTTGGCTTTTGGTTTGGACTAGGAAGTGATCAATGCTTTATCATATCATCTGTTCCTCCTTACATTTTACTACATAAACCTCAAAACTGGAACTTTTTTTTGAAATGGGAGACAACTTGCTGCAAGATCTCTGAACGGAGTTCCTAGCAAAAATTACTGATCATTGTTGTGAGTACTTGTATACTTCACTGGTCAAATTCAAGATTTTCTAACAGTAACTATAACGCAGAAAAGTGAATTATATATATTTGAGGCAAAAAGGAAAATATATATGATAATGAAAAGAAATCCACTAACCAGGGAATCCAACCCTATTTCCTTCCATCAGCTTCTTCTTCCCTCTTTCATAAAGAAAAAGTAGCTGTTGACTCTCGCTTATCTGTCAACCCAGTAGGATAATTTTATTGAAATTTGTGGCTGATAGGAGGAGGATGGAAAAATGATGCCCAAAGTAGCTAAAAAGCAATAACAAAGTTGATACTACAACCTCAAACAGAAAATCAACAGAGTTCATTTCTGGATATTTCCACTTCAAGAGGCCTTCATGGGTTCGAGGAATATAAGGATCATCCCAACCCTGGCATACAAAGACCATCAGCCACCAGAAGTGTACTGATTAACAAACTAAGAACTCCAATAATCTAGAACACAGTAATCTTTTCGTATGGCCGCTGCAGAGAGCAAGTTGAAGACAGATCCAAAGGAATTAGATATATTGCATGACAATATATGAAAACCACCACAAAACAATATCACAAACAAGCTAAGCAATTCACAGTGATATTATTTATCTTGCACCATCAGTAGGCAAAGCTATGTATAAGTTAGTGGCATCAACGGGCCCCTGCAGCACAAAAAGAAGCATACATAGTCTATTAGGAATTCTTGGGTGAAGTTGCTTATGTGACCACCCCAACAGCCACTGGAATGATTGAAGAAATGTAAAAGAATGGGTCCCTAGGGTCAAACACATCAATAGCCACCATTTAAACATACAAACTTATGCAAGATCAAATCCGTACACAAACAGTGTCCATCGTGCTTGTTCTCGGTCAGTGAGTCAAGAATGAGAGCTCTTGATAAGAGAATGGATTTCAAGTTGGACATGTGGTGTGTTTTGTCACTAGCTTACTTTTCTTCAATTAAATGTTAAGATAAAAACACTAATGTTTAAATGTTTGAGCATTAAGGTATGGAAACTCATTGAGGCAATTGTAAGGGTGTATGTATGAACGTACTAGGACTATATTATTCTATTAATGATTTGAAAAAGTTAAGTGCGATTGATTTTTAATAGAATTTATAGAACTTTAACACTTTTGAAAAAATTCCCTGGCGTTCTAAGTGCACCAAATAAATAGGCTCTGATGGCCAAATAACTAAATTTCCAGGGAATAATTGATGTAAAGACCCATAAATTAGAGTCATTAGGAAATTATAAAAAATTCACAACATGTCATTATTTGTGTTTGTAATCCTTGAGCACCTGAAAAATAAGGCCATCTGCAGCATGTGAAAGCCTGGGAATGAATTCACGCAAAAGTTTGGTAACTGTAGAGAGCAACCAAAAATCCTTCCTCCTCACCTGATCAACGTTGGCAAGCCAGTAACCAGTTCCATCAGGCTAACAAGGGACAAAAGGCTGGAAATTCAATAAATTAGTGGTCAACTATCTCATTCTTAACACATACCCTGAATGGTTCCAAATCGTATCTGTAATAAGGATCTCTACACTGGTATGAATTTTGTCGTTCATAATTCCGAGGTTCAATCACTTCTTTCTCAAGCATTTTCCATCGTTCATAAAAGGGCCGCTACGGACATAAATCAAACCTTAAGATTAAGAGATGAAACATCCAGGATAGAACCAGTAAAACACAAAAATATATTACTTGTGATGGGGAAGAAGTTACAATTATAAATATTGGATGAATCTAAATTTTCAAAAGATGTGCAAAACTATAAAATCATACTTGTTTAAAGACCGTAAACAAATTTACCAAACAGTTGAAGCAGATATATTATCTGCAGGGTTTTATCCATCACTTCCAGGGTACCCGTTTAAAAGAAAAAAAAATTCTTATACTGAGCTTAATATCAGTTAATCAACAGTTTTCTGCACATCACCTGACATTCTCTGACGTTCAAAATTTGAAAAACGCAAAGATTGCTCTAAATGACATCAAAAGTATGTCCCAGTTCAATCTTCGAGTAATTTTTTACCAATTGCAATGCAGATAGAAAGCTTACTCTTTCCTTTTGACTGCATCGCGTGGACAAAGAAAAGACAGATACTAAATTTACCAAATAATGCACAACATAGGCTGTGTATATAACTACATAACTATACACTCCTGTCCTACAACTTGCTTGATTTCATCTCTTCCTGATAAACCATGGCACATCTCAGTCTTAACTCTACATAGACCTTTTCTTATATATAATATCTTTGATCGTAAGTTGAAACAAGAACATCGAAGAATGTGCTACTAAACAAATATCTTAATGAATTTTTACATGAATTTGGCATTTTTTCCATGAACCGTGCTACATACAGCAAAGTTTGAACAATCTCATGTATAAATAACGCTTCCAAAGATGGTCGAGTACAGGAACAACTATATGTAGAAGCCCCATGACATTCGATCGGTATTGCAGTGAGTAAACTACTCATTTCTGAGTCCAAAATATTAAAAACTTTTTACTGTTGATCCCTCTATGTTGGCCAATTCCCCCACCACCCACTTAGGAAAAGAAAATTAAATGAAAACTGAAAGAACAGAAAGGAGACAAAGAAAACTAAAAAGTAGCCACTATAAGATAGATTACAGTGATAACCGTGGGTCTTCCTATCATCCCAGTCTTCCTAGTCAATTCTCAGCAATGCTTCAATTTCATTTGATCAGAAAATGCTACAATAAAGGCATGCAAGAACAAGAATTATGACCAAGAAATAATAGGGTTGTAAGTCCGTATACCATTATGATTACAAAAATGCACCAACAAATAAAGCCAGGAGCATGCCTTGACATATGGTCAGTTAATTGCTGGAGGATGCAGAAAAATCGTCTGACAAGGGAACATAGTATACCAGTCAATAAATTTTTAATATACCTTTTCTCCCTCCAAAAACACAGATAGTATATATTAAGATGTATGTGTCCCAATCATTCCAAGCATGGATAACTACTCTTTATGTCATGCCAATGGCACGAAACCATGTGCACTTAGACAAGCATTGACAAATCAAGGGCATGTATAGCAAGTGCCAGCATTGAGTACTATGAACACACTTACCTCTACGAGAGGGACTTGATTAATTACAATCAGATCATATATGAGGTATCTTCTTTCTTGCTTATGCGAGTCTGGCATGGTATCAATTATCATCTCCCCATCAAGTAATGTAAAGTGATGAGTCTTCTCAGAAAAGCCCTTACAAAGAGAAAAATATAGTAACCATGTCAGATTTGTGATCATCAGCAGATGTATTGTTAGACTATGGGAACAAAAAACCCTCCTGAAAGCACAGCAACATGCATACTTCATTGGTGCGTCTGCAAGGAAACCTCATCTGGACCCTTCGGAAAGTGAAATGCCTGTCAATCAAGTAGCACCCGTCCATAGTAATTAGCATCATATATCGTGTACCATCTTCTTTCCATGTGGCATAATAGTATCGCTGCCTTAGCAATTGTAGATTGTCCCTGCACATCACACAAATTGAAGGAACTGTTACAGTTAAAGAAATAGAAAACAAACATTCAAGGAAAGGACTGAATAGAAAAGATAACTTGTAACATCCATGATACTATTCTTTTTTATCAAAAAAACATAAAATTTGATGATGTCAATAAAGAAACTATCAAGTAGCAGCAAAGTCCTCCAGAAGAAAAGGTTGAGGGAGGTGATAAAATTCATTTGAAAAGTCGGGATGAGCTGCATTCAAGAATGAAGTGCAGAAATTGGCCAAGAGAGGTAGCTCAGGATGAGCTCCACTATCTTAGTTTCTCTTCCCATCACAATTTTTTAGAGCCAGCCTTACTTTTCCATAGGGATCGGGAACTTCAAAACACAAAATTGCTAGGTGAAGCAACTATAAATAAACACGGCTTTAACATGCACGTCACATGGAACATTAGATTCATGCTATGTCAGGCACTTCGAAGAGGTGACAAGGGATAGATTGAGACAACACTTAAATCATGCTAAACACAGGTCTACCAATGGTTAAAGCATTGGCCCTCATAACAGCTGGGGCTTTAAAAACGTATTTGGACACCTCTTGCCTTCCAAGTTCTAAATTTTGTGTAGATAGTCTAGCTGTAGTTGCTTCTCCCAGGAAATACGTAAAATATATGAAGCAAAACATTTGGTGATATTGTATTCCAGCTGTTCCATGTGCAGATTCAGTAGGTGACATTCAAACCACAAAATAAAGATGGAGCGAATTAAACCTGTTAAGCGAAACTGGGTGTGACCCTGGAAATTGGGAGTTCCCTCTTGCCTGGACCAAAAATAACATTATACTGTGAATGACAAGAGATAAACACAATACCACAAGAGCACCTATATTTCATCAGCAGTAAGATTTAATATTATCACTTTGATATAAATTAATTTGAACTAGATTTCACAATACCGTGAAATTATTATAGGACACTCAGATTTATGTAACTTCAGGTCTAATATAGTGTGAACAAGCCGAATGCCATAATGAATGAGTAACAAAACAAAATATGATACAATAAGTAGATGACATCTAATGGGTCCTTTGTGTACTGAATTGTGACAATAAGAAATGAGAAGTGAGATACATCTTGGGCAATAAGAACTACTAACATAACTACAGGATAATCTATACTACTAATAAAAGTATCTTAACATGAAAAATTTTTGATTCACTATTTTACCTTTATAAAAAATTGTAACAGCTAACATGTGCTTTTGTATTTAAATATGCAAATTACTACTCTTAACATATCATGCAAATCTCTCTATCTTTACAAAACTTTTGAATGGTCATGTTATACTTAACATGATATATAAAAACAACATTATTCTTTTTTTCTCAAAAACCTAATATTAATGCATGTTGACAATATCATCTCCAATGCCCAAAAATAGATATATTTCTCTTATCTCTTCATTCACAACAATACGATATTGTAAAAAGTTACTAATGCACAAAGTAAAAACAAGAAAGACAAAAAGAAAAAAAAAATTGAGAAAAGAAAAATCTATAAACCTTACTATTTGATATGTCGAATGAAAGAATCACAGAAAATGAGTCAATTAAATGTTTATAGTTATAAAGAGAATACAAACAATTTAATAATGATAAATATGAGATACTTTCTAATGTAGCTACATAATTAGATTTTTTTATGTATTTTATCAAATGTTTCAACAAAAATTTTCAAGTGCAACGCACGTCGTGTATGGCTAGTATATAGAAATGGAACTTAACAAAATGTGTGAGGCTGCAGTTGCAAACATCAAACTGTGAGGTCTGATTATAATAGAAACTAATGGACAAATAAAAACAGTAATTCTTTATATCTGGAATGCCTAGATGGAATAGATGTAGTTAAAAGCAAACCACAATAGTTGAGAGATGCCTTGGAAGTTCCTACCCCAACACCTAACTTCAATGATTGATAGCAGAATTGCCGAAAAGCATCTTGCTGACATGAAGGTATACCATTGCCCAGAATGTCATCATTTGTCAATACTATGTCTTTCTAATGATTCTCTTGTAGAAATTAGAGACATTGAATAACTAGGGTCAAATAAACACACGCTAATTGCAGAATACTTAATTGGACAAATTTAAAAGAAACCAACCATAATCCTGGTGGTGTTGGCTTAGTGGCAATTTTAGGGTTTAAAATTTGATTTTAATTGAAGTCTAGTATTTTGGACCAAGGTGCCACAAAGGCGCGAAGAGGGCCACATTATAATGTAAAAGATTTTGAGTCTTGGATTTGACTGAGGACATGGATTAGAGGCAACAAGGTAGAGTAGAAAGATCAACATACCCAACCCCAAGTAGTTCGCATTTTCGCTACTTGAAATGAAACGAGCATAAGTCATCATCCCCGTTGCATCTTTGCCTTATATTTTAGTAAGCATCTTCTCTTATTTGTCCATATCCATGTTCTTGTGCTCATGCTACAAGGTTGTATCCTATGTTGCTGATTCTGGTATCAGCACTACCTACGACAATTATAACCTATTTATACATTCAGGGATATAGATTTCAACAAATCACAGAATACCATTGAATTTCTCCCAAAGTGTGTATCCTATGTTGCTGATTCTGGTATCTAAGACAATTAGCACCTATTTATCCATTCAGGGATATAGATTTCAATAAATCACAGACTACCATTAAATTCTCCCTGCCACTCTAAGTCTTACGTGAACTCTAATTATCCTTATAAATCCTCAAAAGAATCACATACTGCTGTCAGGTGCTGCACTCCCCACATCCCCTAAGAGTCTAAGACTGAATAAGTATGAGAACCATCGGTGTTAGCATCTACTGTTGTACTTGTTATTATTGTATGCATACCCGTTTTATTGCAGCTAATACGCCTCATATCAGAGAAATCTCAGGTATGGGCTTCAGGCATTGCTTAAGTGAGAGAGGGATGGAGATTGTAGCATGTTGGGTAAGATCAAGATCCTTGGACTATCGAAGTTGTGGTCACTTCAGAAGAAACATTTTGGACAATTTTGTGGCTTTGAAGAAAAAAAAAAGTTTACATGGCTTCCTCTATCTGCTGACCAGACAAGCAGTCTGATTTCTCAGCTGAAAAGGAAGCATCCACTATGATGCCTCAAAAGGGTTCTTGGAACCTACCAGGGTTTCTTGGAATCAGCGTTGATAGTGTATGTTCTACCTTCTTCATGATTCCTCAACCTTCCTCTCTGTGTAGTTTCATTTCCATAATACATTTTTCTTATCCAAAAAAACACAAAACAAACTGGTTTGACCCTGCGGCAAAGAATATCAAATGACACAGTGAAAGAAAACTTTTGAAATCCCTCCATACATGCAAAGGAGCAGCAGAACCTCCATCATCATGGTCATCCGGTATTGCATCACCATTCAGATCAAGTTCGGATGATCTTTTCCAGTCGGGTATTGCAGGGCAAATAACTCCATCAGGCTTCTTTTCATGATAAAAGGTGTATAAAGCATCAATGTAATCTGGTTTGTATATGCCTGGTGGGCGTGCTTCAGCAAAAAATTTATTGCCTGCACTATAGGCAAGCCAGATGATCCCCAAAAATTTGGGTTCTTTTGACTGAATGAACAACAAAGTTGAAACAGCATGCAGAAAAAACTGACCTGAGTGACAGATACTGATAGTGTACGCATCAGATAATGAACAATCATATAGCCAGTGCGGTTATGTCCATGTGTGCAATGCACAAGAATATAATTTTTTGTGTGCCTCTGTTGGGCAACAAATTGTAAAACCTGATAGAATGCAATTATTTATCAACTATCATTAGCAATTCCCTTAAAATAGCACATTGAAGGCATACCACTTCCTTGAAAAAGTATGCTTCCCATGGATCAACAAATAGAACAATGGAAAGTCACATCATTGTTATAAAGAAAAAAAATATAGGACAAGTATTAACAAGGTACGCAACAAATAAACATAGTGCATATGTCACTACATAAAAACAGAGCATTGCTGTAACTTGATTCCTTAATATGCCACACTGCCGGAGAATGAAGAACTCAAATTGTGGTGCAACTAATTGGCTATTGTAGATACAAGGAAACATTGCCCTAAGGACTTATTTATGTACCTTGTCATGTAACACTGGAACATTATTTCCTCTATACAACTACTGCCTCAAAAGAAACTTAGCTTCTAGTTTTATCTAAATACACAGAATACAGTAAGATGGAAGCCAGTAGAATCTAGATCTATTATGCTGAAGTACCATTTAGGGCCACTGGATCATTTTGGATTCTCTAAGAATGCGGTAGAGAACATCTATCTAATAAGATGGCTAGGTTTTTGAACTGAGAGCATATTTTTCCCCCCAAATTTCACAAACCCACAACACACACTCCAATACACGCATAGTATCATAGCTCGGTGTACAATGACTTAGTCACGAGGTATCACTAATACATCTATACTACTTATAAATGTCAGCATATGTGAAAAATATTTGATTTTTGATTTTATCCCTATTTATTACTATAAAGTCAATTACCCCCACATGTTCTTACTTCTTATTAATATCATTCTTTTTCCTTCCATGTCATATTAGCTTACAAATTTCATTTGAACCAAAATTCTCCTTATCAGATAGGATTAGGTTTCTAACTGTTTACTTAATCTGATTAGATTCTACAGTCAAATATATTTCATACTTGATTTTTGGGTATTAAACAATATAATAATATGAATACAAATAATAGTATTTCAATCTAATCAATCTCTTTGTTAATAAAATATAATAAAACTATAATATAGCTAGATATGTAAATACTCAATAATGACAATTTTTAAGTTCCACTATAAACAACAAAAAGAAATTTTCAAAGGGGTTGAAGAGATACCTAAATATGACAGATTAGGTTCTCCAAGAGGGATAGAATAGATCAATAATTAAATTTAGCAAATAAAAATTAATTATTTGACATCTAGTTTATTGTTCAATTTAATTACAAGTATAAGTTAATATTTTATAAAAAAAATCACTATTTAAATATGTCCACGTGCAATGTACATTGTGCATTGCTAGTTTTATAAAATGCATTGAGGAAAAATGGAAGTGCCAAAGAAGAAATTTACCTCATAAACAAATTGATTTACAGACCCATTATCAGGTACTGAATCACGCCCCCTGCAAAATATCTGAATCACAAAAGCATATTTTAAAGGTTGGGACCCCAATTATCACAGTCCAACAGAATAGCTACCAACAAGATTTTATATCATAATCAACTACCCACCTTAACATGCTTTATATCTTCTTTCCCCATATCTGAGATAGAATAGTAACGAGTAGTGTTCGTAAGATCGATCACTAAGCCAAGCTGGAAATTCAGTAAACAAAATTTATCAACATGCCGATACTGGAACACCTTTTTTCAATAAGTAATACAGGAATAATATACTAAAAGAGGCCAAGATGTTGCAGCTTTACAATACCACAGACCTACCTTTTTCAATAAGTAATACAAGAATAATATACTAAAAGAGGCAAGACGTTGCAGCTTTATAATACCACAGAGCCATGTCATACCTTTTTCTAAAGAAAGTAAATTGTAATACAACCGACCCGTGATACTGAAGCTTTCAGATTCATTGATTCATCTGGGATACTAAATACGGTTTGGTAGGAATTTCAATCACATTTTTTGCTTTAGGATACTTGGTGAACAGAAGTTGCACAACTGCAGGAGCTAGACTTTAGAAATTGTCTTTTTCTAGAAAAGTGAAAAAACTATTAAACAGCACCAAAGTGGAGGCATACCTCATGTGCACACAGGGTACATAATGGGACCAGCCACAAGAAATTTACAATTACGCTCCTACTATAACAACTCACAGTGTTCAATGTGCTCTTCATTACCAAGAGAAAGTTTTTATTTCTCATATTGTTAAAGATACACTTGACTTTTCAAAAGAGAAACCCAGAATAAGAAAGAAAATAAGGTTTGAGTTCAACATACTCACCTTTCTTCCTAAAACTTTCTGTTGATGAATCGCTTGCCTGAATGAGTATCTTCTACCAGGAACAACACAGTCATTGAAGAATTCATCAAGTGGAACTTTTGAAGGAATAATGCAACCTATTTCCTGACCAAATGCTGGACAATCCAACCAACCTGCAATAAAAGGGATTACAAGTTTGGATAAATGACAAGAGGAAATGGATGATGAATATTATATTAAATAAACAAAAATCACTTTTAATCTAAGCACTGAGACAAAAAATGTCCAAAATCAAACATAAAGAGTGATGCCAAAAAATTAGAACAATTGAAAGGACATAACAAGTCATTGCCTGCAACACTGAAAAAATCAACAAGGAGGGAGGGAGGAACAGAAAAGGGAAGAGAGATCTCTTACTTCCCCCAAACATACAGGGTCCATTTAATCAAACCAAATTAAGGACTCAAATTTTGTAATATTGTATTATTATTCCAAAATAATATTAAGTTCAATAGCTAACCAAGTGATCTGATTAGTGTCAGGAGAATATATTCCTATTTTGGTAAATAGAATGATTTAGAGATTGCGTCTCTTTTGTAATAATTGTTTATTAGATATAATATTAATAGGTCTAAAGTCAGGCTAACAAATTCAAAAAACTACAAGAAAATTTTCAAAATCGTTTTTTATTGTGTATAGCATCAACCATTAGTCATTTTTGATTACTTCGCACACGATACTTGCAGAAATTAGCGCCATTCACCAGTGTTCATATAATAGTAATTTTAAAGGACCTACCAAAAGACAATAATAACAATAATGATGATCATGATGTTGTAAAATGAAAATATCTTCCAATACCAAACAAATCAGTGTATAAGCCCAAAATTACCAGGAGGAAGTCGATCATGAGAACTTAGTTTTTTTGTTCGAAACATCTCATCGTGCAAAGTTGTTCTCCCATCCTCGCACCCTCTTCGCAGTCGCTGACGTCTTTCCTCACTCTTCTAATGCAAGAAGCATAAAAATCAACAATCTAGCGAGCAGATCCAAACATAAAGGTTTTCAGTTCAAGAATGCAGATGCAGAAGAAGAAAATGTTCCTTATATCTCCACAAAACATATAAATAGATTAGAAATTTCTATGAAGAGGAGATTTCAATTAAGAGAATGCATAAACAAAGTGCATCCCACTCCGCCACTACTCAACAAAGCCTTAATACAAACAATTCAGGGTCGGCTACATGAATCTTGTTTCTTCTTTGTGTACTGGCGGGCCATATTTTCCATTAGACCGAGGTTATAATATTATTTTTTTAATATTTTGTTCGAAGTTATTTTACACCTACTTGTACCTCTCGCATTAACACCGATATGTATCAAATCATTCTTCTTTACTGGTGCATTACTAGGTTTTCTATAAACATATCCAAACTAGCTAAGTCGTTTTTCTCTTAATTTATCTCCTATTAATGTTATTTCTACGATTTCACAAATATACTCATTTTTAATTCGATTTTTTCTCGTTTTATCATATATCCATTTTAACATCCTCATTTCTGCAACACTTAATTTTTTAGCGTTGTTGTTTCTTCATTGCCCAACGTTCTATACCATAAAGAAGTGTTGGTCTAGTTGTTGTCTTATAAAACTTACTTTTCAACCTTAGTGGTATACGTTGATCACATATTACACCAGTTATATTCTTCCACTTAGTCCATTATGTTTTACTTTTATGATTGACGTCATCTCCAAAAGCAAAAAAAAAAAAAAAATTTGTGATTTTAGTTTTTTTTTTGGGGAGGGGGGGGGCATGTGTCCCCATATCCCCTCCGGAGAACAAAAAAAACAAACACATACAAAAGACAAGGGGATGGAGAAATATATGAAGAAAGAATCTTTAGTCAAAAATATTTTGCACTAAAATTTAAAAGGAATAAATATAATATAATTAAAGTCAGCCCACTAGCCCTAGCACCAACATCCTTTTGCCATGTCTTGGACCTGCACCTTCCATAGAAAAAATAAAATATGGAAATCAAACAACCAGGCAAAAATCAATAAAAAGTAGCCTTTGGAAGAGGCCACAATATCTTTGTTTCTCAACACATGCACCTTTCTATATATAAAGACTTGTAACCCACAATGACAAACACACCAAAACCATGAAAATGCACTAGACCTTAGTTGTTAGTATCATACGATATGCAATACATATCGTACGATATGTTACACTACACAAAGAAAACGGTATGAATTGCTAAAGTGTATTGGATTTGCACTGTATCGCACGACACACCATATTGTTACGATCGATACGAAACCTATCTTACGAGACGTACGATATGCACAACAGCTGAAATTTCTTTCTTTCTTTTGTTTGTTTTCAGGGTTTTTGAATCTAAAACGATGTTATTTCACTTAGAATTAAAAAAATTACGCCCTAGATAGTGAAGAATTAAAAAAATTACTCCCTAGATAGTGAAAATACATCGTTTTATTGTCCAGGGCTATATCTGGATGTTCTTCCTTTGTACATTACAATACAATACACCTACAAATTTTATCTAGTCCCTTTACACAATGTAACATCCTTGTAAAATTCATTTGGTCCCTGTGTACACTATAACACACCAGGAAGTTGTTCAATCATAACTAAACAAATTTATGTCATTGTTATTCAATCAGTGAAAAACTTTTATGCGCTATTGTCAAGAAATTTTTATATTAATGCATTATTGGAAACTGTGATAGGTAATGGGACACCAAATATTAATGAAATGAAATGTCATTATTAATATATATATATATATATATATATATATTTAAAATTGTGTGTGTCTTACGATTCGTTATAATTAGGGGTGACAATTTCTAATACAACATGAAAATATGACTCAAACTCGACATGAAATTAGCGGGTTGGGGTTGGTTATTTCTCAACACGAACCCGTAAATGACACGACCCGTTAATATAAATATTAAATGGATTAGATTAGTGTCAAACATGAACAACACGAAATGGATACGATTAACATGTTTAAATGATATTATAGAAATAAAATGCTAATTATTTGTTATTATTTTTATTATTTATTTGACATAATTATTGTACAAAAAATACATTTTTACTCATTATTATTGTTATGTTTATTTAGTTAATTTTTAATTTATTAAAGAAGTATGAGCATGGATTCAATTAATTGATAATAGAATCTTAAACTTAAATCTTAGCGACAAGTTCTTTATTCAAAGTTTATATGGGTCAATACGAACCTGACATGAAAATAAATAGATCAATCAAATGACACGATTAGTTAAATAGATCGGATTAGCGTTGACTAGTACTTAACACAAATATGAAATGACACGGCACGAACTCAACATGACGCAATTGCCACCCTTAGATATAGTACACAATACATTATTTTTGTAAAATGATACACGTTCCGATATGCGTTTTAACACCTAGCACCAGACCACAAAAAAATTTCCAAATCAAAGCTGCTCTAGCTCGCATAGATGATCTGACCATCTGGTCAAAAACAAAACCCAGTAGAAGAGGCAATGGTATATTTGTTTCTCAACTTCTGCTCCATTTATAGTTGCACAAAAACTCGTAACCTACAAACAAAACTATGCACAAATACACACCAAAAATATAAAAAATGCACTAGAAGATAAGGTATCTTTCAAGTTGAAGTTTTTTTATCTCACACATGGTCTGAGCATCCATTACTTATGTCAAAGCCAAGAATCAAGAGTGATTATGCATTATTACTTGCATTCTGCTGGACTAGAAACAAGCATGGCCTTTTGCAATAATCAAAAAATGATATTAGCACACAAAATCATTCTTCCTATTACAAAAACACCAATACTTGCACAGTATATTGTTTATCTCCCTTTCCTAATAATATCGAACCCATTATTCATACCTCAAGCTTAGATCCACTACTTATATTACTTTAACACAAACTATCTAACGTGATACATATCATATGATACGTCACAATACACAAGAAAAACAAGACGAATTGTGTCTCTGTATCGTTTTTTTTATCATATTGTACGATACACATAAAATATGCATCTATGATACATAATTTTTTTTGGTTTTTGGAGCAGAAACGACGTCGTTTCAACCAGTATCTTATTTTTTAATCCCTCGCTAATGAAGCAACGTTGTTTTAATAGCTAGGGTTTAAAAAAATAAAAATAAAGGTGGCCTTCTTCTCTAATCAACGAAGACTAAAAACTGTCCACCGAAGAGTCGAAGACACCAAAGAAGAACGGCCTCAGTCTTCTTCATTGCAATGGAATATCGGAAAAAAATTCTTCTTCTCTGGTCTATCGTTCTTCATTGCAAAAAAGTCTTCAGTCTTCTTCTTGATCCTCTAGATCTGTGAAGAGTTCGACTGAAGGTTTAGGCCTTTTCCCTAGCTGAAACCCTAGGCCTTTTTTCTTCATCTTCTTCTTCCTCTTGACCAAACAAAGCACAGCTCTTCCTCTTTCTTTATATTTTGGTATTAATGAACCACGATACAATATACAATACGATACACTATTTTTGAGAAACATAAATCTTCTGATACGTGATTTGACAACTAAGTTTCCTATGGTTACCATTCTTTCTTTTTGAAGGATTGTGGTTGCAGCATTCTCGACTACAATCAAATGATCAAACATGGAAGTAAAGGAAAACAGGAAATACAAATAAACCACAAATCATGTGTGTAGTGAAACTCAAAATCCAATTTATTCATAAGATGCCAATATGGGCTAGTTGATCAAAGGATCTATTTGAACAATGCGATTTAATAAAGATAATCTTTCTAGCAATGCCCTTTCCGCGCACACAAAAAAAAAAAAAAAAACTCACCATCTAACCAACCCAAAGTAAAAGGATTGATTACACTTTTCACCCTTTCAGTCCTCAATCTTCCAATTATATCAATTAGGTCTGGGCATGGATTTGAAATTTAAAAGTTTGAAGGCCGCATTGGTATGAACAATTGAAACAATCAAAAGATTGAGGACTGAAGTGCACATCAATATAAATTTCAAGGGTCAAAAGTGTAATTAATAAAAAAAAGGTAAGGAAAAATAGGAAAGAGAAGAATAGTAGCATTATAATGCTATGCACATATATGCCAAAAGCATAAGAAAAATGACATTTGTTTCCATAAATCCAGTAATAACTCGTGCTTGAAGACAGGGTACCACAAAAAATCTAAGCGTCAAAAAATCGATCCCAGTGTATCAAATAGAAATTTCTTTCATTCCTTTTATTTAATTACATAATTTAAAATTAATTTCTATCCATTATTTTTTTTAAAAAAATCAATAAAAAATTTCAAAATACATGACCTCAATAAAATACCAACATGTGAATACTGACGTTTATGAACAATGTTCGAAATAAAAATTGTATTGAGCCACAAATTAATTACCCATTATTTTTTATAACAAAATTTTATTAAAATACATGACCTCAAAAAAACATCAACATATGTACATAAGGGTGTTAATCGAGTCGAGCCTTCCAAGTTTGTCTATGCTCAGGCTCGACTCATTCAATTTAAGGATTGCACAAGCTCGGATTGAGCTGGCCTATTGGGCTCAAAATATTGTTCAAGCTCTGCTCAAACCAAATTCGAGCCGTGCTCGAGCCAAAAACAAGTAATTCAAAAAACAATTCAAATCCACAAATTTTAAATACATAATCTACAAAAACGTACACAAATCTGAGCATAAAATACCTTTGAATCAAAACAAAAATATACAAACTTAAATTTATATGTATAGCATACAAACTTAAAATTTTTGCTAATTTTACTACAATAAACTTAAGATCTGTAATAATTTATATGTATATTATGTATAAGTAAGACAAACAAGTCAGCTCACGAATAGCAGCTTCGCTCAGCTTGAATACTAAACGAACCTAAAAATTTGTTCAGATTCAGCTCATTTTATAATATAAGCCCGAGCCATTCGCGAGCCACTCGAATCATTTAACAACCCTATGTGTACACTATCGTATATGAACAATATTTGAAATAAAAATTATATTGAGTCACAAATTAATTAAAAATTAAATTATTCAACTTGTGACAGAAATGAGTGATGTGATAGAAATAGACGAGAAAAATATGTGAGTATAAAATTCAAACGCTTAACTCAATTATTGTATAGATGTTTTAAAAAGAAAATGCATAAAACACCTAAAAGAAGAGTCCAATAAGAAAATGAATGCTCAAAACGTAAAAACATAAAGAGCATCAAATGATAAACAATGAAATACCCGGCGCACAATATCAACTCTAGTCTCCACATGTTCTCTAAGTTCTTCCAAATGCGGCAACAAAGGTCTCTTCATTTTCTTCTGGTTGCAGCGAGGCGTTCAAATCCATTCTAGCTATCATTCAAGATGCACCGAGAACATTTGCCAAACATCCACTACGAAATCTATCATGGTACTATTTTCAATTCCGATAATTATGAATTACCTAAACTGGATAAGAGAGCAAATACAAGTCAAACTTGAGCTCCTGACAATGAAAAATACCGCCAACTACTTTTCATAATCGCTTCCCAAAAAAAAGGAGAGAGAGAGAGAGAGAGAGAGAACCCAAGTAACTTAAGTTCTATCATATATAATGGAAATAGTAACCCTGTGGACGGTGATGACAAACACAACCTTAACTAAAAGTACCACTTCACGAACAAATATCCCTGATTCCTCATTCATGTGACGCAATGATGCTCCATGTCAATACAAAGCAACAAATCAACTTCAATTGTACACACACCGGGTACATGAAGAACTTGTCTAAACCAACCACATAGTCTCATAATGTACTAGCCTTGGTTAAGGCCAACTCTCAATTTCTTATATCAGAATCAGGGCAAACCCTATCATTGAACATCAATCAATCAACATTTGCCAAATGCTCTCCAACGCATTCATTAGGGTGATATTGGCGACGCTGAAAAAAAAAATAGTTATATCACTTAAGCAGGATAAGAGATCCTGTTTGTGGGTATCTTTGTGTATGTGTGCATGAATTCAAGCTCCAATATCGAAAAACCAACACCTTGTTAAAATAAGTATCATTACATGTCTGCATTCAAATGAGAGCTCTAACCCTACCTTCAGACCCCGGCAAACTAAAACGGACAGAAATTCCAATTCGAAATTGCACATGCCCCAGAAACATAAAAGAAGTTAATCAACCAAAAACATCTCTTAGCCTCAGTTAACTAGAAACCACTGATTTCTAAGTATCAAGATCAATGAAAAACGAAAACTAATTGCATAGTCAGAATCAATTAAAGAACTAATATTCGCTATTTCAATTTGACACCTTTACGTACATTTTCTCATCAGCAATACGCAATAGCAGAAAGTAAGACAGTAAACCATCAGTTTTCACACATGAATTCAGGTTTTCGTGATCCAAAAACAGCCGAAAACAATTGGCATTACCAAAAAAAAGCTCTAGTGGGAAATGCAAAACCAATAATTCAGTAAATACTCAATCAAGACGAGCTCAAACCTAAACGATGGCAATGTAATCAATGACACCAGAAAACTTCAACCCATTGGCGTGACAAGTTCCCAAAAATATGGGTGAAAGTTCAACCCTAGAGAGATATAACTTCCACTCTTTTGGAGAGACAAAGAGAGCGAGGGAGAGAGAATCGGAGAGAAGAAGTAAAATAAAATAGTAATATTATTTCAACTTAAAATTTTGACCCGTCGACACGTAATAACGTGACTTCAGTAGAATTATTGAATCAACATCGAGTTCTAATATTTGATGAATCCTACAATTAATCCAAAATCATAGTAAATTAGGTCAGTAAATTAAGTTTCAATAGCATTGCTGAACATAAAATAGATTTAAAGTTTAAGGAATCAAAATTTGTGCTTCAATAAATCTATTTTCCAATTTTAAATAGGTTCATTCCTACCGTCATTACTCTCAAAATTATTCACATTGCATGAGTTATCTTTATTTATAATATAAAATAGAACCAACTTCAATAAACATATTTGACGATGTTAAATAAACTCATTCAAAAACCACCAACATGTATCATTCTCTAAAATTATTCATATTATATCATTCTTTCAAACACGAGTCACTCATAATTAAGAATATAATATAACAAACAAAATACTAATTTTCCTTATACTTTTTATTACTCTGTATAATGTTGATGAACCCTAGTCCCATTGTGGGTGTATATCTTTGATTGAATCGAGAATATAATATAACAACATAAAATACCAATTTTTATAATACATTTTATTACTGTATAATGTTAATGAACCCTAGTCTTGTTGTGGATGTATATCTTTGATTGAACTAAGAGAAGATTAATCAAGGTATGTATAAGTTAGTCTAGATGGACTGACTTTGATCGAATCGAGGAAGAGATTAATCGAGGTACATACAAATTAGCCTGGACACCTTTAATCATTAAACCAAAAATAAATAAATAATATATATATATATATATTTATATATTATTTGAATTCAGATAATTTATAATATTAAAAAATTGTTAAGATAGTTTCAGCTTTAAATAAAAAATAAATATGAGTAATTGCACGATTATTTTCAAATAACTGGTATGCTGAGATTTGGATTTGTTTTTCTATCAAATTTATACTGTTTCGTGTTAATATTTATTTGAGTTTTACTTATAATCAAGTTTGTATTGTGTCAAATTTATACTTTTATTGTCACATTTAATTGAGTTTATGATATATTTAATTTACTTCGATCTACTAATATGATGGATTTAATCATTTTTAAGTCTTGGGTTGAACTTAAACAACTACTTTTAATTCGGTTTAAATTCAAACAATATTAAAGGTGAATTTAGATGTTTCGTCGTTTCTATCCCAATAACTACTCAAATTGATCAAGTTGAAATTAAACAGCCAAATTCGAAAGATAATTTACATTAAAGACTCAAATAAAAAGTTTACACAAAATTTGAGAGTGATTATGCATATTGTTCAAATCATGGTCATAATTTACAAGTGATTGTGTGATCATATTCACGAGTCAAAATGATAGATGGTTAGTATGATTCTTTGATTTTACGGAAATGGAAAAAAAAAAAGTTATCACATTTAATAGCACCACCACCTCCACCATCACTGCCAGTAGTACCACCACTATCTTTCCCTGAATCACCACAATGCTCATGGCAGCAAAGTCAAGTGCCAAGTGCCAACCAACATTGTTGCAGTTTTCGCGACAGCCATAAGGCATTACCATCACCAACAACATTCCCAATTTCACAACTTTTGTTGTCACGGACAATACATCTCATAATTTTTAGTGAGGATATTGCATTTTTTTTTTGATTCAATGGTTAAGATTATCTAGACCACCTTATATGTCCCTCGACTAATCCCCTATCAGGTTCAATCAAAATCAGATCATCCACACCGAGACTAGAGAATTTATAAGAGATGAATACTTCATTATATGACCCCTAAGGAATTTATTAAGATTCAAACTCAGGACATCTGATTTTACAGCTCGTCCCTGTTACGATTTAAACCACTCCTCGGTGTTTGGATATTACGTTTCAATTGCAATTTATTAGTATAAATTCCTGTGGCGAAAGACAAGAAAGCATATAAAGTGCTTACAGAAAAACACAATCTCAATGAGAGCAAACTCATATCTAATGGGAATTTCATAACACGACAACAAACTAAGCAAGATAGTTTTTCCCCCTTTATTATAGAAAAGACCCATAAACTAGTCGGAACCTAATCTCCATTTTGCTCTTCCTGGTATTTGAAAGCATGAAGTTCAGCTTTTCCCAGGAACTCACACTATTTATACAGTGTCCTGTGTCTATCAAAATAAATATAAAGACAACTTCAATCTATCGAAACCTGATCAATTAAACGGAAGAAGAAAAATAAAACAAGGAAGCACTAAAGAAATTCAAAATCGGAAAATTTGAGGTTATAAACAGATATTCCTGCAGATGAAAAACCTCGGACCCTGGAAGGAGATGATGCTGGAAACCAGGAAAAAGAGTGCAAGTTGAAGAAAGTCCCATCTTTGCAGACACTGATGTAATTTCAACAGATTTATCAACCACCATGGTTTAGTTCCCATACTTCCACACCATTGCATCTACAATTTACAAACAAAAAAAAGATTACTGCATGATATTAGAAATGAACTGACGTTGTAAGTGATGAAGAGATTCAAGAAATAATGACCATATGAGATGAATCTACACAGCCAAAAGTAATATGAAGGGCCCTTCAAAATCCTCAAGAATCTGAGTGAATGAAATTCATCCTCCAGTATTCAGTTTGGTTAAGGACAGACATAATTTGAAATCATGCCATATACTATTGGACACTTCGTGCAAGAATTTGGGGCTGTTCCCGTTTACAGAAAGAGAAAAGCATACCTACAAAGAGACAGATATGAGAAGATGTGAACTTACATCAGGCAAAGCTGCGGTTTGCCTCTAAGTTGGTCTCTACTTTCGGATTTTCTGTGATCAAACTTCCATTTGATCCTCCAGAAGATTCAGCGGCTTCAGAAATCTCTGCCTTCAGCTTCTCGTGCTTATCTTTTAATGCCAGGGAACTCATAGCCTCTGCCAGGCTCTGTTTTATTTGCTGCTCCAAAGCCTGGATCTTATTTCTTGATTCCAAGTCAGGTGTTTTTCCTGCCTTTGCTACTTCCATCTTCAAAAGATCAATCTTGGCTTTCAATTCAGACGTACCGATAACATTTTTCATTATGTCATTAATTTCCTCATTAAACTGATCTACCTTTGACTTGACGTCTAAGAATGAAGGTGGGTAGACATGCAAACCTGAAGACTTAAGAACATCAGCGAATTCAAACTCTATGTCTTCCTTTATCTGCACAATTTTCTTCTTCAGATCCTGGTTTAAATCCTGAATTCTGGACATCCCAGAATTTTCGATTTCGGCCTTTAGTGCCTCAATCTTCTGTTTCACATCAGGCCGGTCAATGACCTCTTTGAATCTCTTATTTATTTCCTGCTTCATTGAACCTGCCTTATTGTTTTTCTCTGATACAATCTTGGCTTCAGTTATTTCCTTTAACATGTCAAGCTTATGTTTCAGGCTTGCATAATTAGGAGCTGTGGACAGACTTTGGCTGAACTCATCCATAAGCTTTTCAATCTTGACCTTTACAGATGGATGCATGAGCTGGTCCTTTGAATTCCTGGCTTTTGCAAATTCTTCCTGCAACATTGTAATTTTGTCCTTCAAACCCATAGCTTTAGCAGCGTCAGAAAGTTCATGATCAACCTCTCTTTTCAGTTTCTTTATCATCTTGTTCAGACCCAACTCTGAAGGCTCTCCAGTGGACTCTCTGGCTTTCAAAATCTGCTGTTTCAGTCTCTCAACCTCACCCTCCAACTCCAGGCTTGAAATTTTCCCAGGCTGGAGAATGGGTTCTTCTTTCTTTTTCATGTTAACTTTCTTTTTCGGATCAACTGGAACCCCTTCTTGGAACCCACCAAGTTTTCGAAACTTGAGCATCCGATGCTTTAACAGCTCTTGTGTGTCCATCTTTAAAAGTTCCTATACAAACATACATATGAGTCAGTTTTGATTGAAATTCGTGAATCTGGTAGAAGATTTGAGGGGTGAATAACTCACCTCCATTGTTTCAGTAATTGCATTTTTTATTTGCAATGAGCACCAGTATGGATCAGCATGAGCACCACCAAGCGGCTCCTGAAACAAATCCAAATATTCCCTTAAAACATCATAGAAGATGATAAAACTGTTATGCAATACAAGCGTCTTCATTGAAGCAGAAAAACAAATACCCTTTAAATTTACTTAATTGACAAGCATAAACAAGTATCTTCCCGATCTCATTAGGGATCTAGGGGAGAAAAGGATCTTTAAGAGGGGACATCATGTGATTGGCAAATCCAATAGCTTTTATGGAGTAGACTTCTATAGAAACTAGCAATGCACCATGTGCAAATAATTTTTGTACACAAAAATTAATAAAATCTTAGTAAAACTTACAAAATTTATTGTGACTGAAGAATTATACTAATAAGATACAAATTGAATTTAAAAAACTATATATACAATTATTTTTTATCTTAGAAATGAAAGAAATTAAATTTTTTGATGAAAAAGAAAATACACATATGTAGGTATAATATTATCTTTACAAATAAGATAAATAATATTAAATTGATGGAGTTTTTGAACATTTTATTGAAAATATAATGATGCATTTTTTTTAAGGGTAATATCAAGAAAAAAAAAGTTTTATAGAAACTAATATTTATACATAGAGAATAGATAATTAAAAGATATTATAGATAATTTGAAGATTTAAATACATAAGGATATAATGGTAATTTAGTTATTTAATTGTGAAATGATAAAATAGTCTTTGTAATCCTTTATAAGGGTAAAATAGAGATTCAAAAGTTTTTTATTTTAATATACTTTTTTTAGTAGTATAGATTTTTTAAGGGTAATATCAAGATCAAAAAGTTTTATAGAACTAATATTTATACCTAGAGAATAGATAATTACAATAGATGCTATAGATAATTTGAAGATTTAAATACATAAGGATATGATGGTAATTTAGTTATTTAATTGTGAAATGATAAAGTGGTCTTTGTAATCCTTTATAAGGGTAAAATAGAGATTCAAATATTTTCCATCTTAAGGTCTTTTTATTAGTAGTATAGATAGATAGATAGTATACATATCTAAATAAGCTATATCTCGTATGAGCACATGTCCAACTTTTTGTATGACATTTTCCACTTATTTGGAAGCCACATTACAATTGCAAGGGACCTTTTTTTTCCGGCCCGGGAGGGGGTGGGTGTTCAAGGGGGAGGAGTATATGTCTAAATTGATAGTTAGAGTGGAGAGGAATTTTACAGGGATGATGCCATCTGCAATTTGGAGCTTGCACAACTCTCCAGCAGTTATCTTAAGCTTCTCAGCTGCCTGAAAAGAAAGGCAACTAAATTAGCTCCAGCTGTTAATCTCTTTCTTTATTTGATCCAATTAGTGAATACTAAATATAACCTTTGGAGAGGCTTTGGCACTCTTCCACAAGATTGCAGCACATGCTTCTGGGCTGTACCATGTGAAATGAAATGAAACAAAAGAAAATCAAATCAATAAAATTCTTAAGGAAATATAAGCAACTATAGTCATTTAAATAATATAAGACTCTATGATGGAAACTCAGAAAATTCCTTGGGACATGAAAAGCCAGATGGTATATGGTTAAGTAGAATCATGTCTCACTTAATTACCAAGGTCGATCATTTCTTCCAGTCTACAAAATCCTTGCCATATGGGAGCCTCACAAATAATTTTACTGGTGATATTCATACTCAAAAACGATGTTGGGCCCGTTTTGTAATTAAGAAACTAGCAGATCAAACTTTACAGCCTAGAAAGTGACAATTGCAGATGCTGTTTGCTCACGCCTACATCAACAATATTGATAGGTTTAAGCTCAAATTTGTGTAAGATTATCGATCATTTATAGACACTCTTGCAAGTAAGCATCAAATGTTCAGATGCCAATTCTACATCCACAATTTTGTACTCGAAGTTTCAGGACCAATTCTGCATTCAGCACAGTGAAAAGTGCCCTAAAAAGACTTTTATTATTTGACTCACCACACAATCTGGCATAATATAAAATGTCCAACCAGTCAGTTTAGTGCATATTTTCTAGAAATACTTGTGAATTCGAAAATATACAGTTCAGGACTCATTTATTTGCAAATCTGCACTGCTAACATGTTAACATGTATAGTTTCTAGCCCGAGCTATGTTAATGACTGTACGTAGATGGGGTTGACTACGTTGAGGACAATAGTTTCAATGACGGCGCAGAATGGGAACTCTCATGCCCATTTGTGCAAAAGATCAAATGATGGTAGAACAAAAGCAGTATTCCTTGAAGCTAGACCGCAAAATGAAAAAAAACAAACAAAAGGACCGATCCTTTGCATATCTGGGTCGTGTAAACAACAGTAGCATAAAATTAAACTATGTATTGAATATTATTTTGCCACCAGTAATCTAAACAATTTTTGGAGGTCACGTGTTGCTGTTACTGATTGATCACAGGAGTTCTACAAACATCAGGTCAAGGGCAATTTCCCATTCCAAGTCAGCCATGCAAGGAATATTCTACACCAACAACTGAGGGCTTAGTCATGTGGACTTGCTAGAATATTTCAACTTAATTTACTTTTCATTTTCTAGATTGCAGATATTACGCAGAGAAACACAACGAGAATAAATCCCAAGCTTCATTGGACCTACTAGAATCTTACAAGAAAATAATTTCATTTGCTAATCACCTGGCAACATAGAAGACTGCATTTTCAAGCATCAACAATTTGTTAGCACAACCGATAGCCAGAGCACCACCAGAGCCACCTTCCCCCATAACAAAGGAAATAATTGGTACCTTCAGACCAAACATAGTCCTCAAGTTGTGAGCTATGGCTTCGCCCTGCACACAGGTAGAGCATAAGATTTGGTTAAACATCCAGCCAGCATAAAAAAAGAGTATGCACCGTGGAGACATTTAACTGCATACTTGGCCAAGTTCTTCGGATTTAAGGTCAGCATATGCCCCTGGAGTGTCAATGAAAGTAACAATGGGGAATCCGTGGTGATCTGCATAATACATCATTCGCAGAGCCTTCCGGTAACTGTTAAAAACTGATTTTCATAATTTGTAGTCATAGAGAAAACATTCTTATCCAAAAGCTTAAGCGTAAGGAATAAATCAACTTCCCATCAACCTCCAGAATAATACATGAAAATTGCTACAATGGCAACTTCTAATTCACCTTTTACAACATCTCAGGAAATTAAGGAATTCATCCACCCAAATACATACCCATGAGGTGTAGGCATCCCAAAGTTGCGTTGAATGTTCTCCTTTGTATTTCTACCTTTCTGATGACCCATAAACATGTAGCTTCTGCCATTTATCGTTCCAAGACCAGTGACAATAGCAGGATCATCATAACCTGCTCGATCACCATGAAGCTCTACAAACTGGACATTTGAGAATATAGAATGGTATATCATGAGATTTTTTATCGTAGCATACAAGTAGGTTTAAAATGGAATATATCTTAAATTGGAAATATGAAGCACCAAACCTTCTCAGTAATATTAAAGACATGATCAAGAAAAGTGGGCCTGTTAGGATGCCGGGCAATATTCACGCGTTGTATAGGAGTCAGATGCGTGTAAAGATCTTTAAGAGCCTGAAATCAATATGGTAAAGAAATTAGTAAAACAGACAGATAAATATTATAATGACACCAATTTGTGACAATTAAATCAAGAATTTATAAGATATAAGGTCCTGTGGCATTTTGTGACTATGATATTTTTATTCAAAGCCTTGAGATAGAGGCATAAGCATCCTACAAACAAATGGTAGAGTAAAAGCATTTTTCATACTCATGTACTTCAACTCAGAAATGTGATATGTGAGTAGCACTGACAGCTGGATATTGTGAATAAATAATAACAAAGTTACTTAAGCGTTGAGATCACACATATGGCCACAGGCATCACAAATGGCTAAGTATTGTTTTTTTGAACAAGGGCCAAGTATTGTTCATTATTTACTTTTTCTTCAGTCCTTCCAGATCAACGCACATGCAATGGTGGAATAAAAGATTACATCATTACTCCTTTGGATGAAGTCAACAAAATTCAACATGTTCCATGATACAAGCATATCCAAAAACATACACGCATAGGACAGCAGTAAAGCAAAGATGATAAAAATCTTATGTCCATGAAAATGCATCATCAATATGAGGTGAACAGATCCATCATAAGGCTCTCCTTTTCTTCTTCTAGGAGAATGCAAGAGGCAACTCCCTCTTTTCCATCTCGATTTGCAATATAGTGTGTTAAGAGTATTAGGATAGTATGTGTAAATTGTTAATAGTAAGAGAGTGTATGTGTAATTCTTATTATTGTGAATTAACTATAAATATAAGTGATGTATGAGAGTTAGGTTAAATTTTTAACCTCTCTCTTTCTCTCTAATATTATGTTATGTTATTTCTCTCAATTTAACATGGTATCAAAGCAAAACTAATACAAATATTAACTATTTTGGTTCGTGGTTGTGTGACCATTGTTGCTGTGCCTGGTCGTTCGTTGTGTTGTACTGTTCGTCGTGGTCTAGTCTGGTGGTGGTGATAGTCGACTGGTGTGGTAGACGTTGTGCTGTTCATCGAGTTTTGGTATATGTTTTTGGTGGTCGCTTCTGGTTCTACTTTCGGTGGTTTAGTCGATTGATTATCTAGTTGTTGGTTGTTCATCGCCGTCGACCATTGAAGGGGCATTAGGGTTTGTTGGTAAAAAAGACGACCCACTCGAACTGGGTCGATAGCGGGTTTGGGTAGTAGATCCAAATCCAAATCCAAGCCCAACCCAATCAAGATCCAAGTCAAGAACCTATCCATATTCAGCGGTCCAAATCCATATTCAGTTCAGACCTATATCTAGTAGCCTTAAACCAGACCGGTTCAAGTCCAGTTCAATCCCGGGTCAGTGAGTTTGCACCGATTTAGTCAGTTTTAGACTGGTTCCATCTGTTTTGTCTCCGGTTCAGCGGTCCAGTGAACTTCTTTGGTCCGGTTCAACGATCCAATGGAGTTCTCCAGTCCGATTCAGTCATCCAATAATCTTCTCTTCTTCGGTTTAGTAGTGCAGTAGGTGATTCTTGTCCAGTTCAGTGATCTAGTGATTTTCTTTTTCTATTTGCTGCATTTGTGAAACCCAAACAAGACACTGGATTGGTTACTATTACACGAGAGGAGTATGCTCAGTTTCTGTCCCAGCAACAAATTGTCCCACCTCCCTCCACCGCTACTTTTGTCTATTCAGGTATTTTTTTCACTTATTTATTGTTCTCCACTCGCAGTCCCTAAATCATAGACTCTGGCGCTTCTGATCACATGACTGGTGCATCTGATGTTTTTTTTACTTATCAGTCTACTACTTCCACACATAGTGTTACTCTTGTTAATAGTACTTATTCTAAAATTTCAGGTCTGAGTACTACTCACTTAAGTCCTAATATGTCTCTATCTTCCATATTATTTATTTCTCAGTTTTCTTTTAGTTTACTTTCCATTAGTAAGATTACTCGTTCTTTCAATTGTTCTATAACTTTTTATCCCTCTTATTGTGTCTTTCAGGATCTCAAGACGAAGAGAAAGATTGGTACAGGGCATAAAGCTAGTGGCCTATATTACTTTGATTTTGATTCACCTACTCGGGCTCTACAGACCTCGTTGTCTCCTTTTTAATGATATTGTCGTCTTGAACATCCCTCTCTCCAGAATCTGAAGCACCAAGTTTTCAGTCTTAATTGTGTGTCATCTTTGTCTTGTTAAGCTTGTCAACTTAGTAAGCATCACCGTGTGTCATTTCAGTCTAGAGTCAATAATCGTGTGTCTATTCTATTTGAGTTGGTATATTCTGTTATATGGGGTCCAATAAAAAATATTTTATCTAATAAATATCTTTATTTTGTGTCATTTGTGAATGACTATTCTTGTGTGGCTTAGTTATTTTTTAGGAAAGCTCGGTCTGTATTATTCTATATATTTGAGACCTTTCGTAATAAAATAAAAACTTAGTATAGTTGTCGTATACGTATTTTACGTTCTGATAATGCTCGAGAATATGAATCTAATCATTTTTCAACTTATCTTAGTAAAACTGACATTATTCATCAGACTTCCTGTGCTTACACATCTCCACAAAACAGTGTTGCTAAACACAAGAACCGTCATTTGTTGGAAGGTACCCGTGCCCTATTATTTCAGATGAATATTTCTTAATATTTTTAGAATGATGTTGTTCTTACTACTTGTCACCTTATTAGTTGTATGTCATTCTCTGTGTTAAATGGACAAAATTCATATTCTGTCATTTTTCCTAGTAAGCCCATATTTTTCCTAACTCCTAAGGTTTTGGATGTGTCTGTTATGTTCACAATTTGGGTCCTGGGTTTAATAAACTTGACCCTCAAACTACCAAATGTGTATTTCTTGGTTATTCCCGAACACATAAGGGATATCGTTGCTACAGTCCTTCTCTGCGCCGATACTTTATTAGTGCTGATGTCACATTTAAGGAATCTGTTTTATATTTTTCAGCACCTTCTCAGCCTTTGAATCTAGACTTTGAGTCATCTCTTGTACCACCATCTCTTTCCTCATTTTCAGATATTTCGTTGCCCACTATGTTAACATCTATTTTACCTCTTCGTGTATACTCTCGTCATCCTTGACCATCGACTGAGGTGCCTGTACCATCTTCCTTGTCGTCTTCTAATCTTGGTCCATCAAGTAATTTAAACTCTTTATCTATTGCTCTTCAAAAATGTATTCATTTGTGTATTACTAATCATCCCATTGCTCATTTTGTTTCATATGATGTCTTGTCTCCTGTCTTCTCTTATTTTACCTCTCAATTATCTACTATATCTATTCCTAAGCATTTACAGGATGTATTATCTAATCCGAATTGGAGAAAAGCTATGGAAGATGAGATGGATGTCTTATATCATAATGGGACTTGGGATCCCGTTCCTTTACCTCTTGGTAAACAAACTGTTGGTTGTTGTTGGGTGTATACTGTTAAATTTCATCCAGATGGTTCTGTGTAGCGTCTCAAAACCCGACTTGTTGCAAAGGGCTTTACTCAAATGTATGGTGTTGATTATGAAGAGATTTTCTCTCCTGTTGTCAAAATTTTCTCTGTTCGTATCTTGATTTCTTTGGCTACTAATCTTGATTGGCCCTTGTTTCAGTTAGACGTCAAAAATGCCTTCTTACATGGTAACTTAGTTAAAGAGGTATACATGGAGCAGCCACCTGAGTTTACTGCTCAGGGGGAGTATAGTAAGAATGTATGTCCGTTAAAAAAATCTTTGTATAATTTGAAACAGTCATCGAGGGCATAGTTTAGTAAGTTTTCAGATACAGTTTTAGAGTTTGGTCTTCTTCGATGTCAGACAGACCATTCTATGTTTCATAGACAGATGGATATTGGATATGTTCTATTGGTGGTCTATGTAGATGATATTGTGATCACTAAAAAATAATTCTGAGGGGATTGCTAAGTTAAAAATCTTCTTGCAGAATCGATTTCATACTAAGGATTTGGGAAAACTCAAGTATTTCTTGAGAATTGAAGTGACTTGATCTAAACAGGATATTTGTTTATGAGGAAATATGTACTTGACATGCTAGAGAAAACAAGTTTACTGGTTGGCAGACCGATTGATAATCCTATGGATCCGAATCGAAAACTATTGATGAATGATGGTGCACTGTTTGAGAATCCGGGTCGGTATTGTAGATTGGTTGGGAAGCTAAATTATCTCACTATTACTCGACCGGATATTTCTTATGCAGTCAGAGTATAGTAAGTCAGTTCATGGGTTGTCCTAGAATGTCACATTGAAAGGCAGTCAATCGTATTATGCGACATCTCAAATGAACTCCTGGACTTGAACTGTTATATCGAGCTAATGGACACCTTAGAGTGGAAGGTTTCTCAGATGCTGATTAGGCTGACTTTCCTTCTAATCGGAGGTCAACCATTGGTTATTATACTTTCTTAGGAGGAAACGTTGTCTCATGAAAAAGTAAGAAACAATCCGTGATAGCAAGATCTAGTGCTAAGGCTGAGTATTGGGCAATGGCGCATACGACGAGTGAGTTGACTTACCTATTACACTTCCTCCAAGAAATTGAGTTTCCAGTTCAACTTCCTTTACAGTTATTCAGTAACAACCAGACAGCTATCCATATCGCTGTCAATCCGGTGTTTCATGAGAGAACCAAACATATTGAAGTTGATTGTCACTTTATTCAGGACAAGATAGTAGTTGGGGAGATTACAACTCCATTTGAGAAATCTAAAGATCAGCTTGCAGATATGTTTACCAAAACATTGAATCGTACACGTCTTACAACGATTTATTCTAAGCTTGGATTATATGATATATATAGTCTAACTTGAAGGAGAGTGTTAAGAGTATTAGGGTAGTATGTGTAAATTGTTAATAGTAAAAGGATGTATGTATAATTCTTATTATTATGAGTTAACTATAAATACAAGTGATGTATGAGAGCTAGATTAAGTTTTTAACCTCCCTCTTTCTCTCAAATATTGTTTCTAATATTGTGTTATGTTATTTCTCTCAACTTAACATAGTGAACTAAATTCTTTTTGAAAAACAAAAATTTACAAGCATTTGACACACCGCCTATGCTTTAACCAAAGGCTAAAGTAGAAAATTTGAAATCAACAAGTAGAGCACATATTGGAAAATTTTACTATTAATCCCCATATTTCTTCATTTCCCAGCTAGAGAAGTAACAATCTTCCGTTCCATTAAATGTTTGGTAAGCCAAAATTTTGTTGACATGGTTTGATTGTTACATGACGAATGAAAATTTTCAAACAAATGAAGAGCATGGTCCGCATTACATGAATAAACTTTCAGTACAGGAAACAAGTCTGCATCATAAGCTCAATAAGTCTTTTGGGTAAGTCAGGAGGAAGTACTTTCATGCCAATAAACTGTAAAACAACATTTAGATAATGTTTCAGATAATTCATACTTGTCTTGGGTATGGACAAACCCATGGTGAGATGACATGAGTATTGTTCATGAAGTATATAAATCTTGGCTATGTCCATTTCTCACTTATTGGACTGCAGCAAATAGCTAAACGTAAGGAAGGTAGAGTATATCAGAGGCATGCAACATTTGTCTAACCTGTTGATACTTATTCTCTAACGAGATAATCTGATCACTGAAATCCAGACCAGTTTCATTTGCCATCTTTTGCACCTGAAGCAACAAAGCCATAATGTTGAACCATACCCTTAAAAAATCTCAATCAATTAAATATATCATATATTAAAAGCACATACATCAATGATTTTTTTCTGTAGATCCATAAGAGGCTTTTCAAAATCTAACGTCACGGGCTTCTGCTTCTCTTTCAAAGGCTTGAAAGGTGAGAGATGACTAAGGATTCCACCCTTTACATTCGGACCGGCATCATCAGGCCACGGATATTCGTGCTTCTTCACCTTCCTTAACTTTGCACATACAGTAAAATCCCTCCTCTTTGGACCCAACCGTGCTCTCCCTAGGGCTCTAAGTGGCACACCAGTGACAACATTACTTGAGCTTCGGAGAAGATCTGAAGCAGAAGTTCCAGAAGCCAAATTTCCAGTAAATGTCACCGGAGAATGTGACATTGCAGCCATCCTCTAAATACGCTAACAGATTACTTCAAATCCTCAAATCTATTACATCAAAAAAGCTATCATTAAAGTCTCCGATTAACATAGATCATTAGCAGCATCAATAATTGCACACAATCCTCCCTTTAGTTGCTGTGAAAGGAAAGGTACAGCATACAAATTCTGTAAACTGAGCTTGATACAATAACAATCTTCAAAATGGAATTTTTTCCTTCTTTGCAGCTATCTCAGCAACAAAAGGAAAAAGAAACAAGAGGGAATAAAATCAAGAGAGCATAATCAACATGCATTGGACTCAACCCCAAGATAAACGCATTGAACTAACAGTTTTCAACTAGAATAGCCCGGTGAATGCATAAATTTCTAGAAGACATAAATTTTCCCATAATTAATAGCACAGTATGCTCCACAAGCTGCTGAGAGGAATAATTATAGTATATTAAGTGTTAGATTGCCCTATATTTACACTCGGAGAACCGGAAATCAACTATGACCCAAGCCTGCCTAATAGAAGTAGCTGGCTTGCAGAGAGTTGAATTGTCTCACGGACCAAACAGAGTATAAATCTAATTAATCTAAAAGACAAGAGAACAAAAATCGACATGCATTGAATAAAAGCCTGAGATTGTAGAGAAACAAACCTAAATGATCAGATGTGAAGTTGAATACGAGAGGAATCTGAATAATCGAAGAGAAATATAGCTAAAGATTCTCCAGAGAGAGGTCGAGATCGCCAGAGGGAGAAAGATCTGAGTAGTCGATCGAAGGACCTTTTGGGTGTGCTCCTCCAAAAATGAGTGTGGAGAGATGAGAGAGATTATTAAGGGAGGAGAGAGAGGCAGAGCATCGTGAAGATCGTCACGGAAGGACTCGTTTGGGTTTATTCACACTTGTAGAGAGAGAACAAGGAAATGGCGATACGTCTTATGCGAGAGAGAGTGAGAGAGACTTGTGCTATAATGAGCCAGCTTTTTCCGGTTTGGCCGTTGAAGGGTTGGAACTTGGGGGGTGAAGAGAGTGTTCGAGCTCGACACCAGGGCTCACACCTGGTGCGCAATGGTTTTGGAACTTTGTGCATGTGTTTTGGCTCGATACGTTCCATGGTTTTCCTCATCGGCCTGGACTCCATTATTTGAATTTCCCATATTAAGGCCATTGGAGTCTTGGACTTCTTTTTTATTTTATTTTTTTATTTTTTGGTATCACAATCAGGATGAAATATTAAATGTACTAGTTACACTAATACATAACCACCTCTATCTAAGAAAGTTTAGTCTATTTTATCTATTTTTTAGTTTATATTAGATAGTTATATTACGTGATATTGATGACGTATGTAATCGTTATATCTAATATTTATTTTACGATTGGAGATATTTGAGTTAATTTATGTACATCTAGATTAATATTTTTTTTGGTGTTGTCAAAGGTAAGTGATTCACTCCTAGATCAAAGATTTCATAAGAAATTATCCTAATGATCTAGTCTTAAAAAGTTATTAATTTTTGAATTTAAAATGTCTATGTGATAATCTAAAGTGGGCATATAATCGTTCTATAATAATATTATTTATACTTAATTTAAAATTTTGGTTTTAGGATGTAATGTATTTAGGTCATTGATTGAATTTGATAATGAATTTTATTTGAGGTTGGTACTACTTGATGAGGCCAGATCTAATTATCTCTAGACCCAGTTTATGGATTTAAGACTAAATCATCAAAAGACATGTCAGGCTTAGCTCATGTCTTTAGTTTAATTCAAAACTCAAGAGTCTAGCAAGAGTTAACGCACGTGAAAGAGTAATCATCGGGACAGACATTATTTTCAAGATAGTGCTCATCCCCAATTGTGTCTGTCCTCCCCCGTAAATAAGTAGTTTTCACGTCACCGGCTCAACTACAGCTCTGTGCATATACATTGTAAACTCTCTACACATGGGAACAGATTTCACACACCTCACCTTGAGCATACTCTTTTTCTCTCTATTTCTCTTTCTACTACCTTGTACTCTCTTATTAATAAAATTCTCCTGTCACCATTGCGTCCTTCAATGGTTAGGTTAACTAGATCCAACCATCAATTTTTTGTCTCTTATTATTAACTATTTTATTAATTACTTTACACCACACCTAATTTAATTGTACATAATCAATTTTGTGCATTATCAGTACTTGCCGATAAATAACCATAATATATTAGGTGTTTATAGTAGATCCCAAAATTAAGTCACAAGAGCATGGTTGACGGTTCGGTAACCTATTTGTTTTCATGTGTTTGTAAGATTGATCATTATATTAATAATTTAAGCTAATTCCTTTGAGTGGCGTGTCAATATAGTTCTTTATGGGGTGTGTTTGGGTAGTTGGTTAATCGCTATAAGGATAAGGTAATAAGACAATGGGTCCTACAAAACTTTTGTTTGGGAAGCAAAAGATAGCTAGAATATAAATCCCGGATCTATCATTGACCCGGATGCTAGAGTAGTTTTTAACCCTACTACATGGGTTAAAATTAACCCACCTCCCCCATGGGTTTCAATCCCACCGATGGGTTATGAAAGGGTAATGACATATTTACCCACCTTCTCTCTTAAGAGCTATCTGTCTCACTTTGTGAAGGCAACGAATCCCAGAGCTCTGTCTATTGCTCTTTGTTTCTCTCGTCTCTTGTCTCTCTCTTTGAAAGCGACGAAGCCCAAGCCCAGTGATTTTGTTGGGATGGGTTTGGGTGCCTGAGTGGACTGAATGAAGAAGAGAACTTCACCTGTACCACCCTTAAACCTCGATCATTCACAGTCACCACATTCACAGTCGCCCACACCACCACGATGGTGGATGATTTTGAACCCTAATTTCTCCATCTCTCAGATTTGATGTGATAGTGGATGATTTTAAAACCCTAATTTTCCTCTCTGTCTTTCAAATTTGAATCATTTTTATGGTGATGGTGGTGGGTGTGTTTGTTGTGGCGGTGGTGGTGGTCTTTAGTGTTTTTGTTGTGGCGATGGTCGTGGTCTTCAGTGTTTCTATTGTGGCAGTGGTGGTGGTCTTCGGTGTTTCTGTTGTGACGGTGGTGGTGGAGTTTCTGTTGTGGTGATGGTGGCGGCATTTCTGTTGTGTGGTGGTGGGTATTACTTATGTGCTTTCTCTGTCTATGCAAAACTTTCCCAATTTTCTGGTGTTTTATGGTCTTCATACCAATAGGTACAATGGTAAATGTCTATAAAAGTTAAGGTGAAGTCCATCAAATTCAATTGTTCTTACCAAACAATGGCTTGGGTTGGATGACATATATAACCTATCCAATTAAGTGTCTAAGTGAGTTTAGGTGAGATGAGTTAGGATACAAAAAATCCTATCTATGTCGATTATCCAAACACACCCATAGTGTATTTTAGTGTTCATGTTGATGTACATTTGTTGTTTTAACCTCTTTTTTACCATATAGATGGGGTAAAAGGTTAAGAGGGCAAATAGGGGCTATGAATTGTTTGATTTAGTTAACGTATGATTTTGTAAGAATTAGTTTAGATAACGTATGACTTTGTAAGATTTAGTTTAGATACCGTATGACTTTGTACGATGCATGGATCATTCTTTTTCCTCTTAAATATCGTAGGAAATATTGAATTATAAAATTTAATGTTTAAAAAATTTTGAAGGTCATCAGTTCTCTCAACCTCCACCACTCCCACGCACCATTATGGCATTTGTTTAAAGAGAATCAAGTGGGAATTAGGAGGCCTAAGTCAAGTGTCATCCGTCAAATGTATTTGTTAGGTTAGGTAGTTTGTAGGTAGATTAATTGTCTTCTATTCTTTGACATATTAAGGAAACACACTTGTAGAATAATATTATTATTTTTAGTTCAACAATCAGGGGTGTCTGGTTCAGTTTTCGTCTATTTTAATTAATCTCCTCCCTCAATCCAAACAAAGACAAATTATCCACGCCGAAATTAAACTATTAGTTTGGTACCTAAAGTATTCATTTTGTGTTAAAATTATTCTTACATAGAAGGACCATTAAGTTTTGACGGAATGATAATCTGTTGGACATGTGATACCGTCTGAAAGAGTGACGTGTGATTACTTTTGTTAAAAATTTTGACTAATTGTCTGATTATAGGCCAAAGTAATACAAATTAAATATATTAGAGATCAAATTGATAAAATTAATACTTTAGGGACTAAACGAACAAAAAAAAAATATTTTATGAACTAAAAATATTATTATCCCTAACAAAAATAGAAAGGAAAAATTTCAATCACGCCCCCTCTAATTTACTATATCTTCAAGAATACTCCTTATATTTTCTGAATCTTCAATAACACTCCCTTTTAGTTTAATTTAAACATCACTAATACCCTCTACCATTAAACTACCATTTCTAACAAAAAAAAAATCATTTAAAATGCCAAAAATGCCCCAACAAGTAATTTTTCTACAAAAAAATTTATTAAAATTTGAGCTGTTAAAATTTTTAAAAAAATTTGTAAATAACAATTTTAGTAAATAATTTGTTAGTAAATACTAATTTGTTATTTAATAAATTATAAATTTTTAAAAAAATTCAAGCCTATTAAAATTTGAACTAATTAAAACTTTACCCGAGTTGTTAGCACCGATTAAACTTCTCTTTTGAGTCGATTAAAATTTATATTTTTTTACTTATTAAAATTCGATTTAATAAAATTTGAGTCAATTAAAATTTAAATTTTTTTTATGTATTAAAATTTGGGCTGATGAAAATTCAATGCGAATTGATGAAAATTTGATTTGAGTCGATTACAAATAATTTTTAATTAGCCCAAATTTAATACGTAAAAAAAATATAATTTTTAATTGACTCAAATTTTAATATTTAAAAAAATAAATTTTAATTAGTTTAAATCGAATTTTAATCGACTTGAATTTTAATACGAAAAAAAAAATTAAAGAGCAGAGCGGGTCTCATTGAAGATATACTTATCTAAAAAGGGTCTCATTGAAGATATGTTTATGTAGAGGGGGTGTGGATAAAGTTTGTCTTAAAATATATCACGGACAATTTAGTAAAATTGAATTCTACTTAATATTTTTAATCTGACAAGTGTCATTGAAGATTCAAAAAATAGAGGGGGTGTTTTTAAAGATATGATAAACTAGAGGGGGTGTAGTTGAATTTTCCCAATTAGAAAAGAAAACTGTAATAAAGATATTAAAAAAAAAAAAAAACCTTAAAAAAGTTATCAATCGGGAGTGTTCTACAAATACGACGTAGTATCACCAATGCTCATTACCTGCCTCCTGCTCTCAAACTTCAATAGATTCACTAATTTTCTGCCTCCTACTTTGTACCTGGTTCGTGTACTCTCCAACTTCAAAAAATTGAGTCATGGCGGGCAAGCTCTCAAATGGTAGCCTCACACATAAATAGCTCTAGATTCACACACAAACACACTTTCATATGCGTGTTCACTCAAAATTTCTTCGTTACTATCTGTGCTGCTAATTATACATTCTTTCAGAGACTGTTCTTGGGCATTTGAGAAATGGGCTCGCTGAGTTTGAGCTTGTCTCCTTTCCGGTTCCTTCAATTTCTTGTTGTAAACCTCAGAGACCTCCGTCTATGTTCCTGACTGACAACAGCCATCGATTCTTCGCCAGAATCGGACCACCGCTGTAAGTCATATACGTTGTCTTTTTTTTTTTTTTTTTATTAAGTTACTCTAATCAGATACTGTTTCGTAAGTAACTACCCTGCTGGACACGACCTGGGTTGGGTCTCATTGGCCGTATAGTGTTGGGGTTTCTTTCCTTTCTCTCCGAAGTAAGTTTTTTCGGTAGGTCCCTCCGCAGTAAGTTTGGCTTGCATGAATATAAAAGAAAAAAACCCGAACAATTTTGATTATGAAGAGTTTAATTTGATTCATTTCATCACAATCGACTTACAAGAAAAAGGTGTCGAAGAGTTTATATTCACACATTTATTGTCATATTTAACCTGGGATCGTAATATTCTACGCTTCCATAGCCATTAGCCAACGTTCATGGTGGTCCCCTCTATTGACCCCACGGCAGCCCTTTCCTGATACTGCATTTGATCACATACTGTGGCTAGCTTTGATATCAATTGATAGGAATAGTGGGTAAAACTTGCCTCTGCAAATCAACTTGCAAGGAAAGTGTGTCTTAGAGTTCATATGCATATATCTGTTCTCTCATATTTAACGGATGTGGGTTTGTAACCGTCAGTCTTCTGTGATTTTGGCCTGTGAGTATCCATGCATTAGGGAATTTGAAAGCTGATACCCGTTCAGCTCTGCTTTTTACCACCAGTCCAAGGCAGCAGTTACTAACTTCTTCAGCTATGTAGATAACATTCTAGACTTTTTGTGAATTATGAGTATCCCCAATGTGATGGTTAAACCCTCTTCCACATGCATATATCTTCACTGACTCATTGTTTTGATTAACTACATTGCAACAATGTGACCTTTTCCTTGCAACCCTTCCTTGAAAGAAAATTTGTTATGTGGTGTTCTCCAATATTATAATTCATATGAAATAACTACCAAACACAACGATTACTAGTTGTGGAGTTTGCTATAACATGAAGCATTTTTAACATGTTTGTTTTGGTTTCTTTTATGGCTATGTGATTGTGTTTATTAGAGGTGGAGTCTCGTCAGCAATGAAGAAAGTAGAGCGTCATGCAGTTCAGAAAGTAACTGGTGATGGACGCTGCATGTTTCGTGCTCTGGTACTAACTCTGCCTGTTCCAATGTACTTTTTGTGAATAGTCTTCAGACGTATGTAAGACATCATTGATAGCAAATAGTCTTGGGGGGGATTGAACTTGATGGATTATTTTATTATTTAATCAGGTAAAAGGGATGTCTTTCAACAAGGGTATAACACTTAACCCACAAGAAGAGAGAGATGACGCAGGTATGCCAAATTCTATGCATATTTTCAAATATTGGTCTGAGTCCAATGGAAACTTCTGTGGTTTAATCCTTCTTCAGCTTTTATTTTGCTTGAATATGTTAAACTGATGCCTTAAACATTCTCACTTGCCATCTCCATGATTGACTAAGACTGAGGTATGTTGGCAATCATGTGAGGCATACAGATCGACTATTTGCATGGGTTTCTGAAATTTAAGCATCTGACAGTTGGAGATGTGAGGAAGTTGACTTTTTCTCTACGTGGCTGTCAAGCTAGCTGGCCTGATGTGCATTCCGGTGGAAGGCTAAGTACTAGAATATAGCAGTTTTTTCCATAGAGTGGGTGGTTAGGAACCTTTGTTTGGCACTCTACTAAAAGCTTAGATTGTCAAATGTGAGAGCATGGTTTGAGTTTGAGGGCAATTTTGCAAACAGTTGGTGGTTAGGTCTGCACTAATCCACATGTCCCAACTTGATACCTAGTACTGATGGTCTTTGTTTTTATTTTCAGATTGTGTGATTTGTTTTTGTTTGGATTACAATTTGCCAGCCCCTCAGGCCGCTGTTGAGGTGTATATGAGTTGGTTGAGCTTAGTGCAGCTTCAAAGTTCAAACCACTTTATTCTGTTTGTCCAGGAGCTTAAGTTTCAATTAAACAATCGTCATTTGGACTTGAGGGTCTGTCGGAGAGGCTAGCCCCTCCAGTTGTGCACCTTAAAGGTGTTCGAATCCATGTCAATTATATATTAGTGATTGTGTCCTCTGCTTTTTTATCGAAGCACCTTCTCTTTTTGAAAGATCCACTTTCTTTCATTAATATTAATAACCATATTATATGGACTCTTCTCCCCTAGATTTTTTCAAAAATAAAGGCCGCTCCCCAGACCGACTTTCTGGATTCCTCCCCTGATTGTATTGGGCCAATGTGTACGAGAATATAAGCTTCTCAGTTCATACACAGTTCGCATATAGGGTTTGCAGTAGTAATTTTCTTAAAAGTCCATGGTGCTTAAAAGGTTGGAGCCGTTGAAATATCCTGTTACTCTAAACTTGATCTCCTTTTCTGAATTGGACTTTGTATGAGGGTTTGCATCTTGTGTGTGCCTATTGGCAGTTTTTTTTTCCACGTTTTTTTCGTTTTTAACTTTCGCTAATACACAAACTTTAATCATGTGGCTTGTACATTGCAGATGAACTAAGAATGGCGGTCAGAGAGGTTATATGTGATGGTGATAAAGAACATCTTCAATATGAAGAGGCATTGGTTGCAATTACTCTTGAGGAGTCTTTGAAACGGTGAGGCCTTGAACTCAGCACTAGTTATTATAGTTATTTTGTGGTTTTAGGTGTTCTGAGTGATGCTTTAGTTATTATGAGGATTCGATCTATTGACCATAGTCTCAAATGCCTTTGCCTAGTTACTGCCAACGCATTGGACGATCTGATTTCTGGGGAGGAGAGTCAGAGCTACTGGTTAGTATAACGTTATCATGAGTTGCACAGAGTAATTTCATGGAAGCCTTACAAGCTTTAAGGGTCTTTTAATTAGAGGTTGAGAACCTTTATGCTGTTGAATAGGTAATGAAAATTTTGATTGTAGCAAAAATCTGAATTAGTCTCAAAGAAAGGCTTTTATCAACTAGTCCTTACTCTTTCCTTGGTGACTTGAAATACTGGTTTCAACCCAACAAATCATGGGACTTTCTAAATATCAACTTGTGGTGCCTTTCCATTTTGAGTTTGGATGGATTAGACAATAAGATGATGGCTCTTTGTTTTTTTTTTTAATCCGGAGCTTTCGCATCAATGCTTAATTGCATATTTTGTGTATCGGACATGGCAATTATATATCACTGTATTTGCAGTAGATGTTCTTTTCTCACCTTTTGAATTTTACATGTTTTTTTTGGTCGGTTTGAATTTTACATGCTGAAATGACCATATCTGGCACCAGGTGCTGTCGAAGTTGTGTAGCCAGCCGATTATTGTATACATTCCAGAACATGAGGTATCGTTCCTTGAATACAATTTCATATGATGTTTATAAGTCAGCCATTGATTTGGAAAATGGATTTTTACTTTAGATTTTGATTCAACCTGACCTTTTTGTTGGTCTTGCTTGATATTGGACACCACAGTTTTCCTGCCACCTACATAATTGATGTGGCCATTGGATCTCATATACAAATCTATAGGGTTTTACATATTCTCATGTCCCTGACAGGTGGTTAATCAGGTAGTGGTACAAACATTTGTTTCAGGCATGTACAAGTATGTCTAGAGATAGCATAGTCAGTATTAGTGGCTCTGAACAAGTTTAGGGACATAGGGAGGGGGAAGTAAGGAGAAAACAGGAGTGGGTGACATTAGATAAATAAGGTAAGTCTTCTTGTTTGCTATAACTTATGGATTTAAATGAGACAGGAGGGGGTTTGAACAGGATCAGTTGATGGACTTCTTTGATGACGAATCTGATAATTTATCATAGGAAGACCCTATTGTCATGATATATTCTTTGCTTGTGTTTATCAGGATCAGAACTGTTTGTTCATACATTCAATTTCTTGTTCAAAGCTTGGTTGCCCGAGCATTTACTATTGTACTAACTGATGGCCTCTTCTGGATTAATACCGTGGCTGTTCATCTTGTAAGTACTATAATCCGAAATTCTGAGGACATTTTCTCCGAGTAGATTCAATATAAGGTGATGATGCACAAAATGACTTTGCACACACTACCTGTCAAGTGATTGAAAATAAATGCAGTAATTTAAAGTAAAGAGAATTAGAGGAGACGAGATTTATAGTGGTTCGGTCAACGTGACCTACGTCCACTTTTGAATGGCCTTGGTTGCCTGGTACTTTATTAACTCATGGGTGCAGGGAGTAGAGAGTACAAACTTAGAAAGAGAAGAGAGAGTCGTGCTCAACAGAGTGAGATCTGCCCCCCCCCCCCCCCAAGTGTTGGTGGGGCTTACAAGTTATAGTCGCCCTCCTAACAGATTTGGACAAGATATTAGTATGTAGTTGACTAGTTTGTTGGATCTGGCGAGTTCTTCTCAACGTGTTAGGCAGTTGCGGTGCTCTCCATTAGATTCGGTCAAAGGATAAGGTGGGGTGTTGACTATCTCCAGGGCAGCGAAGATAAGGTTTTGGATGACCTTGCTTGCTCCTTGAGCTGCTGAGCTTAACGGGGCTGACCACACTGATGAGCTTGACTGGGTAGAGTTGATGAGCTTGACCGGGTTGGCCACACTAGGTTGGATTCGTTGGATCTCTTGAAGTCGGACTATAAACTTGAACTGGACTTATAACATGAGTTTGGTCTTTGGGCTCATCAGTTTGGCGTCATCTGTGGGAACAACTAAATTCTCACTTTTAAACACTCTCTCTGTTGAACCTATGACGATCACCACTAAATCCATGAATCAACTTAAGGATAATCCACAACGAGAGGAGGAGGTTGCTCCTCCACCTACCAACCCTGTCCCAAATGCTCCAGTTCTAAATTCTCAGCAAATGTTGGAGACCATACAGCAGATGGTGGCCCAAAACTCACAGATCTTGCAACTCATGCTCGTTGGACAAAGAGGAGCACATCTTGGAGGACCTTAAGGAGCTCCACGCCCTGGATATCAAGGAGCTGCACGCCCTGGGCATCAAGGAGCTGAACACCCTTGGCATCAAGGAGCTGCACGCCCTAGACATCAAGGAGCTCCACGTCTTGGATATCAAGGAGTTCCACAACTTTTTGCTCCCTATTTGGGCACCCATGCAAGTCTGGGCGCCCCACACAGGGGAGCCCATCATGAGAGACCTCCAGCTCTTCTTATTTTCCATGGTGAAGATCCTCATCTCCAAGAAGATGATGACAAAAACCAAAGCTTGAAGCATGAGAGTCATTTCTATGATCATTCCAGAGGAGCCCCTAATCATTAGGATGAGAAAATTAAGGAAGTACAAAACCAACTGGGTGACGTCTTCAACACCATGAAGGCATAGGAACCCGAGACAGTGGATTACCTCGTAAGGCGGACATACACGCCTTTCAAACCTGACGTGGCGAACTACCCCTTCCCTCAAAAAGTTCAAAATGCCATCCGTGGAGACCTTTGACGGAACGAATGATTCACTTGATCACCTCGAAACCTACAAGACCCTAATGCAATTGCACAACGTCCCCGACGAAATTATGTGTAGGGCATTCCCAACTACTTTAAAGGGATCAGTGCGATAATGGTTTGCTAAACTCACCCCAGCCTCCATAGGCTCCTTTGCCGAACTAAGTAGATCATTTGTGGCACAGTTCATTGGTGGATGTCGCCAACAAAAGTCTGTCACCCATCTGCTCAACATAAAATAGGATCGAGATGAGAGTCTGAGGAGTTACCTCACTCGTTTTAACGAGGAGGTCCTCCAAATCGAGGAGCCCAATGATAAAGTCACCATGACTACCTTTCTGGGAGACCTCTGCTCATCCAAATTCTTTTTTTCAGTAATGAAGCGACCATCAAAAAGCATGCCAGAACTATTGGCAAATGCTCAAAAATATATGAATGCTGAGGAAATCAACAGGTCTAGGCAAGGTGAATCATCTCTCAGATCACTAGAAGCTTGACCTACCTCTACACTGTTCTTAAACAGGCACCTTATCTTTAGATTAGCGGCTCTCTCACAGGTTGTCAAAAGGCTTGGCCTCTGCACTGTTCTCAAACAAACAATCTATTTCCAGCTTAGCGGCTCTCTCACGAGTCGCCAAAAAAGCTTGGCCTCTGCACTGTTCTCAAACAGGCAGCCAATATCTTAAGCTTAAAGACTCTCTCATGGGTTGCTAAAAGTTAGGTCTCAAAAAGTGTAGCTCTCTTACGAGTAGTTCTCCAATTTTGTCTTTGCTCTCGCGCAAATAGCCTATCTCTCTCTCAGGTAATTATGTGAGATATTTTAATGTTTGGAATAACATTGTGTCTATCATCACAAGCAGACTGTCCCAAGGCAGCCCTAGGCTTGCCCAAAGCGCCCAAGGCAACCTCCCAAAGCGCCCTAGGCAGCCCTAGGCTTACCCAAGGCGCCTAAACGAGGCAGCCCAACACCTGGAGAGGTGCCTGATCCTATGTGCTCGCTCAAACGAGGCATCTCAACACCTAGAGCGTGCTTGACGCTCTCTGCACGCCCAAACGAGGCAGCCCAAAGCCTGGAGAGGTGTCTGACGCTCTCTGCTCATCCAAATGAGGCAGTCCAGCACCTGGAGAGGTGACTGACGCTTTTTGCTTGCCCAAACAAGGGAGCAGCCCAGCGCTGCCTGACCCTCCAAAGTTGCACAGATCAGCGCTTGAAGTGGCGCCCAGATCAGCGCCTGCAACGTCTTCGGCACCCAGGCAGCCCAGGTTGGCGCTCAGGCTACTGCCCAGCTCTCTGGCAAGATTTCCTACACTTCCAACTGAAGAAAAGTTGTTGTCCAGTGCGCTTGAGCTGCCCAAGATAGCATTATCAGCGCCCAGGTAGCCTAGATTGGCGCTCAGGCCGCTGCCCATCGCACCCAAGCTGTCCAGGACAACATTATCAGCACCCAGGCTGCTGCCCATCGTGCCCAAGCTGTCCAGGATTGCATTATCAGCGCTCAGGCAGCCTAGATTGGCGCCCGGGTTGCTGCCCATCTCGCCCAAGGCAGCCCCAGGCTCGCCTAGAACACTGCTTGCTCGCCAAAAACTTGCGCCTAGCTGTCTGCTCGAAGTTTTGACCGTAAATTTTACTCTGTAACTTCAAATAGGGGCTTATTATATATCAAATCAAAGTTCTCGACGAGACCTACAAGATTCACAACCTTTGGCTTTGACAGATGGTGTAAAAAGTCATAAAAACAAATGTTTTGGCCTCTCGAAGTTTTGACCGTAATTTCTGCTCTGTTACTCCAAATGAGGCTTATTATATATCAAATCAAAGCTCTGAGCGAGCCCTACAAAACTCACAGGTTGTGATTGATTTTGTAAAAAGTCCAAAAAAGACTTTGAAGCAGATGTTTTGGCCTCCTTAAATTTTTTCGATTGTGCTGGTCAGTCGAAAATTCAAATTTAATCGAATGTCCTCCTTTCCAAGCTTCATTGGACACAGGGCATTGTGGGGCAAATGATGGACCAAGCCCAAAGACCTAACTCATGTTATAAGTTCAGTTTAAGTTTATAGTCCGACTATAAGAGATCTAGCGAATCCAGCCCAGTGTGGCCAACCCATTCAAGCTCATTAGCTCTACCCGGTCAAGCTCATCAGTGTGGTTAGCCCCGTCAAGCTCAGCAGCTCAAGGAGCAAGCAAGGTCATCCAAAGCCTTTTCCTCGCTGCCCTGGAGATGGTCAACACCCCACCTCATCCTTTGACCAAATCTAATGGAGAGCACTGCAACTGCCTAGCACATTGAGAAGAGCTCGTTAGATCCAACAAACTAGTCAACTACTTACTAATATCTTACCCAAATCTGTTAGGAGGACGACTATAAATTGTAAGCCCTACCAACACTTGGGGGGTAGATCTCACTTTGTTGAGCATGACTCTCTTATCTCTTTCTAAGTTTGTACTCTCTGTACCCTGCACCCATGAGCTAATAAAGTACCAGGCGGCCAAAGCCATTCAAAAGTGGACGTAGGTCATGTTGACCGAACCACTATAAATCTCGTCTCCTCCAACTCTCTTTACTTTAAATTACTACATTTATTTTCAATCACTTGACAGGTGGTGTGTAAAGTCATTTTGTGCATCATCGTAAGGAATTCATAATTCTGAGGCTTCTTCTAATTGATCTTGCTCATTCATTTGCTTGTTGAACAAAATTTACCGCGTGGTTGAACTTTGGATGCAAGCTTTTCCCATCCATGCACTTGAGCGTCTTACACATTTGCTCTGTGGTTATTTAACAGAATTCTCATGGTGAAGTATATAAGTTACCAATTCATATGTGACAAAACTGTTGTTCGCCAATTTTCAGATTTTGTTTTACATTTTGGTGGATTGATGTTGCTGTTCCATACTCTAATATCCACATTTCTGACCAAATTGCAGCACGGTGGACGGGGATCAGGTTTTATTCCCATTGCAGAGTATGGAGCAGAGTTTCGTAAGGGTTCAGGGAAAGGAAAACCTAGGAAGGTTGTGAGACTCCTGTACAGTGGTAAGAACCATTATGATCTTCTTGTCTGAAGGCTCCACACATTAGACAAAAGCTGCAAGTGTGATGAAATTTTGTACCCAAAGGAGGAGGTCCTGAACAAAACAGTAATTGATTATGATGTAGCAGAACATCTTCTTCTCCCTTTTTCTTTTTCCTTTTCCGTTGTAGGCTTGTCGATAAATCGGATTTCAATCTGAATTCATTCTACGATACTTCATGTATTTGGATTTGTATTCATTAATATCCGATCCAATTATAATTTTATTCGAAGTATATAAATGTAAATAAACTTAAATTTAGTGGTTATATAATAAATTTGAGTTGAAATTTAGGTGGAATTTGTTAAAAATCAATTCTAATTACGTTAATTTAGGTGTAATTTGTTGGATAATTAGATTAAGATTTGAATTAGTGTAAATTCCATCTAAATTAGATCTGTTGATAGATTTACTCTCTCGTCGTGGTTTGTTGGTGAACTATGTCATGCACTTGAGTTGATATTGGAGACTGTTGAACACGTGGGCTTGTTTAGTAGTCAAACAAGAAGCGAGACTTAAATTTATCCTAGTGATTAGTGATCCAACACAATGGGCTTCTAAGTCCCCACGAGTTGTTAGTCACAAGACTAAAATTGAAAAAAAAAAAGTTTTTTTTTCCAAGAATAATATTTAGTAGATCTAATTTGTTCATTTAATTAACTGATAATCCATGACCATTTTGAATTAACCATAGATATTATTATTGAATAAGTTCATAATCAGGGACGAAACCAGAATTGTGTTCTAATAAGGGAGGCCAAACATAGTTAAAATTTATTCCACCGAATTATTGGATAAGTTATTGTGAATGATGAACTTTTAGCTACACAAAATCTATAAAAATTAATTTTCATATAATATCATTATAAAATTTATTCATTTTTGTAATAAAATTCCAAAATTATTTCCTACCATTGTAAAATAAATTAGTTTGTGACAACCACAATCCTCATATTTTCACAATGTTATATGATGTTGTGTGTATTGAATTATTTCACGCGATATCATTTTAGAAGTGAGTCGTGAGTAAACATGTTATTTTTGGTATAACCCACATTTATAATTTGAATTTTTAGAAATTTCAATTGTTTTAAATTTCTATTGGATTAAACTCATCCAATCAAGTATCTCTCATCAAAAGAACATCAAACATCCATGTGATTGCATCCCATTTGTTATTAAATATCAACTCATTGATATTTTAACTACCTATGCATAACATTTTTTCGAAAATATAAGGAGACCCCATAAATTATATTTTTAAAAATTTGATGGGAGTGTTGTAGAGATTTTTGAAAATATGCGGGGACCATGACTCCCCTAGACCCATGCATAGTTCCACCCATGATCATACTAGATTAGATAACTAATAAACTACACTATAAATGAGGGAAAATGAATGAGTTTGGTATCCACTTTTAAAACGTCCACAATAATCTCCTTAATAACTATCTATTACTTCATTTTTAACTCTACTCATTCGTCTTTACTTACAAAATATTAATATTACTCTTTGTTTTTTTTTTTTTTTTCAAATAATAAGTCAATTCTTTTATTCACTCCTATTCAACTGGCCATCTTCGTATGTGTAGGACATCTAATTAAATCTAAATGGTAGTATGAACTGTCAAAACAATGCATTACCAACTTGCTTACTAAAAAAAAGAAAAAAGAAAAATGCTATTTAAAGTTAATTTCAGGACTTAATCTGAAAATATGAAAAATTATAGTTTTTGCATTAATAACGAAATCCATCTAACATTAAAACTCATAACTAATCTAAGAGCAATGCTACAAGAATCTAATTTGCGGACTTAATCCAATGTTATATTTTGATTGATTGTGAGTTCTAATGTTAGATGGAGCATATTTTTAATCCAATAAATACATTAGATTAGGAGTGACGCCCCAAAATTCGGGGGTCCGTTGATCACCTATGAACCCGCGGAATACCCGTGAATATCGAATAACTCGATATCGCACTGTAATATCCCATTTATCGGGATCCATAATTTAACAAAATTTGAGCAGAGTCTCTTTTGTACGGGGAGCTCTACCCAAAATCCAACCTGTGCAATATACATTCATATGACCCATTCGAGCCCTAATATGAAACAATGACCGCACCGGGTCCATTTATGAGTAAACATTGACCACACCAGGTCCATTTTATTTATACTCATATAAAACACATACAAGGTTATATTAAAAAGAGTCCATATAAATTCAATTACAACTTCAACCTTGCGGCCCCGAATGCAAGCTGTCAACTGGCGTATATCCTGTACCTAAAATGTTTTTCCATACGCCTAGTAGAATATTTCCTACAGAGGCTACTGCCCACCTAAGTGCACATGCAATGTTCACATTCAACATTTCATATTCACATCAACATTTCCAAGTAAGAATATGCAATTTTAGGTTGAAATTCTATCATGCCATGTTATGAAATGAGATGAAACTCACTCATGCATCATAACCCGAGTCCTCACCGACTCCCACAACACAATGCAATGCAAATGTGTAAAACATTTGTCACTAATGAAATACATCCAATGATCGTTTTTGAAATACAAGTCATGGTGTTTATAAAACCAATTCATTGTTGGATGTTTCCCATCGAATGAATACTTTATAAAACAAGCACACTTTTCTGGAATTTCACTTTAGGGGAGTGTATGAACCAGGTATTTTTATAAACAAAATCATGTGTCTTTGTTGGATAGCGGAGTTTTGGAATCGCACCGCAGGTTCCGCAAACTAATACATTTTTTCGAAATTTCACCTCAGGGGAGTGTATGAACCAAGTAGCCAAGTCTTGCACCCGAGGGAGAGTCTAGCCCTTCTTGCTATACCCGACACAAGTTTTCCATGTATGCAACCATGTGACTCAGTAGGATATTCAACCCCACTTTTTCGATCCCACCCATCAAACACCAAGTATGGTGATTGATCTAACCATGCACTCACACACTCATACTCATGGTCATGGATACATTTTACCCGTGCAAATACAATGTGATGCATCATTGCTCAATCAATGACATGCTCAATGTAATGGATGTCAATGAGCCAAATTTAAACCACACATTTCATCATGTATCATGGACAATTATATCATACGCATATAACATCCAAAAACTCATCACAATGTCAATATATTAATACACATATATCAACATTTTATTTAACAACAACAACCAAGTATGTCATTACATAATCAAGCAATAACACACTTAATTCTCAAGGCATAATGTAAATATATAACATGCCTACAAAACAGCCCCTAAACAAGCCACATAATAGCCCTAAAATATGCCACAAAACAGCCCCTAAATAGGCCACATAACATTCCAAGACAGGCCACATAACAGCCCCAAAATAGGCCACCAAAACAGCTCATAAACAAGCCACATAACAGCCTCTTAAATCAGCCCAAAAGGTAGAAATAAAATAAAAGTAGGAAGAACCCTACCTCTTGAAGCGTAAACCGAAGGCTAGAACTTCAAGAACACCCACCAAAAACTCAAAGCCTTAATTTTTTCAAAATCTACCATTGGAATCTTCGGTGAAATCCCTCGTTCTTGGTACATAGACATAGCCCTTGTGGGGTGATCGACTTTAATTTTTAGCTCGATGGAATTCGACCGACGGAACCCCGAGAATCAGCGAAATAAATCTTGGTTTCTCTCTCTTTTTTCCCATACGTTAAAACCAGAAGAGTTCAGTTGACATTTTGTGCAAAATATCTAATTTTAGTCCGTATTTGTAATTTTCAAGACTTGGCCCTCGTCGTGCCAAGTATTCCCCACTTGCTCGGGTCCATTTTCACTCCAAAATAATTTATTTGATCCCGGCTTAAGTTTTATTTGAAATTTTATTCAATTATACATAAATTTTATAAAATTTATATTTGGGGACCTTTGTGAGGTTATCCGCCACCCAACTGCCTCGAATAACATGCAAAAATTTGACTATCTCGGAATTTGATGAAAATTATTTGGATAACTAGATTTTGCGATACGAATCCAACGGCGAAGTCCGTTGTGTTATATGAGCTCTATAGAACACGTATTTTAATTCCGCATTATAAGTGACAAATGACCATTTTGCCCTTTTTAGAAAAATTTCAAAATTTTTCAGGTTTACATTAGGTCTCTAGATTAGATATTTAAATTAGATTCCCATACTATTTTTCCTAATTCAATTATTATGTTGAATTAAGTCTCTATTACGTTAAATTACATCTCTGAATTAGTTCTCTCCTAAAAAAAAAAATTTATTAACTTTATTTGAATAACTAAGAATAATTCTTACAAGTGGTTCAATGATTGAATTTGGTCTTTGGTAACCTAGATGTCTCAGGTTTAAACACTTCTCATACCCCATAAAAGCCAGTCAACCACCTTAATTTTTCAGGGGACGTGTTCTAAACCTGCATCGAACTATGATGACCACTATTCAAACTCAAAAGAGTAATTGGCGCAAAAAAAAAAAAAATTAATAGTCTCAAAGGAGAAGTCGACGGAAAAAAAAGTCAATAGTATTATTGACAAATTGTGAGACAATTGTTTTTCCACGTGTTGACTTATAATCTCCTGTTTAACATTCAAAATCGAGTAATGCTATTGAGACTTAATTTACTGACTTAATTTATTGACATAATTCATTATGACCTTTGGATTAACTGTGAGTTCCATTAAATATTAAAATTTGGTATTAATTCAATAGTTTCACTAAAGACACATCATTATGTCAGTAAATTAGGTCAAATTTTTAGGTCTAAATAGAATTACTCTTCAAAATCATATTTAAACATAAAAAACTACTTAATTATTTATTTAACCCCTAAACTATACCATTTATGTCAATTAAGTACATGAACTATGTTTTATATTAATTTAGCCCCTAAACTATATTATTTGTGTCAATGTGACCCTTCCATTCAAATTCGTGATTAATTTGGACAAAATTTTTCACATGCGCATCACATGAGTCAGGAATTAGTATATAGATTAGGGTTCACGTGTTGTGCATATGAGGAATTCTGTCAATTTTAACGGCAAATTTGGATGAAAATACCATATTGACACAAATGTTATAGTTCAGAGAATAAATTGATACAAAATATAATTCAGGAGTTTGCTTGATACAAACGGTATAATTTATGAGCCAAATAGATAATTAAATATAAAAAAAATAAAAAAATTTGGGAGAATCACACTCTGATCTTTAAAGTTTTTCACCTAATCATTTAAATCCCTTAATATTTAAAATATTACACACAAATTTTCTAAAGACTTACTATAATAAATTATATTTAGACCCTTAAAATTTTTAGATATATAATACTTAGATCTTTCAAATTTAAAATATTATATTTAAACCTCTTATTAGTTATAGAATTAACAAAATCTATTAAACAATAAAATTATCCCAATTAAAGATAAAAAAATATTATGTCCATCACACTTTGACCCATTGTTTAGTTTTTTTTTTTAATTTTATTTTAATGGATAGTATAATTGTATACTAATTATAATTTTTTTTAAAAAAATTAAATTTGTATTTTTAATTTTATTTTAACAAATAACATCATAGAATATGAATTTTAGTTTTAAAATTTAAAATATTTGATAATTTATTTTTAATTGAAATATTTTTTATCTAAACATAATGTTTTAAACTTAAAGAGTCTAAATATTATACATATATAAATTTTAAGGGGTCTGATTATAATTTATTACAAACAAAAGAGAGGTTTATGTATAATATTTTAAATATCAAGGAATGTAAGTGATTAAATGACAAATTTCAGAGAATTTGAGTGTAAAATAAAAAGTGATCCCTTAAAAAAAAAAACCCTGACATTTAAAATATTAGGTAGAATTACAAAATTCAAAAAAGTCAGGAGTTAATATAAAATATTTTAAATATTAAAGATCTAAATGATTATGTGATAAATTTGAGGTGCTATATATATTAATCTATAAAACGTCGAAATAAAGCAAGCAAAACCAAAAAAATAAAATAAAACAAAACGTGATACCATTTTGTCTCTTTATTTGTTCTCTCAGGTCCTCTTCGCCGAACAAATTGAAAGTAGCATCTTCTTCACTCTTGAGAGGCATAGATACAGTATACGATTCTAGGGTTCTGGTTTTCGAGAAGAGAGAGAGAGGAGAGAGAGAGAGAGAGGAGAGACAGAGTTTTCAATGGAGGGACCGAGCAATGGAGGAATGTTGTACCACGAGGTGCAAGAGTCGAAGCTGTGCGCAGTGCATTGCGTGAACACGGTGCTTCAGGGACCCTTTTTCTCCGAGTTCGATTTGGCGGCTCTTGCCTCCGATCTCGATCGAAAGGAGCGTCAGATGATGCTCGAAGGCAGTGGTTCAGTCTCCGCCTACGTTTACCTTCCCGAGGAGTCCCACAACGTGTCCATGGACGGCGATTTCAGTATTCAGGTTCATCATCAATTAGTTTTCTTTCCCGTTGAAAGTCAATACTTTTGTTGTTTCTTTTGGTTCGATTGCAAAGACTTAATGTACTGCTAGAGGGAAAAAAATTAATTACTAAGTACCATAGATATTGTAATTTCTTGTTGGGTAGGAAAAGTATTCTTTTTATGTCCTGTTTGGGGCCAATACAATAATCCTTATCCCGGAAACCAATTTCACCGTCGAAAAGAGACATCTTTAGTTAAATAGCATTCTAGCATAATTGGAGATGTGGGTTCTTTGTTCTGATTCCATTATCTAGTTAAATTAATTCGAATTCAATCTTATGAGGCACACAAATATAGAGTTGGAAGTTCTTTAAAGTACCAGTTTTCGGTATAGACTTTGTTTATGTAATCTATTGGTTAGAGGGAATGTTGGATTTTAATGAGCATTTATCCTTCATCATGTGCTTGAGAATGTAAGTTAAATTAGAGCTTGAATAATTTTTGTCTGTCCTGAAAATCCTCATATTGGAGGGTTGAGTCTTGCTCTCTCATCGACAGAAACATTTTCTTCAGTTAAAGTATTCTAAGTAAAGAAGGTAAGTTGCAGTTGAATTGCAACTTATATGTTGAAAAACCACCTCACAATGAAAAGAAGATACTTGAACCATATAGGATTGGAAATAGGGCAATTGGGATTTGCGATTTACTACTAATTCGCCTATTTGATTGCTTTATGTACTTAAAAATTTGGATTTTTTGAGTACCACTTCGGCACTTCCATGGACCTATATTTCTGGTAACCATCTCAACACTACTTTCAAGATTTTTGAACCCTTTAATTTTCCTTATTAGTATTAACATTCTTTTGTGCTAACATCTTGTTGCTCAGGATTGTTATCTTTGTATGAATCATTACTTGTTAGTTGTAATATACTCGAACGAAACATGATTTGAATATAATTAGTGGTAGTGTGGCTTATATTTGATTAATTTTCTGAGACAAATGTAATTCGACACAAGAATTGACATCAAATTGTGCTTGTTTGTTGTTTCTAGGATTATTTTTGGAAAATTGCTTCATTCATATTTTTTTCATCATAGCTGGACCAAATAACATTGGCTAAATGGACCATTAACTCACCATGTCTGATCATGTAGTTTGTAAGTGTTTTATGATTTGGACATTAATGTTAGTCTGGAGATATGACTAACTTTGGGTGTGTTTGGTGCACATCACAAACGGGCTTATCAGGGCCAAAAGTCCATTTCTAAAATTTTTTGTTGTTTGGTGGACGACCGACTTCGGCTTTTGGAAGAAAAGTGTTTCTCTGAAATAAAAATAAATAATTTTATAATATAATTAGATGTGCAAATATCTAAAGGGGTCGGAGAGATACCTAAATAAATGACAAATTAGGTGCTCAAAAATTTATAGAATAAATTAATACTTAAATTTAGTATTAGTTAAAGTACGGATTAATAAAAATTTATTATTTAAATTTGTAATACACACAAATAGAAGATAAAAACTACATATTTGATGTATACATATGCACTCTATTTAATGAATCATTTTTTCTAGTTGCTACTTAAAATTTTTTTATCCTGAACGTACGTCTTGTTTTTTTTATCAAGCTATGTCGAAAGGAATTTCACAGATTCATATATGAGTTATTTATAAAAACACATTATCTTTAAATTTTAGGCCATTGGCTTTAAATTTTAGGTCGAGGGTAGTATTGTTAAAGCACATACAATTTTAAATTTTCAAAATCTTGTCACCAAACATATTTTCAAATATAGATAAACCAAATCAAACCAAACAAAATCAAACCAAGTCTTATGTTCCAATCATTTGGGGTCGGCTATATCAGTTCGTCTTCGCCATTTATTTTGATCATGCCCTATACGCTCATATAAGTTAAATATTTTCATAATTTTTTTTATTATTTCGTTCAATGTTAATTTAGGTCTACCCTTACTTCTAGTACCACTAAGAGAAATGCTCAAACTTTTTCGAACCGACGCCTCTATCGGTCTCCGTTGAACATGAACAAACTATTTTAATCTATTTTCTCTTAACTTATTTTTAATTGGATCTACTCTTACCATTTCTCTAATACGATCATTTCTTATTCTATCATTTTTAGTTTTTTCACATATCCACCTTAACATTTTGTATTTTCGCTACACTCATTTTGTCACTATGTTGTTTCCTAATTGCCCAACATTTTGTCTCATACAACATTACTGTTTTTATAGTTGTTCAATAGAACTTATATTTTAATTTTATTGGTATCCTTCTATCATTTTTAAATATAGATGCACTTCTTAATTTAAAAGGACTTGTAAAATGGACGTTCATCAAACAATTAATAGTTCTTGAAAGTCCATTTTAAAAAGTTCATCTTATAAAGTCCATTAAAATGAACTTTTATTTTGAAAAGCTACGCCAAACGCAACCTATGAATTTATAAAGGAATTGCCATTAAATCATTCCACCATCATCCTCTTGGAGGAATTTGCACTATATTTTTGCTTACAGACTATGAAGTACGGATATTTCGTTGAGGTCGACGTATCCGTATTAGATACGATACTCGTCGGATACTCAAGAATATGTATCGGATACACCTTCTACGTATTCGATAATAATTAAATATTAGGATACTTCATGGATACTTTTGTGTTCAAACAATATATATAATTTTTGAGTTGAATTTTTAACACTTCCTTTCAAATTCATATACCATACAATACATTTACAAAAATTCATATTACTTCTAAGACATATGGGTATTTTTTAAGTATTATCTACAATTAAATGTCAAAAGAGCATAAAATAAATCTATTTCATTATAGTTTTAACAAAAATTATTTTTAAATAAACTGACTCGGAAAATGTTAGTTTTGATTCTTTTAATTAATCACTTCATTTTGTGAATATACTATAGTGATACGATAAATATTTTCTTCAAACTAAAAAAAATTACTAATTTTCCTTATTGTGTTAAAGAACTACCAAAATATATAAGTATTATGTTCATTGAAAATAATAAAAATATTAAATATATTTTATTATAGCAGTATCTTGTCTGTACTCGTATCCTTCTTTTTTAGATTTTATTGTATCGTATCGTATCGGTATCCCGTATCCATATCCGTACTTCATAGCTTACATATGATAGCTGACTGAATAGATTTGGTTCTAATTCTATCATTGTAAATGGTAAACTTTTATCCAGTTGGCAACTTAATTTTTAGAATTGTGTCTGCTAAAACCTCTTATGTGAAGTTGATGCCAAATTATTTGGTCACTTTCTTATGTGGTAATGTAATTTTTATATCCGAAGGGGGTTTTTTGGAGTTTGTTTGCAATGAATTGAGGGAAGCCTTGTTTCTTTGGATGGTTTGGGGAAAGGCAGGGCAGGCCAAGGTAGCTGTACAGAAGGTTGTTAGAAGTAGCTCTGCTTGTGATGATGTTGGTGATTTGGATAGAGAAGACTAGAAGGACTTAGAATATCTGAAAAAAATGGTGGGAGAAATGGCCACCAGTATCATTGAGATATTTGACTCTTGGTTTTAGCAGTTGACTTATTTTTGTGTCTTGTAAAGGCATTTTTTAATCATGGAAATAGGCTGTCTATGCTTGTGGTTGCCATTTTATTTTCTCTGGTGTGGATCCCATATGTAAGTATTTTGTGAATGAACAAACAGGGAAACGTACCTGTTGTTTGCTCAAGATCTTTGGAATTTATACCAATCCAAAAAAGATACTTTGGAACTTGATAATAATATACATGAGTATCGTGCTTTGGCTTTTCTGCAATGCATAGAACATGGTTTAGGGCACTATATGTTCACTTTGTTTTATATTTTAGTGCATGGTTGTCATCAATTTGTACTCTTGTTCACAAAGCACAGCAGTTAGTTATGGATGGATGTCCTCCAATAGCCTTCCTTGGATACAAAGCCGTTTATTAAGGTCAAGATGTGGTCATACTTCCAAATAATTGTGGGAAGTGGATTGCTTTGATATTGCTTCTATTGGAGAGCCACTGGTTTCTTTTGTAATTCAAGTAGGATTTGTTGGCCACAATACATGCTTGCTTTGTTGGAACATGCACTAAATGTAGTGTGACGAATTTTGCTTGCAGGTTTTACAAAAAGCGTTGGAGGTGTGGGATCTTCAAGTCATTCCCCTCAATTGCCCAGTTGCTGAGCCTGCTCAGATTGATCCAGAACTGGCAAATGCATTTATCTGTCATTTGCAGGACCATTGGTTCTGTATAAGGAAAGTGAATGGAGAGTGGTATAATTTTGACAGTCTTTATGCGGCCCCTGAGCACCTTTCTAAGTTTTACCTCTCCGCCTATTTGGACACACTGAAAGGTTTTGGGTGGAGCATTTTCCTGGTGAGAGGCAACTTCCCGAAGGAGTGTCCTATCACATCCTCCGAAGCTTCCAACGGTTACGGGCAGTGGCTGTCACCCGAAGATGCTGAGAGGATAACTAAGTCGTGTCACTCGACACAGAAACAACCAAACAGAACCAATCAAACTCAACAGCTTTCTGATCCATATCGTCAATACAGTGGAACAGATATGCTGTTGGATCCGGAAGATGAGGATTTGAAAGCTGCAATAGCTGCCAGCTTGATGGATTCCTCGCCTGCAACAGTTGATGCCAAACCTAGCCCTTCAGAAAAGGAAAATACAGTCAGTGGTGAACCTGTCACTTCAGATAAGGAAAATGCAGTCAATTCCGAACCTGGCACTTCAGAAAAGGAAAATACAATCAATGCTGAAGCTGGAACTTCAGAAAATGAAAATAAAAACAGCAGTGGAGAAAGTGCTTGAGAAGAAATATCCCTTGAGAAAGAGAGGTCCCGAGGTGAAGATCCATACAATCTCTGGCAGGTTTGACGGTTGAACCGCATCCTTGGTGTGGTTTCATAAACTGTGCAATATAAATTTATACTTTCTTTGATTATTGTGTGTTCAAATTGATTCTGTAAGAACATGTATTCAAGCAGATAAGCTTTCCACGGATTTTTTTGATAATTTCTGGGGCTTTATTTATCATAAGTCTTGTTTAATTGTTGTTTACATGTACACATTCTGGTTTGTATAGTTTCTCGGGCAATCTGAATCTGCATCTAACACATTCAAAAATAATTAGATTCTTTCTACTCATTTACTGTTTCATATATTCTAGACCATTATTGGGGCCACCACCCATAGGTTTACTCCGTTGTGTAGAAAAGCGGCTTCGTACAAGGTTCAACATTAAGTTCGGTATGTGAGCGGAGTAGTACTACGGTGATTTATTGAGATAACTGTGAAATTTATATATAAAAAAAAAATCTAGACCATTAATATAGGGTGTGATTGGAATTGGAGTTTCGTATTTTTTTTACAATTTGGATCAAGTGAATTTTAGTTTAATGGGGGCTTATGGATGCTTGAAGAAGTTGAGAAAAAGAATAGGGTCATACTCATATATTTTTGATTGAGGGGTTATGGGTATTAACACGAATATAATAGTGTTTGACCATTTGGTGTGATTAATTTAGTAGTGATTATTACTCCACAAATTTGACCAAAATGTGATACAATACGGCTCGATTGATATTACTCACAAAACAACAACGCTACAGTTTTTAAAACATGTCTCAAATTTTGCATCTTAAATTATCGTGAATGGTTGGAGTTATAGATGCTACTAATTTTTTTCAACGGAACTGATAAATCTAACCATCTCGATTAGTTTAGGGTCTAAAATTAAAAATTTATTTTGGGACATAAAATATTTCTTAGTGAGACCCACTCTAAAAAAATTTAGGATAAATTTCAGAATTAGCCCCTGAATTTTAACTTCAATTTTAATTTAGTCCCTAAACTTTCAATTGTCCCAATTTAATCTCTCAATTATCAATTTCGTTTTAATTAAATCATTTCGTCAATTTTCATTGCTAGATCAAATGAAAACATATGATCTAACACTGGAAACTGATCAGTTCGAACTAGTCTTCATTTGATCTAAAGGTAAAAATAAACGGAAGGACTTAATTGAGATAAAATTTATAGTTAAAAGATTAAATTGAGACAATTAAAAGTTTAGAGATCAAATTAAAACTGAAAGTAAATAATATTGCAAGGGACCTTAAAATGAAACTGATTTGGAATTGATCATGAATGGCATGTTTTGAATCTGCCAAACTAAAATGTGCTTTTAATGGATGAAAATGTCCCCGAAAAACACCTCAAAAACTTCAAACCGTTGAAAGGGTTTTTTACACTTTGTATCTCAAAAGATTTTAAAATTTTTAATTTATATTTTCAAAAATTAAAATTTTCATATTATACCATCAAAATATCAAAAATATTAGAATACAATATTTTTGCTAATTTTTGTTATTTTTTTGGTCAAAAGTCAACTTATTGACACTGACGAAAAAACAAATAGAAAACTAATAGAAGACTCACATTATAATAATTGTTATATATTGAGGGCGTAGTATAAAAAATTAAATTTTTGAGAGTATAAAATAAAAAATTTAAAATCTTTTAGAATACAAAGTGTAATTGGCCCCGTTGAAAAGATGTAGAAGCTGGTATTTTCAAAACAAAATTAAAAAAGAGCAGCCCAACTACCTGCGCAGCTGTGGAGAAGTCCATGGGCGGAATGGTTTTATCTTCAGTCCATGTGTGGAATCTCTCTGTCTCTCTGTCTCTCTCTCTGTCTCTCTCTCTCTCTCCAATTTATATGAAAAAACAAAAGAGGAGGAACAGAAGATAAGTGAGTGTTTTCAAGCTTTTAGGCTGGAACCTGAGAACCACTAACCCCACCTTTCAACATTTGTCCATGTATATGAACGAGTACATACTTGAAGATACAGCAAATATATAAACGTAAAGCCCACTAGGCTAGAAAAAAGGTTGGTACAGAGCTTTGTAGAACAAACTGCTTTTTACTTCTTTTATAAAGGAAAAAAAACACTAAAAATTGCAATTCATATCGAACTTGTTTGATTGTTTGGGTTATAGAAGTCATCGAGTTTGAATTCTTGGGATTTGTTAAATTCAGATTCTGGAGAATGGGTTCCTCCGATCGATTGTTTAACAGGCAGAGAACTGTTCATCAGATCCTTGGAGGTGGACTTGGTAAGTTCATGATGAATCAAAACTTTCTTTTTTCTCACATTTCTGATCATGGGTTTTGATTATATGCAGACATATTGATATATCTGAATCATTGTCAAGTCTTAGCTGATGATAAATCTCAGATCAAATTTCTTTTTTCCGGAGTTTAGTTGTTATGTTTGTTAGATTTCATCTGAAAATTAATAATGAACAGACTTCTGATCATTATTGTGAAAGTTTATGGGAAGGGTGAATCCAAGATCAGATTGTTTGATATCCTCTTTGTATTTTACTTACATGACTTTTAAAGTAAGAGTTCTTCATGAATTCAATAACTGTTAATGGCCTATTGCTTCTTCTGGAAGTGGTATTATCAGGTTCAAGATAAGAGATTGTAAATTCTTATGTTTGGTTTTGTTGAAACAGTTGCAGATGTGATGTTGTGGCGGCAAAAAAATGTCACAGTGGGAATTCTAGTGGTGACTCTAGCTGCTTGGGTGGTGTTTGAGAGATCTGGTTATACACTGTTGTCGCTTGTCTCTAATGTTCTCTTGCTCCTATTTTCCATTCTTTTTCTTTGGGCCAAATCCGCAGCAATTTTGAATCGGTAACATACAAGAACTTGCAATGCTTCATAGCTTTAATTACATCACATTTGACAAATTTTCAGCCCAATAAGTACTTGACAGTAGGCAGATTTAGTGTTATCAGTTATGGTCTAAATAATTTGAAGAAAAAACCATAAAAATTCATTCTCCGGTTTGACAGTTGCAATCCAATTTGTGATTTACTTGCATTTTTTGGTTTCAATGGGTATATCAAGTCCAACTGAACACATTATTGCAATTACATCCCATTTCAGCTGTCATTTGAGTAAGAGATCAGACTTAGATTGGTTAGTCATTAGAGATGGAGGGATGCCCCTATGGCTTCTTTCTCCTAGGGAGCTACTTTGTTCTAGTCACTAGGTAGGATACCATAAGTGCGCTTTTAGCTCAATAAGGGGGTTTGCTCTGTCGTGCAGAATCGTCCATTTTATATTAGGAGAAGATATCCTATGGCCTTTTTGTTCTTTTTTTGAAAGACCTATGTTCTCTAACGTTTTAGACAATTTGGAAGAGTGATGGTTGAGTTGTTGCAAGCTTATAAGAGAGCTGTGCAATTGGTAGGTATATGTTAATTATTGGCCTACCAAAAAATTGGCAGAGTATGCAATGCTTTTAGCATCCTACCACATAAGTTTCTCCTCAGAAACCGCCCGTGTTTCTTTTCTGTATCTTAACTGAAATCAGACACAATCAATGGAATGTAACTTTGTTTTGAGAAATTTACAGACCAAGTATGCAGGATGATTACAAGGTCCATTGTTCTAACTGAGACTTGCCTTGTCAGTTGAAGGCTTCTTTCTTATTATCGTGTAAATGTTATTGAACAGACCAGCTCCACCTCTTCCACATATGTACCTCTCAGACGATATGGTTCATGAAGCCGGAGAATTCATCCAAAATCAGATTAATGTCTTGCTGTCTGTGTCCCAAGATATTGCAATGGGAAAGGACTCAAGAATGTTTGTAAAAGTAGCCGTAGCTCTGTGGCTGATCTCCATTGTTGGGGGCTTCACTGATTTCCTTACTCTGGGTTACACCAGTAAGTTTTGATGGTCTCTGGATTTCAATCTAAATAAACATAGCAGTGTCGTTACCTTATTTTTGTGGCCTTACATATAGACATAGTGCTTCTGACTTTACTCTGAATTCTCGATTGTGTTGTATAGGTATAACACTAATTTCTATCTTCAAACTTGCTTTTTTGCTAGGCCTTGTTATCAGTTTCACAATTCCAGCACTCTACGAGAGGTACGAAGACCATGTCGATAGTTTTGTGATTCTGGGGTACAGGAAATTGAAGCATTTGTATGTAAGATTTGATGCAGAGTGTATTGGGAAGGTTCAAAACTGGATCTTGGAGAAGAAGAAACTAAGCTGATACTTCTTTATTTCTTTCTCTGATTTTGTGTACTCAGATTTTTTTCTTTTTTTCCCAGTATTTTTTCTAAGCTTTTGCTTTTGTTTCTCTCTTTATTTTCCCCCTTCTCTGTTTTCTTTTTCCTTTGTTTTGCTTGCTTTGGAACAGACTAGAGAGTGCTCTAGGCAAATGCACATTGTTCTTGCTAAACTCGGGGGTAAGAGATTGCATTTTTTTTTTGGAATTCTCTCTTCCTGTTTGAAAATTCATTCCATGTGAATTAATACTGCTTTAAAGTTTTAACTACAAAAATCACGAATTTCTCTTTATCATCTTCATGATTCCAAAACACCAATGTACTTTGTATTGATTGGGATTAACCATGTAACGTCGTGCCAAAAAAGATATGCAAACTGCACAAACAAAGCATGGGCTCTCCATGAATCCAAAGATATGAACCATGTGTTGTTTCAACAGATGAAGTGCATGGTACACCAAGAAAAAATCAGTAAACTCAATATTCCTGCCATCTTCTAAAACTATGTGGCTTCTCATGCTGCCATCCAAAGCCCTATACATCATGACCCATGCTACCAGTATAAAACTTACTCACTCGAGCTGTGAAACATGGGGAGGAGGTAAAGGAGGTGGTGGAGGGAATGTCCAAGGTTGTGGTGCCAAGACACCCTCGCCATCCCTAAGATCCATGGCATTTCTACCCTGAACCAGTTCCATTCCCTCTGGAGGGAGGGGGAGGCAGATTCAATGGCAAAACTCCTGGATTCTGCCCATAATTCCCTTGAAAGGACACAACTCTTCCCTGAGAATCTGGAGCGCTCGTGAAACCCCCCATAATCCCTTGACCCATAGGAGAAGGTTCAAAAGGAGTCCCAACATTCCAGGGTTGAGGGTAACTTTCCGAGAAATTCATCCCTGCTGCTGGACCTGGTGGAAAACCTAACAACGATCCTTGTTCTGATCGAACTTCTGGTTCTGAATCTGGCTGTGCCATCTCGTGGGGAGCACCATAAAACAGTTGAGCTCCATCAGCCGCAAAAGGAGGGTAATGATGGAACGAAGGGGAAGCCAGGCCTGGGTTTGGAATAAATGGTACAGCAAAATTAGGAGGCTGATGAGGATGCATAGGATTTTCAGGAAAAGAAATCCTAGATAGAATCCCTTGCTGCTGTTCTTGAAACCGACCAGATTCTTGCTGCAGGCCGCCCTGTGAGTCAAAACTCAGGGGGCCTGACCTGTCAAAGCCTTGGGGTCTTTTGTTGTCAGGTTGTGGCTCAGATGGATGATTTTGAATTTGAGTCGGTGGTGTGAGCTTTGGCTGTACGACTGATCTGGGAAGTGCTTGCTCTCTCAGTTGTAGACGACGAGCTTTGTCTTCATGATCATGAATATGGGAATTCGAACTAGGAGAAAAGACTGGCCTTGGTGGTGCTTGAACAGTGGAATCTGAAGCCGTAGATCTTTTGCTACTGACAACATCTGCCTCATTTCCATCTTCCTCTGTATTAGGATGAAGCAGGTCTGCATGTTTCTCATGAATATGAGACTCAAATTCAATCTTGTTTAGGAAAGACTTGAGGCAATGAGGGGCTGCACAAATAAAGATCCCTTCCATTATTTTGATTGTCTGGATCTTTTGAATGCGTTCATCACAGCTGGGTAATAAGAGACGAAAGAAGAATTTTCTTAGCTTATTCATGAATCAACAATTACTACACATTCACATCTTGACTAGGGCTAAAACCATGCTACCTTCCCTTTTGGAGGTGCAGGAGTTCAACAAACAGTGTATTAAACTGAATCAAACAAAGCCTTCTCGCAATTATCTGGGATTGACTACATATCATTTCAAGCCATTCTGCTCTGTCAAGGGAAGTGTATTCTTTTAAAAGAGAAAAACTGTTATAAGCATTTAATTGGCTAGACTCATTTTTCCCTCCTCTAAAACTTTAGACAACCCTTTCTTCGTCGAAGTGGTTTAAATTCTAGAAGGCTCCAGGAAATGATGACTAATTAATCCTGCTAACTACAAATAAAAATCAGTAAAAAGAAACCAATACCATATAAAACTAGAGTTTGCTTGCACTTCACTAATTTTAACAATCGGGTAATTAAATATCTTGAGGAAGTTCATGTCATTCTTAGTTGTTCGCTTCCAGCATCATAGAGATACAAACAACATCAAGATTGGGTTGTATAAAATACAAGAAGAATGACATTGTAGTTGCTTTGCAAAATGATCTTCAGCGTTCTCACTTATCTTATTGAAGGCCAAATACATGGGAATATCATAAACGCAGCCAACCTGATTACTACATGCACTTGATCCTCTAAATGCCCCAAGTTAGGAAGCAGCTTCAATTAATACTTAACAAGAAGATCAATTCTCTGAGTTCCCACCTAAGATTTATGCATGCCAGGAGAGTGAAGCATACACTCCTGATATATGATGCCATGATGGTAATAAATACCAAACCAAAATGGTGAGGACCAAATAAAATTATGATGCTTGCGACACAAATACAGAAATTGTTAATGTACTGCTTTTAACCACAAGTCAATCCATTAGTGTGACCAGATGAACCTCACCCCGCCTTGTTATACTGTTTCAACTCTGTTGAACAGCTATGGGTTATGATAAGGATCAGCCACTGAACAACTAAGATATACAACAGATCTCAAAAAATGGAAGAAAGGAAAGGTAACAGTCCAATCAACATGTGTTAATGATAAGGACTTAAGTAAGAGGGAGCTCTATACAAGTCTTGGAACGTTGCGCTTCTCTACATTTTATCGAGCACTTTCTCGAACGTCCCAAAAAGGACATTGTAAAGCTTTTGTTAAAAACCAAAAAAACATTTATGCTGTTTTGCTATGTATTTTTATCACATGTGGAGTAATTCATTTTCCACATTCCAAGAACTGTAATAAGTCATAACCAAGTGTTAATCTCCTTCCTCTCAACTAATTTAGTAGCAACTCCTGATAGATTTACAAAAACATTCGTAACTTGCAAATATAGCAATGGTGGAAATTCTAGGTAGGAAGTTTCATATTTAAAAAGAATATAATGCATATTACAACACCAGAATAAGCATGGCCTTACAGATAGCAGATGGAATCAGTCCTAGCACAATCCAGACAGAAGGCATGTTCACAAGGGCCCTGCAAGAACACGAACTTATTAATATGCAGATAATCAAAACAGGTTATGAAAAGCACCACACTGGAGATCCAACTTGACAAGGGCACCTTATTTAAGAACATAAAAAGTTTGCCTCTAGCCTATGAAATCAAAAGATTGTCTGAGTGGTTAAAATTTTTACAGGAGTCCCCTTTATTAGCAATGAAGAGCATCCACATAAACTTAACTGCACCAAAAGGAAGAAAAAGGAACAAAAAACAAAAACTTGTGTGTGGACGGGGCATGTGGGTGGGAGAGCGTGTCTGTGAGAGAAAGAAAGGGGGAAAAGGGGAAGGGGGAAGGGGGAGGGGGGGGGGAGTACAAGAAAGAGAGAGAAGTAAAATTAAGCAGGAAAACCTTTTCATTATTAAATTGGTCCCCCAAGAAACGTACTTGAAGACAACCAACACAATTAAGCTTGAATATCAGATAAAAAACGAAAGCCTCAAAATCTTATCCCACTTCCTTCCTACAAGTGAGATTACCAAGCATTTTTTAAGATTGCTAAGAGGAAATTTTAACACGTACCAGACGTCCATATATAGCGATAGGAAAGTCACAGCGGACACAAAAATGAACCCGCTCACCAAGCTGGCGATGAGACCTGCGGCCCACAGTCTTGACAAGCGAAGCAGCAGTTACCAAACCAACAGTCTTGGCAACAGGAATATCAGCGAGGACTAGGTGGTCAGGACATGCAACTGTCACATTGTCCAATGTCAAGGGCTTGGCTAGTCGGATCTGAAGCATCTCTAATTATTTCCCAGTAATCTCAGCTTGAATTCTTACGTTCGATTTATAAAGGTAAGGGTCAATAATCAATTCTTGTCTCTTTCTGGAAAAGAATCAGGCAGTCAACAATTTTGCTAATGGGGGATTGTTAATAATGCAAAAACATGAAGAAAGATGAAATATAATTGCTCAAAGATGAAACTCAATTTCAGGTAGTATCGAATTCATATCAAAGATAAAGGCCACATTTTAAGTTGGATGGTTCACAGAAGAATCACTTGTACTCCAAGATGTAAGAAGGTATAATTAATCAGATACACAAGATTCGATTTAGCTGTAGAAATTAATACCACCACCATAACCACCCAAAAGTGAAACATACTCCATTGTCTGGACAACCTCCACTCTATCACGACCACCGCCACCTCCATCACCTCGGCCATTGGACTGCATTGCTAATGAAAATGATTCCAACTCTTTTCCACCATACCTTTAGTCACTAAAGTTGCTCCTAGAAGTATGATTACATGCAGTTTTTAAGGAATTCAAACAAGCAATTTCCATGCAACAGCATTTTACAATCTGATTTCCATAAGACTCATCACTTCCACCATACCCCACCAGAGTCATAACCTTGATTCCAGTACCAGCAGCGCCACTTGGAGACTGACATGTAGGTCCTGAAAAAGGGACTCCACCACTCCGAACCTTAGGAGCCCATCACTATTCACCCACCACGGCACCCCATTTCAGTTCAACCCAGGTACACGTATACCTATAAATGGTTCCGGGGCAGGCAAAGAAGAATTAGGTTTGAGGGTGCGGATGATCCAGGTGTTGGCTAGAAGGAGAGAGGAACTTCCAGTGGGGAACGGGGTGGTCTGACGAGGATGGATTGTAGATACAGTTCCCTGAGGTGGGGTGTGGGGGCATCGTCGGGTCATTTCTCAAAGTTAGGGTGTCCTCAACTAAGGGGATCTCAGTGAAATTTACCCTTAATTGTAGGCATATTTTCAATATACTCGCTAACAGAACCTAACAGTTTCTAAATGATATGATGCAAATACACACATCCTCAATTGCGGGGATAAAAAAACACCGACACATTCTCAACATAACACACACACACACACAACACAAGAATTTGAAAAGATCGTAGTACAATGAATCGACATAATCCAACAAATATCAATTAGCATGTAGTTGTGGGGATTAATTTCCAAAGAAATTCAATTCGGTTATTTGGTTCTGCATTTGAGGCGATTGGTTCTATTCGGTAACGAATTGTTTATAGCAATTGGTGTTTTTTGGCGGTTTTCTTTTTGTTGTCTGGTCGTGCTCGGCGAAGGTAGATGGGTGGTGCGCAGTGGTTTTGGCATCTGTATTGGTGGATGAACGTGTTCAGGTGATGCTTTTATTTATTTTTTTAGGACGAGGGGAGGTAGAGCACTATACTCGGTGGCGGGGTGGTGGTTGGGAGGCTGGAAGTCTGACATGGCGGTGATGAGCAGGTTCTGGGTGGTTGGGGTTAACGTTCGACGAATCAAAAGGGAAAATAAGACAATGTAGAAGACGACAACGAATAAGGAAGAGGGATGCAGAAGACCTTACCTGGTTGCGAATTGGAACTCCGGTCAGCGAAAACATACAGCGATGAGGTCCTGATCTGAGTAGGGTTGTAGAGGCTTGGCCGCTTGGGGTTGGCAAGTGGGGATGAAGGCGCACCGGAGAGAGAGAGAGAGAGAGAGAGAGAAGAAGAGGCGGTGGCTTTGGAGTGTGGGCGGGGTTTTTACAGTAACAAAATACAAGGTGACTGTGTATATATATATATATATATTTTTTTTTTATAGAAAAATTACACTAGAACCGTTTGTCACTTAATCATATATGTAAAATATTACGTATAGAATTCTAACATTTGTACGCACCTAACATTTTAACTTCTATTGTCAATAAATCAATTAGTAAATTATATTTAAATCCCTAAAGTTTATAGTTATATAACACTTAAATCTTTTAAATTTAAAATATTTTACTTAGATAAAAAATATTCTAATTGAAGATAAAATATCTAATATTTTAAGATTTATAACTAAAATTTATGTTCTATTATGGTATTTATTGAAATAAAATTAAAAATAAAAATTTAATTTTTTCTTAAAAAATTTATAATTAGTATTGATGATATCAAATTTTGAACGACCTACATGTCAGTTTGTTATGTTTCGATCACCTGAAAAAAATCGAAGATCAAAGGATAGCTCGAGAGGTCAACTCTTTGATGCCTAAATCAATAAGTGAATATGAGTTGAGTATAATAATTAGTATAAACATATCAAAAAATTCAATTCAACACTCATTTACATACAATTATATTTTCAATTGGATAAAACTAAAAAAACCAAAGAAATGGTCAAATTGTAATGGATACAATATCTTCTATCTTTAATTGAGATAATTTGATTGTTTAATAGATTCCATAAGTTTTGTAATTAATAAGGGGTTTTCGTATAATATATTAAATTAGCGAGGTCTAAGTGCTATACTCCAATAAATTTTAAGAGTTTAGATATAATTTATTAACAAAACGCTAGGATTTAAGTGTTATGTATGTACAAATTTTAGAGGATCTATGTGTATTATTTCTAATCCGTCTAAATGATTAAGTAATAAACTTTAGATGGTCTAGGTATAATATTCACCTTTTTTTTCAATTTCATTTTGAGATTGGTTATTTACTTAATAAACGTAAAAAGTGGGATAATTTTTTTTTTGTTTGACGGTCAGAAGTGTTCAAAAAAACTTATGCGTACCTCACATCTCCTCGTCGAGTTAGTTTACAGGAACTTTAATTAATCTCCTGTCTCCTCTCCGATTCGGTAAACGATAAATTATTCATATTAGAACTACAATATTCCTAAGGATAAATCTTTTATGACCCGATTTTAAGAGATTGTCAAGATTTAAAATCAAAATATTTAAATTTAGAACTTGTCAAAATAGCCGTAACTAACCTAACTCAAAAGATAGGATTTCGTAGGATTGAACTCATCCATGTTCCCAACCAGGCTTCATTCTCGTGAATCACTCAGCAAATTTCGAGATAGAAACTCAAAGGAGCATAACACGGCATTGATCCTTTTTATATGACCCAACCTTTAATAAGGAGAAATTGTTGTGTGGGATTAACACACATTTCCAAACAATATAATTTTGTGGTACCTCTTCATTATATGACACTATTAAGCTACCAGCTTGTGTGCTAAACCCACTTAAGCTCTTTTCCATTGTTAGGTCCTCTGGCTACCCGGCACAACATTTTATCCTCTTTCTGCATACATATCCCTCTCATAGAAATAAAACCTTGTTTGTATTCCTTAATGGAAAATGCAAATTGATTAATTGCCTAAATTTGTAAAATCTCAATAATTATTTCCCTCGATTATTATTTAGAATCAAAATATGAGAACAACAACAACAACAACAAGAGTGAGGGCTTATATTTCCCCAGGCATCATCCAATGATTACGGAGGCCATCCCCAAAGAAATTGCATTTCAATGTTGGCTTCATCATCCAGCCTTTTAGCTCAAGCTGACTCGATACTTCTAACAAACTTCTTAGCCTGTCAGTCATAAGGAAAATGAAACTATGAGCAAAATACTCCCTAAATATCGAGAGGAAAAAAGCCATTTTCTCGACACTCCTGTTAAGTTTTACTTGACTCAATAGACTTGCTATCCAATAACTTCTCAGAAAGCAGTTATGAGAGATACAGGCAATCTTAAGTTGGAAGTGTTGGGGGAAGGGGGAATGTAATTACTACCCATATGGCCATATGCATTACAAAAGAACATGAAGTATCTTATACCTGCTCCAATGTCAGAAACATAATCACATTCCATGATCCTAGCCGTCCAAAATTTGGGATGAAGCCTTTATAGAAAGCAAGTGGTCCCTGCAAAATATAGGATGCAATAGGTTAACTTTACTAAACCCCTAAACCGAGTATGCCTCATTGACAGCCGGGCATTAATATGAAAATCCAATCAACTTTAATAGAGGTCATATGAGACACTACAACTCAAGTAAGGACTTGACAACCGAGTTATGTCCTTCCACATTTGAAGTACACAGATCATGCTGCTTCAACTAATATGCACTTATAGAGCACTGATGATTCCTTCATAAACAGTAATGAAAAATCTCTACAGAGTGTAAAGAAGCGAAGAAGCAACACATCAGAAAGATAATGCACATACATCGTTCTTCAAGGTCTTGATAAAGCAATCGACCGTACTTTTGTAGGTGGGGTCTCCCATCATTCTTGACTTAACCTGGCATAGCAATCCATTTTGAGTTAAGGCCCACAATTACATCAAAAGTATGACAGAATCACTAAAAACCCATGATATTTGAGTACAAATCACCAAAGGAAAGTTTTCAGAAGATGAGCATTACATGGACCAAAATGAAAAGAGCCCATCCATAAAATGTGGACTGCAAAACTATTTTTAAGCACTGATTGATCACTCCATAGCCACGGAACAATCAAAAAGTATCACCACAAAATGGTCCCCTTAAATCTTAATAGGTTACCCTGTGGTAAAAGTGAAAGACTTGCATGATTTTTGACTCTCGAATCTGAAAACTTGTGACTGTTTACCAAACTATTGTGAAGAACTAGAGGACCATAGTAATGTCAAATGATACACATTTCTACTCTCAGGATACCGTGTGGTGGTCCACGTTTAAAGTCCTAACACTTGCATTGGTCAAAGGGGACCTTAATTGACTCAGCATTATTAAAATGTAACAACGCACAAAAGAATAATGGCAAGCTACATGGTCTCACCATAACTTCGGCTTAAAACTTCAGCAAACTAAATAATGGATCTCCTCAACAGCCAGAAAAAGTAATCAGAACTGATTTGTAAAAAATAGGTGTCAAAAATATACCACGTCAACTGGGGAGCCGATACAAACAGCAAAAAAACCAGCTCCCAAACCAGCTAAGAGATGAGTAAAAACATTATCTGTAAACCCTGGTATCTTCAGAACTGTCTGCATTGGATAAATGAGTGAGACATAGTAGAAAGTCTGCACAATATGATACTCGAAGAACACATCAATGATGAAACGTCATGTTTTCAGTTACCTGCTTCACTTGATCATAACTGGCTAGTTCTGCAGCATTTATAATAGCATTCCTTGCTACATTGGGTCCAAGTCCAGTCCATAGAGCCCTGATTCCTTCCTAAATTTCATATCCAGGTTGGTTGAAAGGGGAAAAATAAACATCGCATGAATAAGCACATCACAATTCAAGGCAAGGAGAAGGATGAGATCAGAAATATAACCTGTCTCACTATTGTAGAATAAGCATTCAATGCTCCAGAATAACGCCTGGGTACACCAGGAGGCAATTTTCCTTCAGCTTGAAGCCTGACTTTCACAAGATCTGTAGGATTAGCTACAGTAATTGCAAGGGCACCTGTATGATGTAAAAATAATACCCATAATATATCAACAAGCAAAAAGGAACTGATACAAGTAATCATAAATACAAATTCACTGCATAAGGGACAGACTAAACCCAATTACAAGTCAAAATCTACATGATGAAAGAGGATTATTACTCTAAGATACACAAAATTCCTGTACTCTTCTGCTCAATGAAAATAAAAGGTAAATGCATCCACAAGATAGCCTCACCGGTTGTAAGTGCAGCAAGTATTTTTTTTGATAGAGGAACATCTCCAACAAAATTATCGCCCACATAGAATGCCTTTACCTGCAACATGCAAAAGATGCTTGAGAACCCATAACTTCATTTAGTAAGAAGGCTATAAGCAACTCTTTAGAAGAAAACACAAAGAAAAACCTACAGGTTCATACATCCCAATTCTTAGACCTCCAAACAGGCATTGACGATGTAACCCAGGCACAATTCCTTTCCATAGAGCAGTTAGACCTTCTTCCCTTGCAATGGTGCCAACTGTACCTAACATACCCCTGTATTTTGGTAAAGCCACTCCATCCCCTGCAACAGCTTTCTTTTGGAGTTGGAGCCTAACCTTAGCAGTGTCCAATGGAAGAGTACACACCTGCATAAAATTAAATTACATGCTGGTAAATAAAGGCATTTCATGAATACTAAAATGCGGTAGGCAAAAACTCATATCCAAAGCAATCATGGTACATCTCGAATTGCACAATTAGCTTCAAAGGGCCCAAAAAATATATCCGTAGTCCGAGTGTCCTCATACCTATCAAAATGTTAATATGAAAATTTGGAAGGTGAAGGAAAAGATTAAATAACACCACAAACCTGATAAGAACCAATTTAATGGGTGAGAAGTAAGACAGTTGATGCTTAAGAGTAGAGCAATGGTGGGAACTTTGTACCATTACTCATAGAGGTTGCCTTTTTGATTAACCACATTTGGTCTGAATAAGGATTCAAATAGGTTTATAAACGCTATGTTCATTATCATGGTAAAATGTATGAATGATGTTCTTGCAATTTCTGGTGGTTAGCTGTGTGATGTATTGTATTATGTTGCATAAACACATATTGCAGTGAATCTATTGCCCCTAGTGTAAGTTCAATCTGGAAAGATCAATTCAAGAAATACTCCAAAATTGAAACTTTGACTCGTATTATACCAAATAAAAACAATTCAAGGACTATTCTACAAGGTCACAGCGTGCATAATGAAAACAAAAATGCCACCGTAAGCTATAGTGCAAAGTTCCCACTATCACGCTATTTTGAAATTTGGGAGATAAAACTTGTTATAAGTATCAATTTAAGTTTATATACACATTTTGTTAAAAAAAAAAAAAAGTTTATACACGCACGCACCCACGTGAGTAAATTCTAATATGGATACAGATATAGGACTAATAATTTGATCTGTTGACGTGTAGAGGATCACCAAATTATAAGCATCGAGGACAGTAAGGGTTCTCTTCGGATCACGAAATTATAATCATCGAGGACAATTAGGGTTATCTTTGATCACATTACACAATTAACTTCGTGTATCCATACATTCCAGCTGTTCTTCAAGGTTAATACTCTACGATAAGGCTACACATGCAACTCTAATAAAATTAACCAAATTATACTCAATAGCAAACAGGATTGATTTTATAACAGTGATGAAACCGGTGAGGTAAAAGCTGTATTAGTCGATACCTCAGCGAAGCAAGCGGCGAAAGCGCTACTGGCGAACGTTCCAGCCAAGGAAATGTCTGATTTAGGCTTGCCGTGATCTGCCATTGGAGAGAGAAAATGATGATCCAAGCTTCCAAGAGAAGGAAAATTAGGGCTTGAAACGGAGGAAGAAGACGATGATATATGAACTACTAATACTACTACAAAATTGAAGCTATATGATAATGGAGTAGATTGCTATAAAAAGAGAGATTAGAAAAAGATAAGATAAACAAGTTTTGGAATCTCGGGAAAAGCAAAAGAGAGAGAAGAAGGTTGAGCAATTGGGTCGTTGCTCTGTGTATGCTGTCCATCGCCACCTTCATTTATTCTTTCTTTGTGTTTTTTATCTTCAATTTTTGCGGCAATGTTTTTTCATGCAGGTGGAGATCACCTGCGGTAGGTTTTCGTTGAAATTGGATGCAGTTGGAGAGTTGTCCAATCATTTAGTACCACGTGTAGTGCCTTGGTTTGGGTCATATTGGTGTAGCGGTGGATTACCTGGGATATCATTTACCAATAATAATAATATGTCTGCATGTGTAGTCAACCCGACTATTTTAATAATTTTCCAAAAAAACACTATAACTAGTAGTTAACGTCTGGTTTTTTTTATCTTTCGATCAAATAATAAAATTGGGTGAGATGATTCTCACCCTTTTAATTTTTTTTTTCATTTCATTTAATTATTTTATTTTAAACTATTAAGTTTAATCCATTTGTATTTACTCTCTTAATCGTCATATGTCAAACACATTAGCATACATGTGTGAAAAATTATAAAATATATAATACAAAATAATCGTATTAGGGAAATGGTACGAGTAATTCCAGGGGTGGCTGAATAATATTTGAGGCCTAAAGTGATGACAGTCAATGATATTTTTATATTTTTTTAATCATAATTTAATTTTTTAATTTAAAATCTATGATTTTTATTTTTTTGATGAGATTTGAAATTGTAATTTTTTTATATTTAATTTTTGCTAATATATTTTTTTAATTAAAAATATGAATTTTGATCATAAATATTTATAGGAATAAATTTAATTAATTTATTAATATTTTTATATTCTTTTTATTTGTTTTATATGTTCTTTATCGAAACTGTGGAATTAAATGATTGAATTTATTATAAATAAATTCATTGTTATTTTTTTTTGGATTATTTTACTATCTTTGAATTTTATTTATTTATTCATGCAACTTTCACCTAAATTTTTATTATATTTTATTTGTTACGAATAAAAACTTATCAAAACATTTTTTTAAAATGAGAATGAATGATTTAATTGGTGTTTTGAGTTCAAATGAGGAAAAAAAAAAGAAGACAAGTTTAAGAAAAAGAAGACAAGTTTAAGAAAAATAAAAAATGTGTTTAGTTTGATTTTTTTTTTTTGATTAAAGAGATATGTTTATGACATTTCTTTTAATTGAAGAAATAAATAGATTTTGTCAGCAATTTTTTTATTAATCTTTTTCGTCTTTTAATAAATATGATTGTGCGAAGATGTCTAAACTTTTGGGTCCAAATTTTTAATTTTTTTATTGGTTTACTCTCTCAACAATTAATTTTTTAGGCAATATTGTAATAAATTTTATTTTTTAACTTACATTATATTATTGATCTTTAAATTTGGGTCTTTTTTCGTATGCGGGGCCTAAAGCCTCCGCTTTTATTTTTGTACTATAGGGTTGGCCCTGAGTAATTCTAATTGAAGATAAGTTGATAGAGAGTAGATTAAGAAAATTTAGTCATATTCAACAGAGACCGATAGAGACACTAATTAAAAAAAGTGATGGAATTTTTCTTAATAGTATTAGAAGTAGTGGTAGACCTAAATTAATATTAAGTAAAATAATAAAAAATTTTATGAAAATATTGAACTTAAATGAGCATATAATACATAATCGAAATGAAGGACAAAGACGAACTCATATAACCGATATTAAATGATTCATGCAAAAAATAAAAAAAAATTAATTAAGAAGAGAGGGATAACATTAACTGACACTTTGCCAAGAAAAGGAAAAACAAATTAGGGAGATGTGACAAGTTGAAAATGTATCAAAATAATCAAATGGACATACGCTTGGATAGACAATCCCTCCCTTTCCTTGTTGGATTATAGTCATCCTGATAATACTTATGACTTGACAAACAAAGGGACACCACATTCTTGGTGACGTGGTCTTCTCATAGCTAATTGGGGGGTGCAACATAAGAAAGGAGCACCACGTTCTAGAGGATCACTTATCAATGTAACAAAAGTGGATGTACACACGATTCGCTTATTCAGAGCAAGTGGGCCCATCAGTCCATGTTTAGTGTTGGTGGCATGCAGGTTCCCAAGTGGCCAATCGGATGCGCAAAAGACTACGCTACTGTTGTTGTACGAAAAGTAATGTCTACTTAAAATAAAGGTATAGATGACGTGGTTATTGATGTGTATCGGTTATATCATTAATTTTTTTCTTTAAAAAAAAAAAAATCAAATTTTAATGAAATATAAAAGATCTGATTAATGTTCCCACTCAACCCTTCCGTTTTTCCTCTTCCCTCTTCTCTCACCTTCTCCCTTCCCTGTCACTATACCCAACACAGCCGGCCATCTCCCTTCCCTGTCACTAAATCCAACACAGCCGGCCATTCTCCAAGCCCAACAGCCTTCTTGACAACGCCTCGGAGGCCAACAAGTACAAATTTCGTTCTGTTATTCCTGGTGACAACCACCTTGGTGTGGCGAGGTAGAACAGATATCTTCTTCACTACAATTTGCACAGCTCTATAAATGTGAAAAGCCACCATTTATGGAACTCTCTATTGGTTCAAGCATTTTTATTCGAAGCTGAAGCTCTAACGGTTTTGTGAATGTTTATTTTTTTTGATTCATTCAATTTGGTTGAAATGATTTATAGTCTATGTGCAATGGAGAAAGTTTGAGCCTTTTATTTTAATTGATCTTGATTTTATTCATCTGGACTTTTTGAAATACCATAGGGGTGAAACAATCGAATGACTTGGTTTCCTTTGAAAATCATTTAAAGAGTTGATTTTCTCGTAAGTTAATTACATCTTTTTACTTTTTTAATATTCTATCCATTTATTTTGTTAGTGATTTTGGAACATAAACATATTATTTTTTTTGTGATGTTCAGACAATATTGTGTTTAAGAAATCTGTGATTAATCGAAGAGGTACTTGGTGGGGTTAATTTTTTTTAGAATGGAAGGAGAATGTTCAATTAGTTTGTAAATGATTGATAAAAATGTTGAGACTAAAATACAGAATGCGGTCAACGTAGATGAGCCTAAGGTTAAGATGATGTTTGAAAGTGAAAAAGAGTTGTTTGACTACTACACAATTATGGCAAGCGATTGGGGTTCCCAATTAAGATAAGATCATCAGTAAAAAGAGATAATAGTGAGTTGAAATATTTGACGATTTGTTGTTCTCGATCAGGAAAGTCAGAGTGCAATTCCAAAAATCCTTTCAAACCACGTCCAAGCATCAAAACAGGTTGTAAGGTTAAGATCTTAGCAATTTTTTGTGCTGATAGAAAGTGACGACTGAACAATGTCATACTTGATCATAACCATGAGATGAGTCCAAACAAAACTCGATTCTTTTGTTGCAATCGACTGATGAGACCAAATGTAAAAAGAAAGCTTGAATTGAACGATAGAAAATTTTAATTCATTTGTGATTGAAGTAGAGGGCATGAGAATATCTCTTTTTTAGAGAAGGATTGTAGAAACTACATTGACAAAATAAGGCGTTTACGACTTGGGGAAGGAGATGTTTCTGTGATACATAATTACTTCTTAAAGATGCAAGGTGAAAATGCAAACTTCTTTTATACAATGGATTTGGATAATGAGGATCGGTTAAGGAATGTGTTTTTGGCTGATGCAAGGAGTGGGGCTGCATATGGGAAATTTGGTGATGTTATCACGTTTGATACAACATATTTGACAAATAAATATGACATGTCATTTGCTCCATTAGTAGATGTTAATCATCATGGGCAGTCAACTTTGCTTGGATGTGGTTTGATCTCCAGTAAAGATACAAAAACCTTTTGTTGGTTATTTCAATCTTGGCTTGCATGTATGTCTGGGAAACTCCACGTTCCATAATAATTGATGAGAACAAGGCCACGAAGAAAGTAGTTGAGAATGTTTTCCCTAATACTAGGCATCGATGGTGCCAATGGCACATCATGAACAAATTACCTGAAAAATTGAGAGGTTATAAGCAATATGAATTCATCAAATTTTTCTTGCAAAGAGCCGTTTATGATTCATTAAGTTGTACTAAATTTGAGGAAAGTTGGAATGGAATGATTAAGAAGTATATGCTATATAACAATGATTGGTTGAGTGAACTGTACAGTGAGAGACGTCAATGGGTGCCGATCTTTGTGAAAGATTCTTTTTGGGCGGGAATGTTTACCACACAATGAAGTGAGATTATGAATTCATTCTTTGATGGGTATATCAACTCTAAGACTACCTTAAAGTAATTTGTCAAACAATATGAAAATACTTTGAAAAGTAAGATGGAGAAGGAAAACGAGGAAGAATCTAAGTCTTTCTCTTCACAAGTCCCTTGTGTAACCCATTATGACATGGAGAAACAAGTTCAAAAGGTTTACACCATCTCAAAATTTAAGGAGTTCCAAAGCAAATTGATAGGGAAGATGTACTGTGATTTGACTTCGGTCAAAGTGGATGGCAGTATTCATAGAAACATGGCTTGAGTTACCCCTTTTTTACCCAAATATAATATGCAACCATGTAGCAGAATCTAGCATTTTTAAAGTTTGTTGCAATCCAACACAAGGCTCCACAAATGTCAAACCATCCAACTGAGAAATTATTCCTTTGTTTTGTTTGGGAAAAAAAATGGGGACAACATAGTGTACAATTTTTTTTGGAACATGGTCATGACCCTTAAGTATGGCACCACTCTGAACCAAAATTTAAAGTTCCATAATCATGGCCAATTTAGCATCAAAAAGGCAAAAGTAGTATACTTTTTTTCATTACACTTCCACTACCAAATTGAATAATTTTACAAACAAAATACATAAACTTATACTTAAGCAACAATACTATTGTCTCCCAAGTTGAATGAGTACACAAACAAAGTGTACAATTTTCACAAATCACTTCTTCTAAGGCAGGAATAAGGTAGCAACTAAATTCTGCATAACAAATCAACTTCACCGTGGTGTCCCGTTGACGAAGCATAAATGTCCCAAACAAAGTGCCTTCTATTAGACAATTCATTGAACAATTTGTGAACGCAATCAATTCTAGCCTTCC